GAGAAATGGGTGCTCTGGAGGTGGTCTCTGGAGACTGGAGACGGACAGAAGACTGGAGATTTCGGGGAATGGGAAACACAATTGCGTACTGTGGCAAGTAGTATTAAAACACGCGACCAAAAAGGACCCTTGTGGGCATCCATCCGAGCAGATTTAGTTGAGCCGCCGATACGGTCAAGGTACAAAACGGTATGGGCAATCGAGAGAATAATGGTGAGGTGTCGTGGATATTCAGGGGCGCAAATGCTCAATGGGCGGAGGGAGCGGCGGGATCAGCATGTACCTGCAAGGTGTGGCTGGCTCCGGCTGTGACTGTGTTTGTCTCCGGTTGCTCACCTTTCTCCAGACTGGAGAGGCAGAAGTTGGAGAGAGACACTGGAGGTTGTGCGTGCACACTGCAACAGCGGGGAGAGCGGGCGGGGGCATTGTGCGACATCGGGCGTGTTTCTGACAAAGTCGAGTCTGGACTTTTTTTTTTTTTTTTTTTTTTGAATGTTTTAATGATTTACGCAGTTCAGAGTATTAGGTCAGAAAGTCTGACTCTTTCCTTCTTGATCGATTCTTGCCCTCTTGCTTCCTTCAATTTCGTATTTTCGAGAGAGGAAGGCATGTCCCAGCATGTCAAGACTCAGAAAGCAGGTGCGAAATAAGGTAGAGGAAAGAGCGGGAGGTGTAGGAAGGAACGACACCGACATCATTCATTCCATAGCATCGGTGACTGCCCTCGTTCCTGCCCCGCGAGAACACCCACAAATAAATACTCTTGGTAAGGTACTTCGTACAAAGTACATCACTCAGGTTCCTGGCACAGTGTCTGGGGCTATGGGGTACGTAGCTGTCATCCCACTCTGTAACCTGTCCCAACCCCACTACACCCTCGCATCCGCCCTGTCCGCGCCGTGGTCGTCAGTCTGCTGGGGGCGCTGGCCCTGCTTTAATCGCCATTAAAAGTACCTGCTTGGGTTCTGGAACGAGGTATCTTGGCCATTCGCTGGGTGGATGACAGGTAGTCGATACGAGTCGATACTTGTCAGACTCGATCTCCGACAGCCAAATATGCTCCCTCAAACACACAGCTTCGCACATGTTCGCATGACTACTCGGTATTCAGCAAGTATCGGAGACATGTCTATTCTTACTGTGTTACCTACACCTACCCAGTACACAGGAGTCACTCTATCCTGCTTTTGCGGCTTGCCCTCTTCCCCGTTCCCTGTCGTCGTTGCCGCTCCCGACTATCGCTGCCCTCCACTGCGTAGGTACGCAGTATTGTATTCGCTGCTTCCAGCCATATACGCCCTGTGACCGGTCACCGCCGCATGCCCCTTTGCATTCTCTCCGTCTTTTCCCACGATTGACATACAAGGGCTCAACCGAACAAGACGTGCCCGTACCTTACCTCGTCACCTCCAACTCTTGTCCTCTGACAAAACTCACGATCTACCCGTCTTACTACCTCCCTCCTCCTTTTCCCATCCCTCTCTTCTCTTCCCCTCCCCAACACCTACGCGCCGCACGGGCAGCGACAGCAACATCTCATCGCGGCATCGCCCAACCACAGACCAGCCTCTCCCACCACATCTACGGTCTACTGCGCTCAACCGACACCGGGGCCACCTCTGCGTCACTCTTTCGTCCCATCACTCTCACTCTGCCCCTCGTCTCACTGAAAAAGGGTTCTCCAACACAACCTCCCCAACCAAGTTTTTCCATCCGGCCTGTTGTTCACTGCCCTATCCAACTCCTCTCGTTCGGATCGACGCCTCGAAATTATCCTTTCGCCAATCCTTCCCCAACTATCCATCTACCGCCCTCCGCCATGGCTCAATCCACCGAGCCGCGGAGGCGGTTCGCCCCCGTTCCTATCGAGACCACCTTTGAGTCTGTACGTAAGACTTCCGAGCAACAACCGCAATCTCAGCAACACCAGCATCAAACAGGCCCAGTGCCTGAGCTGACCCCCGAACACACCCCGCGAACGCCCTCTCCCAACCCTTTTGAGCAGCGGATGCAGCAGCCGCCGCCGCCGCAATTGCATTCTCTGCAAAGCCAGCCGGCACCGAGACGCCGCTTCGCTCCCCAACTTATCGAGACCTCTAGGCGCGCCCGTAGGGAGGGCGACGCTGGTCCTGCCACTCGCCCGACCGACAAGACCGACATCACACCCTACACCAATCACATCTACCTCCAACGGAACAAGTCGAGACGCAAGTTGAATGATGGCGCCGCTTCGCCCGCTTCCCAGACTCAACAGATTCAGAGGCAACCTAAGGGCGCACGAAGAGAGTCGGAAGACGAGAATGCAGGCACCTACATGTTGGAATGGGCTGCCATGGAGGCTGAACGCCAGATGCAAGAGGCTGCTCTGGCAGCGTTCCCCAACAGTCGCCCGCGTGAGGGAGGCGCCGCTCATTTCTATTTCAGAGAGAGTTCGGGAGACGACAGCACACCGGAGAGCGTCTCCCCACAGCAGACCGGCACTCAGGCCAAGGCAAGGGGCCGCCATGGCCATGCTCCCCGCCGCAAGTCTTCAGAAGTTGGGTACTGGCAAAAGGAGATGCAGAAGCATGCCCAGGATTTAGCTGTTGCCAGAGGCGAGCACGCGCCTGTCTTTGACGATGACGACGACGAAAGCACCAAGAACGATTCTGAACTCGACAGGATGGAACTTGACACCCCGCCGGATCCCATGTGGTTGACTAACAAGAGAAACCACACAACCGACACCAGCTCCAAGGGACCATTGGAACCGATTGGCGAGAGTTTCATGCCGCTGATCGCGCCTGGCCCGATCGCTACCCAAGATACGCGCCGTCCGGAGCTTCCTCCCCCAGAGCCGGTGAGTAAGCCAATTGGCGAAACTGGCATGCCATACATCCTGCCAGATGCGGCTAGCAAGCCTGGCCAAGTGCCTATCGCCGCACCTGCGCAGGTCGTCCCCGAGACTGGCTTCCGAAAGCCCCAAGGCGGATTTGGCCGCCCGTTCGGCAACTTCGGACTCCCTGCGGAGACAAGCGAGTTTCGCAAGATGCGCAAGGCGGCGTCCCCGCCGATGCTGGGCAAAGACTTGGTTTTCCGAAAATGCCCCTCGCCGAAGCAGACCAAACTTGAGCCGGACCACCCCTTCACCGAAGGCCCGACCGTCGAGGAGAGAAACAGGGATGCCACGGGCGAAGCCGGCTTGTGGAGGGGCTACTGCTTCCGGGGCAGCGAAAGCGATCAGGCCATTGTACCACCACATCTTCAGGGCCCCAGAATGCTGCATACACCGCTTCCAGCCGCCACCCCTGCAGACCCATTCGCTGCAGCCTTTAGCAAGAGCTCATTGACGGATGAGCCTGGATCGGACTATGCGTCTGCGACTCTGACACCAAACACAGCTGAGCACCGCGTTCGATCGGGCGAGGCCAAGGGTCTTCACATGCTCGCTGGCCTGGAGGACCGCCTCAAGCGCGAAAAAGCATTAGAGGAGAAGATTGCATCGGAATTCGACGACATTTTTGTCACGCAAGTCTACAACTACTTGTCTCTGGGATACCCCGCCATGGCAAGGTCCTTTGACGAGGAGCTCGCCAAGATTGCTCAAGTCAGTGTCGAAGAGCTTGAAGCTGATGACGCAAAGCAGATGGCAAGTGGCCATTTGATGGAACCGGCTGAAGCTGAGTTGGCAGAGGAGAAAAGATGCCCAAGATGGAAGGCGCTAAAATCCTACATCTACGAGTGGGCTAGACAACACCCGGATCTGGACAGCCTGGATTCCCTCGCATGGGGTGTACGAGAGAGACGAGGCAGTTGGGCCATTTAGACGGTCGACACAACAGTACGAGAGAAAAAAAGAAGCAAATGTGCAGTTTTTGACATTTCGACATTTCGACATTGGAGACGAGGAGTCAATGGGCAACACAGCATGGTCGAACCGAGCAGAAGAATAGCATACTGGGTGATTTGATAGAGGCAGTGCGATTTCAAAGAGGCGTTTCACATTGTCCCCCACCTTTCTCAACAGGGAGACTTTTTTGGTAGCAACCGGCATGATTTGGTGGTTTGGTACAGGACAAAACACGAGGTGTCGAGGGCCTAGAACCATAAGAGAGCTGCAAGCTCACATTCTAGATGTCGCCTGTGGGGCCAAAGCAGGTGGAGAGGAACAGCATTCGGACACAAACGGCAATGGGCCGCAGCAACGTTGTGGGTCACGTCGATGAGAGGATGCAGAGTGCGGATGCTCCCAACGCGGAGACTTTGAGGCATCAGTGAGGATGACAGAATGTACACGAACCCTGTCCTCAGGGACGCTGGTACAGCAGCAAGCAATGGGGTTTCGATAGGTACATTGGAATGTGAATCCGACGGCAAAAGCCGTTCAGTTTGACTCAGCATATTGATACTGGCCTCCAATGTGAATGATGATCCAAAGCGTGCCCGAGTAACTCTTTGCAAGCGCTCCATGGCAAAGTGAGGAGCTGATGAGTCTGCTGAAGGCCAAAAGGATGAGAAAGAAGAGCAGGGAAAAGGGACAAGAGACGGCATGGGAAACAATATCACAAAGTCAAGAAAGGCCTACCGGCTTGCCGGGGTCTTTTAGTCTCAAAGTACGGTTGATAAAGATTTGGGTGAAGTAGTCGATGTAAGGGCAAGTAGAGAGAGTCTAGACGACTTTAACTTAAACAAATTGGTCTTGGTTGTTCGAAGTTTAGGACGCTTTTCTCGTTGCTTTTCAGTGCAAGGTGGGTTGATCATGCTATCGAACACTTCGTCTTTTGTCTTTCGTCGGTTTTTCGGGGGTTGCTCTCGGCGCCGGAGACATCACTCGGCCCCACATGCCGGCCACGGAAAGACCGCCCTCTCTCCTTGCCCACCGGAGACGTTTAGCACTACTACTAGGATTATGAGCGTGAGGTCACTCTCCAATTCAGAAGAATTAAACCTGAATCTCCCAAACTTTCAGACTTTAGCAGTCAATATCAACCAGGAAATGAAGTCGATAGTACTACATGCCTTTAGCCCTGCGCGACAAAAGCTACCAAGACCGCTGCGCAAGCCGCCGTTGCTAAAATAATATCCGTCCTCCGTCCGTCCGTCATGACGGCTAAGCTGGCCGCGAAGACGCTGGTGAAGGCGGCGACCATGCAGAGGCGCAGGACCTCGCTGTGGACGAGGTAGAGGGTGACGATGGCGGCTTGGATCACTAGAGAGGCGGTGAGGACGGTAATTATTGTGACGAGGCGGGATACGTGGCGGGCGGAGTAGTACTTTACTTCTGTTGTTTCCTTTTGTCGTTTCCCCTGGCTCAGAGTATCAAGAGCTATTCATTGTTGCTGTGGTAGGGAACGATTAACGTACCGCTAGGTATCTTCCTGCGAGATCTTCGAGATTCCGGGTGAGGAAGTCTGTACCTGCTGATGGAGCGAGGGCGATGAAGTCGTCTCGCTTGTTTGGTAGATCGTGGCCGTGGCCGAGGAAGGGTTGTTCGGAGTCGAACCAACCTTGGAAGACGCGGAAGACTCGATCGTTGGGGGTTGTGAACTTCATGACTTGGCTTCGCAGAACCAAAGCTTCATCTGTGTCCCGTCACAACGTTTGCACTTGTGGTCAACCTTCGAGGCACGTACGGTATTCTTCTATGGTTTCTTGTAGTCGATTCAAGAGATCCATCTTCCTGGCCTCTCTTGAATCCTTTTCTTGAGCTCTTAATGCAAGTACTTCCCAGCACTTGGTAGCGAGAGGGCTAGCCTCATCAACACCCGCAGCGTCATCCTCGTCGGACTTTTGTAGTTCGGCTTCAATCTCGAGCATTCTCGATTGCAGTTGAAGGAGGTTTCGGGCACTTAGAGCCTGGAAGCTCCTGAATACCGACAGCTCAGGATCAGAGGCAATAAATTCCGCGAAAGCTGCGTGGCTTAACAGATTGGGAGGTACGGCTGCCATTTGTGAGACGGAGGTATCTTGCTGGATCGATCTACCGACGTCGCTTGCATTCGAGGCAGCCACACTACCGAAGAGCCTGGGGAGATATATCGAAAATTCACCAGGGGGCGTAGAGAAGAAGGCAAAATCACATCTTGGCTAGGACACCCTCAGCCCAGACACCTTTGTCATGTGCGCGCCGAGGACTGTTTACCTCCAGTCACGATTGGACATGTCATAGTGGACTGTAAATCTGGGTGCCGATGCTACATGAGTACCCTTCAACTGGATGGCGAGAGAGGTTCGTGGTTGGATGCCTGATCTCAATGTGTAAATGTGCCTCGGAAATGAGCCAACCACGTTCGCTGCAAAGATGAGTTGTTAGTGTCACAGCCACCATTCAAGACAAATCCTCGAGAATATCATTGTCTGGTCTCCTCTCACCTCCAGTGGCGAGCTTACCGATTTCTCTTCAGCCTTGGCCCTCGAACGTCGCACACGTTGTCCAGAGCAGCTTTCCTTAGGTCGATTACAACATGCATTCTTTCCATGATTTTCATTATTACTTTAAGCTTCTGGACATACCAGAAACTGCTGAGCATAGCGACGTAAAGGCAGCGTACAGAAGAAGACTTCAGAAATACGTTTCCTGCCACGAGTATAGCCCAGAAAATGAATTGAGCAAAATACAAGAAGCATACAGGATACTTTTGAACCGAGATTTGCGATGCCGATACGCCAATTTCGTCGCGTCGGGGAGCAAGGGAGGTAAGAATGCACCCCAGTCCTTTTGTCACTATGCTCCAGATAGTGTTGCTGATACGGAGTCTCTTGTCGGGTCCAGTATCCATGTTCTTCGTCATGCCGAAAGTCGCACCGGGTGGCATCCTTACGGCAGAAGGAGCCGTGAACGGGTACTCGGTCAACGCAATTCCCGACACTGGTGCTAGCTGCAACTTGGTGTCTTCCTCGCTTGCCAGGCGACTCGGTTTTGAGCCGCCATCCGCCCTGTCAGAGAAACATACGGGCCTCCGCCTGGCCAACGGCAAGACCATCATGAGTGCTGGTGCCATTAATGCTCTATGGACATTTGCGCATGACCCTGAACGACACTGGACCATCACGTTCCAGGTCATCAGCGATTTCGCTCATGATATCGTCTTAGGAAGCGAGTTCCTTGCAGCTTCGGGCACAATGAACCAACACCGTGCGCGATTGAGTAAAACCCCTCGACCTTCTTGGGCAACCTCGCTTCTTTTTACAAGCAGTATCGGGTCTGTCAGTCAGCGGCTTCAAGGAACAATCGACGGTATTACGGTCCAGGCACTCGCCGACTCAGGTTCCGAGTCAAATCTCGTCTCGCTCAGTTTCGCGCGCAGTCATAGGCATTGGCATGGTACTATCAACTGGAGGGACCAGCGTCTTCTGCGATTTCCTGACGGCAAGTTCGAGAAGACAATGGGCTCCGCATGGGCACATTGGGCGCCCTTGAGCCAGTCAAATTCTCCTTCAAGCTGTGATGATGCGGCCTTCCAATTCCACATTCTTGAGAGTTGTATCCATGATGTAATCTTGGGTCAGGATGCGCTCGAAGAGATTGAAGCCTTCACCGAACATGCTGCTTCGTTCGTGGAGTCCGACCGAGGCCCAGAGCCAGCGGGGTTCAATCTGGTCATTTGGATCCCTACAAAGCGCCCGAAGATGGGCGAAGTCATGGACGTTGGCGCCACACCTCGGCAGAACCAGCAGGCCTCAAACGAGCATCGGAACCTTTTGCCCCAAAATCAGACATCGGGGAACCTCCGGGGCTTGAGATCTTCCAAGTCCATATGGGCTGAGATGAAGAAGAAGAGATGGATGAGTTTCGAAAGGGACAGAGAATGCAGGCGACGGACTGATATCGTGGCCATTCGGGCCATGGCTCTAGGCCCCGAGAGAGATGCCGCGGTAGCAGAGGAACAAGAGTTGCGCCGCGATTTCGATGCTAGAGATAGTACACACTCGGCCAGCGACGCCATGGAACAGACATACGAACCGCCTGGGGATCCCAGGACAACTATTTTATCCACATTCATGAAAGAAGAAATGGCATCCGAGGCTGGGTTTCACCAACGTACACGTGAGTCGCGGTTCTTCTCTCGCTGACTTAAGCCGCCGTCTTCTGGGCCAAAAAGAGGTAGGCCTTTGGATGTGACACAGATTGTGACTCGACTGCTCCTTTGAAAAGAGGCAAGTAATAAAGGACCAATCTGCGAGGTGCGGAGGAGATGGACCAGAGGCGTCAGCCTTGCGGCTTGGGAAAATGGTTGGATCAGCGGCCCTGCAGTTAAGATATCAATATCAGCCCTACGGAGAAAGACTGGATTATGATGCGCCCGTGCATGAAACATGCCATGGATGTTTCTGGCGCTGGACAAGTGTCCCGATCTTTTTTTGGAGGCAGCCCGAGTTCAGGGGGAGAATGCGCATGTGCAAGTACAGTCATCATTGTCAGAAGCACTGTACCATTTGCTACTAAATGGCTGTTTAAAGCCGTGCCAGTTCAAGTAACAAACGGTGCAGAATCCCTGAGCTGCAACGGGGACCTCTCCATCTTTTTTTTTTATCGGAACGCGTATCGCAACGGTTAGCTCGCGTGCTGCCGGACCGACGTCGTCAGCCCCCAAAACCAAACATTTACAGATTACCTGCCCTTCCCGCTGCCTCCGGCTCGAACATTTGGACCGTCAATTCCTCGTCCTCATTGCCACAGATTGCCACAGCTCGGGAATGGAAGCGTCACCGCTGACCCGTCAGGCCCCGCCCGAGGTCTTCAAACCCAAGATCGTACAGCTGTACGAGTCGCTGTTCAAGGTTCGACAGCTCCGCTTCTCCCTGCCTTTGTGACCCCTCGACCATGTCTTTGTGTGTCCAAGGTACTCTGTCGCCGAATTCATGTAGGATCTGTAGCTAAACTTTTCTCCCTAGGTGTGTGTTCTCCTCGATCTTTGTACCCACGAATCCTGATCTTCCCCCATTGCGCCTGACCGAGCCTTCCCCCTTGACGATCTTCAACTTCCGGACCGCATGGCCGTACCTTTCTAGACATTACTCCTACGCACAGAAGCACGACCTTGTACGCTGGCAACCTGCTGATACGAACTCCATGATTGAGTAGGACGCCGAAGATGACCCAGAACGCTCCGAGGGCTTCTGGCGCGAGTTCTTCCTCCTCCGGCCCGATCGCGCTGCCCTGAAGCGGATCCTCGATGGCCTCGGGCCGGCGGACATGCTTGCGTTGGAGGAGCATACTAGGGAGCTTTTCGCGCGCGCTGTCACTGCTATGAAGAGTGGACAGGGTGTCGCAGATCTGCATGCGCTTGACGTGAGTAAACCAGGGGCACCTCTTGCGTCGAGATGAGGGCTTAGAAGGTGCTGGTAGAGTTGCTGACTTGGATTGGGAGGTTGGTAGACTCTAAGCGTGTTCCTCTGCTCGGCTCTTTCGAAAAAGTATGCGCACCCTAGCTCGGATATCATCATCGTCTTGGCTGGGATCGATTATGTCGATACGATCTTTACAGACTTTGTGGGAGCTGTGGACCAGATCATCAGGAGCGGGAAGAGCTGTGAGTTTGGCACAAGGGAAAGCAATGATGTCCAAGCATGAGAAGGACTAATGTATTGCAGTGGAATTGCGACAAAAGGCTGTCGAGGTTGTCCTGGCTGTGACGGCCGGCGCATACCAGACAAGTCTCTTGACATACTTTATCCAGAGGGATCTCTTCCCCTCAGTAATGAAGGTCAGATCATTCTGCCCTTGCAACCTTTGCGAGCCTCAACTAACGACATCGCAGTTCATACAAGACACTGACACAACGGAGCGCGTCCTTAGCCCCTTTTCCCTCCTAGGCCTCTTGGCAAACTACAACAAATTCGAGTTCCAGAACCCGTATCAGATGCGACTGAACGACTTCGTCAACGAGGCGACAATCAAGAAGATTATCCGATGCATCGGCCAAACGTGCGAGAGCTTGACTACACAATTCGTGGATGTGCAGGATGACTTGCCCGAGGGGTGGACATTCAACGGCACCCTGCGCATGTTTGGTCTCGGCGCGGTTGCGAGGGGCCCCAAGCCGGAAAAGAAGCCCGTCTACGATGCCGAGACAATGAAGCAGATGTTTACAAAGCTGTGAGTATCCTCTGGCTGACTTTGAAGCGAGAAAATGTGGCAACTGACTAGCAGCAGACCCGGCGAGGAAGCGGCCGTGTTGCTAGCAACCTACGACTTTACCCACGCCAACAAACTGTTCTGCTTCAACCTCGCCACCCTGCCTGCCGAGAAGGGCGAAGAACAACCATTGGCAGCCTTCACATCACTCACCTCTTACCTACTCCAGCACGCCCATCTCTCCGAACGCACGACACACTACTCGCATCTCAACCTAATGGTGTTCCGCCTACTAATCGAAGACCCCGTGCTATGCAAGCGGATATGCAGCGAAGAGTCCAAGGGGCAGGTTCGTCTATGTCGCCAGAGGCAACCGTTCCTCCCGCTGGTCAGAGGGGACCGGATTCTGGCGACGGCCGTGCTGGATACCATGGTGGACGGCATCACACACAACCTGCGGAGGAGGCTGGACGTCGGGCTCTACACACTCTGCGTCGGAATCCTGCTGCGGGTGATTTCTTATCTCTCAAGGTCAAGGACGCGACTAACATATCACTGGGCGGATCTGTTCCGCGCGTTGCTGAACCTAATTCGGTTCCTGACACAATACGTCGCGGACCTGAAAGACCTCTCGCAAATCGACCTCCTGCTAGACAATGTCGTCAACCTGGTAGCGCTTTCGCTCTCGGCTGGCGAAGGATTCTTGCCGTCGCCGGCGGCATACGATGATCTATTCTACAAGGTTGTCGAGGCGGGCGACACGCTGACCAAGTTCAAGGAGAGCCATCAGCTCGGCAAGCGGCCGAGCAACTCGATCGACACGCTCATTAGCGTGAGCACGCATTACAAGGAGCTGCTGGCGGAGGGCGGCAAGAAGAAGGGAAACCTGACAAGCATGCAGGTGACGGAGGTCATTAAGCAAGGTTATGAGACGCTGAGTATACAAGCGAAAGAGGGGCTTGATACGTGGGATCGGTACCGGGAGGCGGATGAGAGGACGTTGTTGAAGAAGATGGCGAGGGCGGCTGTTGCTGATGTGAGAGGGTTAGTGGAGCGGTGAGAGTTGGTGAGCTGTGAGCTGTGAGGCGAGGAAGGATGGGTGATAGACTGTATGATATTAATGACACCCGAGATGATTCTCATGAAGCATTGTGTTGATGTCCCATTGATCGATGGTTGGCATGCTGAGTTGAGACTTGTTGACTCTGAGAATTCAGCCTCAGGAGATGGACTGGTATTAGCGGATGCCAGCCTCGGGTTCTCGACCTTCAAGGTTCCTATTCGGCATATCAAGACAGGTTCCACAGGCTGCTGATTGGATGTAGAGCTCTTCCTTGTCAAGTCCGGGCAAACCTAATCTCGAACCACGTCGATTCCCCGAGAGTCCAGGGAACTCGGCAATGTAGTGTGACACTGGACAAACAAAGTACCTGACTGCCTTAGACAGGTAGAGAAGGAATGATATGATGCCTTTGAGGCCCTCAAGGTATTTGTTGGTCATGAGAAATAGAGCAACATCAAAGGCCCAAAGGGCACTGAAAGGGAAAGAGGCTGCTTTGTCATCTGTCCCGACCGTTGACAAATTACAGGCTTCTGATTGGCTGCAGAGCACCCAGTACACTGGAGACCGCTCACCATGTCATAGCCGCGCCACGGCGAGAACCTGTCAAATGACCCCCCCCTTGGCCCCAGCTTCTTTTGCTTTGCTCCGAGTGCCAGCCACATTCCCATTGCCAATCCATCCCGACCGCAAAAACCTCCGACCTACAATTCCCGCCTGTTTCTTTCGTCACCGTCGGATGATTTCCAACCCTCTCAACCTCAACACCTGATCCTTCGACGACAAAAGCCACAAAAACAAAACGGGAAACGACCTCACCTTGCTGTGATTCCCTCTAATAAACTCGACTTCCATCACAAACACACACAACCTCTAGCACAAAGATGAATGCACCGAGGATACTCAGCAGAGTGGCGTTCCGCCGCTCCTGCACGGCATTGCAGTGCGCCTCTGCTCGTCGCGCCTACGGCAGCCCGTCTTTCCAGTCATACCCTCTCTACTCAAACAACACACCCCCTCCGGCGAGAGGCGATGGCATCCCCGAGAGCTCCATCGCATCGCCGGATGCGCTGCCGAAGGTCAACGAGACGAGACCCCCCAAGATCCCCTCGCAAATGGCGACAGCCCACCAACAATCCTCAACACCGAGCAGCCTTTCCTCTTCCTCCCCCGCCACACAATCCTCGACGACGAAGACAACAACAGCAGCGACCACATCCGCAACAGCCAAGGCCACGACGACGTCATCAGCAGCAACCGCCGCCGCCGCTACCACGGTGCCAAAGGTTTCCGAACAAGCAGCCCAGACCCCCAAACCAGCCGCCCGCCCGAAGCGCACGCTCCGTGCCCGCAAGGCAGCGATGAAGCTTAGCCCCGCGGCGGTAGAGCAGCTGCGCGCGATGCTGGACCAGCCGGAGCCAAAGCTGATCAAGGTCGGCGTGCGGAACAGGGGGTGCTCGGGCCTGGCGTACCATCTCGAGTACGTTGAGAAGCCGGGGAGCTTCGACGAGGAGGTGGTGCAGGACGGCGTCAAGGTGCTGATTGACAGCAAGGCGCTGTTCAGCATTATTGGCAGTGAGATGGATTGGGTTGAGGATAAGCTGAGCCAGCGGTTTGTGTTCAAGAACCCGAATATCAGTGAGTCTACGTCGCCTCTTGCCGCCTTGAGATATGACATGCTAACGATTTGAACAGAGGAGCAGTGTGGCTGCGGAGAGTCTTTCATGGTTTGAGGGGGTTTTCGTAATACAGTAAAGACTGAATGAGTCGCCAGCGAAAGAAGAGAGCATGAGCATGCTCTGCTTTAGTAAGCGGATCAATGGCTTCGATCTACCACTTCATACATGGTCGTCATCTCCAGTATAGAGAATGGAAGACGGCACCGGCACCAGCATCAACTCATGCCACGGCGTCTTTGTACATCACGGCTCCATTCCGAGCACTTTTGATATTTCGGGTCGCGGATAAAGGCATTGGGAGGCGTTTTATACAGGTGTAATGATACCTACGAGAAGACCCGGCTCATCATCCGGGCGCGAATCACTGAGATTATTAGTTTCGTTGTCAATTGGAACCTGAAGAGTGAAACAACCATTTTGTTTGTCTACGATGATATCATACGTAAGGTACTGTGTATCCGTATGCCGAGCAGGGCGGGCGGACGGAAACCACAGTGTATCTCCGACCGAATCCGAGTGCCGGGCGCCCCCACTGTTGAGAGAGCGCGGCTTCTCACCCGACGGCTGTGAATCGACCACCCCGGCACTGACAGTCGCCTCCAGACGGCAGTGGAAGCACCTATTCACTTGGGGTCAGGTACCTTACCTGAAGTGCGGAGCGAGGCGTCCCGTGCCCCACTAGAATTCCGAGCTCAATTGCCAGGCGCGTCATTGCACTCAAAAATTCCCCCAAAGGCGCGTCTCGTCCAGTCAGAGTTCAACCCCCAAATGTCCACGAATTCGCGATCGTTGCACCAACAACGTCGACTGGACACGAATTGACGAATCCGGACCAAGTCACGTACATAATAGTCAATCTTGAGCCAGAAAAAAGACCCCATCGCATGCGTCACAGCACCGCCTTCTCTTCAAAATGGCAGCTGTCGACTGCCCCATCTGCAACAAACCCGTCAAGGAGACGCTGATCAACTCCCACATCGACTCGGGCTGCCAAAACCACATCTTCAACCCCGAACGAACGTCCTCCCCGCCCACAGCGACACAGTCGAATGGCAATCCCAGCTCTACACTCACCTCATCACAAGCCAAACGGCCCGCATCCTCCTTTTTCTCGACACCCGCACCCAAGCGCCATGCCCCTCCCGCCAAAGTCCTCACGACCCCGTCCAACGGCACGACGACAACGACAGCAGCGACGACTACTCGGCCCATGGCGGGCATGAAACGAAGATTCGACGATGGGCCAGGCGAGCTGCCCTCTCCTATAGCGACGGCCACCAACACAGACAGCGAAGCAACCCAACAAACACCACAACCACCGGAAACCGGCCCCTCGGCAAAGCGCACAAAGACAGCCCGCGCGGCGCCCCTGGCAGAGCGTATGCGTCCCAGAACCCTAGACGAAGTCTGCGGGCAGGACCTCGTCGGCCCGCACGGCGTGCTGCGTAGCCTCATCGAGTCGGACCGGGTTCCCTCCATGATACTTTGGGGCGGCTCGGGAACGGGCAAGACGACGATTGCGCGGTGTATAGCTCACAGTGTTGGCTCACGCTTCATAGAGATGAATGCTACATCGTCCGGCGTTGCTGAGTGCAAGAAGCTCTTTGCGGAGGCGGCCAACGAGGGTGCTCTTACAGGCCGTAAGACAATCATCTTTTGCGACGAGATACATCGCTTCTCCAAGTCGCAGCAGGACGTCTTTCTGAAGCCCGTTGAGGCGGGTACGATTACACTCATTGGAGCCACGACGGAAAATCCATCGTTCAGGGTTCAGGGCGCGCTGCTCTCGCGGTGTAGGACGTTTACCCTCTCCAAGCTTTCCAGCGAAGACGTGGCAAGAATCTTACTCCGCGCCATTGACGAAGAGGCGCGAACGAATAACTTCCCTGGTAGCCCGCTCGTTGACGCGGAGCTGGTGACATACCTGGCCGCCTTCTCCGACGGTGATGCGCGCACGGCGCTGAACCTGCTCGAGCTCGCGCTTTCGCTCTCGACGCGCGCGGGGACGACGAAGGAGGACATCAAGGCTTCGCTGACCAAGACACTTGTGTACGATCGCGCGGGCGACCAGCACTACGATACCATCTCCGCCTTTCATAAGGCCGTTCGCGGATCAGACGCGGACGCGGCGCTGTATTACCTCGCACGCATGCTCCAGTCCGGCGAGGACCCCCTGTTCGTAGCACGACGGATGGTCGTCATCGCCTCTGAAGACGTCGGGCTGGCAGATAATACTTTACTCCCGCTCGCGACGGCAGCGTACACCGCCGCACAGCAGATCGGTATGCCCGAGGCTAGGATCCCACTCGCGCACTGCGCCGTAGCGCTGAGTCTCGCGCCGAAAAGCACGAGGGCGTATAGGGGTCTGAATAATGCCTACGCGGCGCTCAAGGAGCCGGGCGCGGCGGCGTTGCCTGTGCCGCTGCACTTGAGGAACGCGCCGACGAGGTTGATGAGGGAGATGGGGTACGGAGCGGAGTATAAGTATCCGCCAAATTATCGTGAGGGCAGGGTGAGGCAGGAGTATTTGCCTGATGAGCTTGTTGGGAGGCGGTTTTTGGAGGAGAGGGACTTGGGGACCGAGGTGGATCCGGATTTGGAGATGGAGGTTGAGTCCTGAAAGGAACATGGTCAACCCGTGAAGAGGGGTTGGTTGTTGATTTGAGCGTAGCATTATACCTTTCCGGTTAGAGGTATACGGCGTCGTCTTGGATGGCTTTGAGCTTCGGGGCAGAAGCTCATCTGGTCCTAGAGGAACAGAGAATACTGCATAGAGCGCATGGCATAGCATGGCATGGCGTCTAGGACAGGCATCATAACTCGTGCTCAGGCATGGTGATGGAATAAACATGTAATGATGATACATGTACTTGAAGACGTTCTCATGTCAACGCGGGGAGCATTGTGTTGAGAGGTAACACCCACCTGAGAATCGAGAATTGCTCGTACATGCCACGACGTCTAACAAGCAACAGACCAGCAGCTCGCAGCCAGTACAAAATCCCAGTTCGATTGTGGTGGCGTGGGATGTGAAGCCCGATTCAACGCATATGGAAGTCTCAGAAAGCTGACCATGTCATCCACACCCTGCGGCTCGTTGACCCAGTGACCTCCTGATTGATATTCATGCCATTCCACTGTACATGAACCGGCGAATGAATCAAGGGTCGTCCGCAACTGCCGACCAAGGTTGATATCAACGACCTCATCGTCCACATCGTGAGCGAGGAAAATTGGGGGTTTTGGCCGTTAGGTCTATCTGCGCCGCTTGCTCTGCGATAAAGTGAAGTCTCCTCCGCCAACTCATGCGATGACCTCAGCCGGTGGCAGACAGCTGCACAAACCGATCAGCCCACCTAAATTGGCTAGTCTCGGCGTGGTCAGAATAGCGGCGATTGAGGTTGCAAATCCTTGGATGATACCACCTAGGGATATCATATCCATCGGACCTAGGGCGGATTCGTTCTCGACGAGGGTGACGAGGTTTTCGATACTTTGTCTTAGGCCGGGTTATTGGATAAAGGCTTGTTCTTTTGGGTTCTCCAACGACCAGACGTCGAACCATTGTGATATTACGGTACCGAACCTCTTGGATGGAAGTAGCGCTGCCCCGGGGAAGACCTAGCGGTAAGACGGCAGTAGGTCTGGGAGAGTGCGTGGCTGGTTTGTTGGTTCTGATGCTTCGCTTTCGAAAAGCTCGTCTGCAAATTCGTTGCAGATGCTGTCTCTGCCGTGGAGGGAAATGATTGTATGGGTGTGTGTCGCCCGAGGCTCAACGTAGTGCGTCGTAAATCCCACGTTCATGTTGTGTTCGGAGCGGAGCTATTGGGGGTCAGCCAGGAACAGGCGGTAATCAGGTGTGGGAAGGGATGTCTTTGAGGCGGCATATATAAGAGTACCTATCAGAGTAATGGAGACCGGACCTTGACGGTGCCAGACCTAGATAGTTGGAGGCCATCGTCAGTATACCAAACAAAAAGCAAGAGTTAACTGTTTCGGAGGTTCTTCTATGAACATGCATAAGGAGGTACTTACTTCGTTCCTGAGACTTCCGGTCTGCTAAATCGGTAGATGAGTATGGCATCGACAGACAATATACTGCAGAAATTGTATGCGCAGCCGTCCGAGTGTAATGCTGAGATGGTGTCATAGAATGTCGTGGTCTGTTGATAGATAAAAAGCTTTGAGCTTAGTGATAGATAGTCTATCTATGTTATAAGCCTTGAGATGGGGTATTGATCTGATTAATGAAAGAGGTCGTATTCGCCGATGGTACTCTCTTGGACATGTGTGTCTTGCTGGCTGTCTGGCGCAGACTACGATTTCGGTGTATCGGCCTCCTCCTTAACATCCTCATTTTAGCTATTCTCCACGCTGCTTTCCTTATTATCATCGTCTTTATCAGTTATGCTTGGTAGTAAGGTACTTTGAGGGTATTCTCTTAAGAACAGCGTGGTGACAGGAGTAATATGAAGCGATCCATGAGCAATAGGTATACAACTACTGACTATATGGGCTCATAATGTTGACTTGTCAAAGTAAACTCCAATGTTCTAAGTCCTGACCTGTACCCGGGTGCTCACTACCAATTTGAAGTCCGCACCCCCTTGACAAACAATCAAGAGACTCATCACTCTACTGTGAAACAGTTTAGGCTGGGACACGTGACTCTTAGGAGGTGTTGTTTTCTGGTTTTTGTCTCAATCGGGAAGCCTATGAGAAAACCACATTAAGTATAGCTTTTTTTCTTTCTTAAGATACATGTATTGGGAAAATCAATTATCCCTTGACAAAAGGACGTTTTCCGTCCAGAGATGGATTTGCTCGGACTTGGAAGTGTATGGACTGTTTGCCTCGTACGCAAGACATGCGGCTGCTCCGATTCTTCTGCCTTTCCAGATTATCCAGATACTACCGATGATCGGAACGGCCATAGGGAGACTATAAGCGCCGTTCACTTCATAAAACTCGAATGGAACGGAAAGGGGGCCGAGCGAAATTGATAGTAAGATGTCCACCGCAAAGAGGAAGATGGAGGGGCCAACCCCAAACCAGCTTTCGATTTCCTTCAACTCCAAGAAGAATCTGTACAGTTCTTCTTGCATATCTTGAGGGATCGAGCGTGGGTCACTTGCCGTTGTAAACAAGTATTGCTTGATTTCGTCGAAGTGTGTGATATAGTTGCAAGGCTGTACTGAGCTTGACTCGACATCGTTGCCAGTTGTCTGGCACTGATGTCTCGGTATGTCGGCCTGAGCTGATACTCCTCTGGTCTTATAGTCTTTGATTTCCCAAATTGTATCAACAAATTGCCTTCACAAATCCTTCATCATTGTTGTTAAAGACTCACCTACGTATACCTCTCCAACAGTCATCATTGGTAGTATGAGTAAGAAAATAGAAACGATCTGACCGAAACCCATCTCGGTGGACTCTGGGGCCAGATCTGGGGATTAAATGAAGCGACGTAGAACGACCTGGCTTACCCCAAAACCGAAAGTGAAAATCAGTTTTGGCGATGTTGAAAGAAGCGAGGATGAATAACGAGTTCCTGCTACAGAACGCCGCGCGCCCATATCTCCTAGATGAAAGCCAGCCATAAATCTTGTAACATGTCCATCACCCAAGGTTCTGGCCACAAAATTGTACATTGGCCCTGGTTGATGTTTTTCGAGATGGGATTTGGCATGGAAAAGAGCCTCACTCTTGCGATGGCATGCGGCTTTCTCTTGCTCCATCTCGAAAGACAAAGTCTTTGTCCCGACCGGGTGGAGCTCGTTCATAGAAAGTGAGATCTGCCAGTAGTTGAGCAGTGGCGTAATACCTCGTTCTTTCATATAGATGTTTTGCAAGCGGAAAATATATCCAGTCCAGAGAAGCACGAGAGGGAAGCCTGGCTGCGAGAAGAGAATCCCGGTTCCGTGAGACGAAGCTAGACACGCTGCCGGCGCAATTGCCTCGCCTTTGTGGTTTACGTCCATGTCTGCGACCATAAACGGTTGTGTACGTCAAAAGAATGAGCACACACACCATGCCACATACTCGTAGATGGAGGACCCATTGATTCTGACACTTGAGCGTCTGTCTGAGGATGTCGAGGGTAGCCAGGTGAGTAGTGGAAGAGAACCAGGCGAGACTGTGCGCCACGGAGAACTCGAATTGGGACAAGGTCGCCCTACCCGAGATAGCGGCAACGAGCAATGCCAGGCCGGTGACGAGTTGCTGATCGCTGAGCGCGAGAATGAATTGCGAAAACGCCTTTGCACGTCTTTGTCGACGACACTGATGCTCGCGCTCGTCTTCGAATTTGTTGCGTCCAGGCTTGTTGCGTCTCTTATTCCAGCCTACATAATCAATCACTTTGTGGTCTAGTTCGTTGAGAGGATCTCCGTCGACGCCATCGAAGAAGTATGCTAGGATGACAGCGGCTATCGTTGTCATTGCTGTGCCCATGAATGCTGCAAGGATCTGTGGAGGTGCCGGCTGTTAGTCCCTGACACATACCGCCCTGTTGAAGTTACGGCCTTACCCCGTATCCAACGATATCCCCGGATGCATTGAGAGGGCCTTCGGGTCAAGTACAGTTTAGATCCATCTCTGTGTGTTGGATAGCTGATCTATGTCGCTTGCTAATAGGTAGATGAGGCTGGTTTGGGGCTGTGGGCCTGTGCGAGATGATGAGTGATGGATAATGAGATAGATAGCTATAAGGCAGCGAAGTTGAATCAGGGCTTACTCTAGTCGGGGGAGATCTCTAATGAGAACACATAATATATGGAACATTCGAGTAGTCACATAATTTTCTACTAATGGGTTTGGATGCCTTATTGGCTGGTGAGAAAGCGGAAGTACATTATCACTCTGTTGGAAGTCGGAAGGGAGGATGCAATTCAGAGACCCGTCGGCGGCTAGTAGTCCATTTTTAGTCACTTATGGATGGCTACAGAAGTCAGTTCGACCACAGTAACCAAGTAGGGTGTCTTATCGGTAACAATGTGGGATTGATACAGCCAAACTTTCCTTCTATTTGGTTTGTTTACTTAGCTCAACTTAAATCTAGCATAGTGCTTAGATTAGAAAGTAAAAGGGTACCTCATTACCCTGAAAGCTACCTCAATTGGTCGTGCCCAGGTAGCGAAATTTCATATAGCCGGCTGAAGAAAGGTAGCTGCGCCCTTGGATGCCTCTCGGGAGCAGGGCAGGCTGCAGAGGCAGATGGCGGAGCTCCATGCATGTTGGGACCTCATGTCCGCGTTTTCGCCGCTTTGGGTTACACTGCTTCAACTTTACGGCCAATGAGGTTACAGATGATAGAAAAATATGCATATCTTCGCGATCTGCCTGCTCGGACGTTTAAGCAGGTCGCCTCTTGAGTCTTCTCCAGTGGAGCGTGTGTTCAAGACGTTGGTGCGAAAGACCGTAGACACAGCGTGAGAGGTCATGCAGCGAGGCGGGAAATGCTGAGGTACAATTTGAACACGCAGAGTCACTGATCTAGTTTTCACTGTGACGAACTTCTCACCCTAAGACAAGATGTCAAGTCGCTTAAAGTCGCTGGGTTGCTCATATCACACCATACCTTTGGCTTTCATCAGAGCGAGATGTGGTGAACAGCCATAGTTGAGACAATTTCAATTGACACAACTTTGTTTTTATTTAGTCCCGAGCCCGGCCATTGGATCACTTTCAACTCCTCTCATGACCGAGAATGCCGGGCAGTCGTATTGATGTATCATGCTGAGATTGATTGGATGACCTAGAAAGAACCAAGCTGAACTTTGAGGGGCGAGTACCTTCGTGATCTACCAAGGTTGGGCCCTGACTCCGAGGCGTGTACTCTTTGTAAAGTCTCTAAACTGTGAAATTTCCCATAGAGGTTGGGCTAAGGTAATTGGTGTCTTTATGACAGAACTGCGAGCGGAGTATTCATCTTTGGAATACCCATAACACTAGCTACCTTGTGTTGATTTGAAGATGACCACCCTGTCTTTAGGGCTGATGTAGAAACGCGGAAGAGTCGTCAACTTTCCCGTGCCTAGTGACTAGTTCGGTAAGAAGAAGAGAAGGAAAGTGACAGAGGTTCAGGTAGCAACAAGACCGGTATTCCAAAGTCTGCATGTAAATAGACATAGAGAGGCATTCCACGATCATCTCATAAAACCGACAAAACCTTCCGAAAGCGAGATAGAGTGTGATCCGAGTGGACTTCGAGACGAGAGGCTGCTGGTTTCAACCCAAAGAGCGCCCCCTTGATGGCCATCATCCCCCCCTTCGATCCTCCCAAAAAGATGGGATCTTCGGTTCCAAGCGCAAATCTGGGTCATCTCCCGCCCTGCCAACCAAAGTCTGACACCGAGATATCCGAAATTACATAAGATGGCAGCCAGTCTAAAGTTATGCGGCTCCTTGACGAGGTGCCATGATGAAACCGTATTTCTGGCGTACTGGTAGGACTGTAGGCGTGGTTCCCCAGATTCGGCTGGGCGCAACCCTGCAACCGACCGATCTTGAGACGTTTCAGCGAATGGCTGTGGTGGTGGGGTTTTCCTCTTTTTGGTTGTTGGCGACGGCGTCAATGCACCCCTGCTTAGCCTTTGCTTGGGGGTTCGTCGTTTTGGGAGAGGGGTGCTGGACAAACTCGGCAAAAGCTGACACCAGGTCAAAACTCGTCTCTTCTTCTCCTGGCCTCCTTGTTTGGGCCGGGGCCGCCTTCACCTCATCTTTTTCGTATGGCTGATCGGTATAGCCCGTTTTAAGGTCGCAGGTGTGAGGGGTGGTTTGAAGGCGGTGCGACGTGTCGCATCAAGCTTAATTTCCCTTACCAGACTCAGTTTCTCCAGTCTGCAGCCTGGGTGCCGCAGTCTGGCGGTGTCGCTGGCTTGGATTTAAAGACGACTCGATGACCTCGACTTCTGTGTCTCACTTGTTTTGAGATTCATCCCATTCGCTCACTCGACTTTCCAACTTGCAAACCTTCTCTTCGTTCGGCTGGTCCCTTGTTTCGTTTTAACTGTTCATATAACTTAACTTTTCAATTCTTTTACCCAACCTTTTCGTCTTCTCAGCAAACATGAAGTTCACCGCGGCTCTTTCCCTGGCCCTTGCCACCTTCGTGGCCGCCATGCCCGCCGAAGATCTGTCTAAGCGCCAGGCCATCAAGAAGGGCGGTAGCACTCTCGTCTTCAAGGAGCAGGGTGGCGTACCCGGAAACGAGTGCCTCACTTTCCGCAACAACGGTATGACTCTCTGCGCTTCAGCGCTTCCAATATTACCCGAGGTGACCGTATACTAACCTGTTCTGCTAGGCGAGATCGTCAACGCTGCCTGTGTCAACACCGCTGCGGACAGACAGATCACCCCCTCGACTCAGGGCGGCAATAACGTTCTTCTCGTGCAGCGTTCTTTCACTGCTGGCTTCAGACCTGACTTGGTGAACAAGCAGGCTTGCGTCGGCTTTAACGGCACCGCTTTCCGGGCCGAGGATTGCGCTTCGAAGAACGTTGAGTTCGTAGCCCAGTCTGGCAACCAGCTTGTTGCCTCTGGCGGCGCCTGCTTGAACGGCCACGATAACAAGGCGCAGGTAACTGTGTCTGCGCAAGGACAGGGCTGTGCCGAGTTCACCACTACCTCTGTCAAGGCTACTGCCCCTTAAGAGGCGAAGTCCCACAGAGCGCAAGTGAGGGCTGACAGCTCATTTATGCTCCGAGTCTACTTGTATTTTTCACAAAGCACAGGAAAGGAGGGGGTAATCAAAATTGGAAAAGGATCAAATATCAAAATTAATAAACATCCAAAAATGACGTTGAACTTGGAGATCATGTGATTGGTCCAAGTTGCTTTGACTGGGGGCTACTACTAGGCAGTTATTTTGCAGATTGCGGAATCAGTTCGCGTATCGTTCAGGGCTGCTGTATGTAGGCAGACTATCAGGCGGAATTTGAAGTGGTGAATAAGCAGGCTCTGCACATTGTCCGCGTCATTGTACATGGTCAACGACCACAGCCTGCTTATTGCATAGAAGCTACCTGATGAACCGATAACTCGCCTTACGTGAGATCTAACCGTGAAATTTGCGGCTCTTGCGGGCTTCTTGCCAAGACAGAACTCATTCAAAGACAGCAATTCCTGACTGATAAGATCAGCAGCTTATCCAGGAAGGAGTACGCTTGAGTCCTTGGTTACTTGCAAGGAGTTACGAGCAACGCTCCTCCCGATATATGCTCTGGACTCGGCGTCTCTCAGAACATAAAGAAATGGCTTGAAGCAGAAGTATCAGCGTTCGAATGCGAATGATAAGGTTTCTCATCTGCCCTTGAGTAGAGCAACGGATTCTGTGGTTATACTGATGTCTTAACTGCTGAACTGACTGGTCCGCCCATAGTGCAGGCAATCTGCAAATTCGGAACCACACAATGCTAATTACCTAGGTGATGCACACTGAGATAGTCGACCGGCACAATCTCTTTTTCCGTTCAAGGGGTGACTCGTGGCTGACCAGTGCCAGAAGGAAAAACATTAAGTATTACGGAGGAATTTGTCTAAGCAATCCATGTTATTGGGTTCATTCTGTGCTGTTCAGAGCTTAAGGTAGTGTGATTGGGCTGCTCGATTGGACCGTGGAAACCACAAGTTCCGATGATCGAAATTAGCGCCCGCTGTTCTCACCCGTACAATCGGCGCGGAATAGACCAAAGTTCAACCAACCAACCCAACCAACAAAAACAGGGTCATGTCCGGACACTGACTGTTCTTTCAGGCTATTATTTGTAGTTACGCGAGCCCAATCCGCTCTGCAGTGTACAAACCCATACTTCCCATATACCTTATGATACGACAGTCACTGCGGGGCCGCCTACTAGTACCTGAACAACCACCCCGCACCAGGCAGTGATAAGAACTTTGAGTCTCGGAGAGAAAGGCTTTTCATCCTTCCACAAACAAAGCTCAATCTGTCAAAGTTTCACAACATTGCGAATAACGTCCAACCTTGATTCTGAGCTGTCATGGAGGCTCAGTCTGTTCAGGTCTTCCGACTAGACGTCAGGTCGCAATTTGAAGGCTTGACCAAGTCGCAGCAGAGATATGCCCATCATTTGGCACAGTAGGTGATGAAATGAAATGCCAGAGAGACACGACTGCTGACACTCGCGCAGTGCAGCATGGCACGGGGCGAGAATAGTTCTGCGGCAAACCTCACCGGAATCGCTGTCAATATTTGACTTCATTCTCGAGCTTCACGCGGCCTGGAACGGCAATTGGGATCAACTTGCCGATGAGATCGGAATCGAAGAGACGCGTCAATTTCTCACTTACGCGGCAACCTTTTTATCGAACCTAGGAAACTACTTTGTTTGTCGTTGCAAAACTTAGTCAAGTCTATTCCACTAATTATGCTAGGGATCCGGCGACCAGAAGTTCATCCCGGCCATCCCCAAAGCCGTCTTTGCAAAAATTGCAACCAAGTCTGACAGACTTCAGGCTTTGTATGGCTCGTTTGCTGACGCTGTTTATTCATCACCGCCCTTCAGCCTTGGATATCCGGGAGAGACCACTCAAAGTACTTACTACCCGGGAAACCATATCAGCAAAGAGGAAATCGCAACGGTCTCTCAAGTCTTGGAGCAAAACTCTATTTTCCCAGAGAACACCAGATTGAGAAAGTTAGACGCGGATCTTGAATTTGAATTGAAAATCGCTTCTTCCAATGACGAAAGTCTTGGTGTCTTGCCGTTGCCTGACGGCAGAGGCAGCGTGAAGCTCGTGATGGGGGATCATGCAGTTGAGCTGCGGAAAATGTGCGTCGAGTTGACACAAGCGGCGGACTTCGCATCCAACGAGCTCCAGAGAGTCTTCATCGAAGAGTACGTAGAGAGCTTTAGGACCGGAAACCTCGCCAAGTATCGAGATTCACTACGAAACTGGGTGAAGGACAAGGCGCCGGAGATTGAAAACATTTTCGGCTTCGTTGAGCCATACAGAGATCCGCATGGAATACGAGCCGAGTTCGAGGGCCTTGTTGCGATTGCAGACGCCGCGGAAACAAGGAAGTTGACGAGATTGGTCGACAACTCGACACAATTCATCCGCAAGCTACCTTGGACCAGCCCTGAAAACGACGGAAAGGGGGTGTTTGAGAAGTCTTTGTTTGACCCACCTGATCTCTCAAGCATACACAGTAAGGTTCTCCGAGAATCAAAGAACCATCCACTTACTGACATCCCAAAGCACTGGCATATTGCTCCAGTATCATCTTTCCCGGAATTAATCTGCCCAACGTACTCTTTTCCAAAGCTTGCCTTGATTAGCGACTAGCCCGAGCTAACTCATCGGTAGTACAACGATATTAGGCAAGATACGGGATTCAAGAACGTCATCATTGCCAACCGTATGGTTGCGGAGAGCAAGGCTCAAGGTTACCCATTCATTGGCGATCACGAAGAAGCCGCATTCCGTAAAGCTAAGTTCCCAACCTACTACTGGTGGGTTGTTCTCCACGAGCTTCTAGGACATGGCACCGGCCGTATGATGGTTGAAAACACAGAAGGGGATTACAACTTCGACATCCGGAGTCCCCCTATCAATCCTCTTGATGGCAAACCTATCAGATCCTGGTACAAGCCAGGCCAGACTTGGACCGGTCAGTTTGGTGATCTTGCCACAACGGTCGATGAATGCAGAGCAGAGCTAGTTGGCGCCTATCTGATGGATGATAAAGATCTTTTAAGAGTTCTTGGGTTCACAGATGACACGGACGTGACAGCTGACGATAGTGAGTGGCACTTGGCGATGTTGGGCGACGATCGAGACATTGATACATTTGCATAGTTGCGTACAACATGTACCAGCAGCTGGGTGTGGATGGATTGCGTGGTCTTGCCAACTACAACGTCGATAGCAAGGTATGGTTGGAACAACACGTGTATGGCCGTTTAATTGGAATATTTGCTCACTTATTATTACAGCGTTGGGGCCAAGCCCACAGTCGAGTGAGCAGAATGAATACGGAACGCACAGACGACGTACTGACAACGTGGCAGGCTCACTTCGCAATTCTGAACTGGCTGCTTAAGGACGGCGGAGACTGCGTGATTATAGAGCATAACAAGACTGCAGGGACTTTGGCCGTAAAAGTCGACAGAGGAAAAGTTGCCAGTCACGGGAAACCGGCCCTCGGCAGAATGCTCCTACATCTGCACATGTACCGGTGCACAGCAGATGTACAGGCATGCCGGGAGTACTATGAAATGCTTTCCAGGCTGACTGATGAACATCTTGAATGGCGCAAAGTTGTGGTGACCAGTAAGCCACCACCACTTGTATTTGTTCATGCCAACACGTGTCTGAAGGGGGATGGGGTTATTTTGAGAGAGTACGAGCCTACGGTCGAAGGCTTGATTCAAAGCTGGGCTGAGCGCCGCATTTGAATTGCAAAATAGCACTGTTTTGTCGATAAATTCAATTAGAATGAATTGTGTCTAGAATGACTACTAGAGGCCCTGGGCCCACTGCATGATTTGAAAAATGGACTGGATAAAAGCCAACAAGAGTCCTATGCTTCCAAATAGAATAACAGCCCAGAACGTCAACCAGTTTGCAGAGTCGCGATGGTCTCGCCAAAGCTCCGCTAAAGATCGGGGTTTCTTACTTGATGCATAGTTGCACAGTCGAGCTAGTCTACCTCTCAAATGTGGGAAGTCTTTCGTTACATCATAATCCTGTCGACCTTGAGGTATCTCGGGAGACAAAAAAGCCTTGGCTCCACACAACTCAGACAGCAAAGGGTCATGTCCTTGGCGAGGAATGTCGAAGAACGGGCGAAGCTTGCGAAAGAGCTTTCTTGACCTGCGACTCTGGCCGAAAAGTAGCCTGTACGAAAGTAATATCTCTTCCATCAGTTGGACAACGTCTTGCTCTTTCGCCCATATTGTTGGTTGGCTAGCGTCTGAAGCGCAGCGATGTAACACGCTAGCTCCGCTTTCTTGTAGACTGGTAACGCAGAAAGACGGGTATCGGTAAAGAAACAAGGTGTTTGTGGTCTTGTCAAGCTCGAGGTGACAGCTCAAGCAGTCCACCCATTGGAATTTGATGCCACAAACCTTGGCCAGCAAATATGCCTCGACGTCCTCGGGTGACAACCTCCGTACTTGATCAAAAACTTTTCGATCCTCAACATCGTCAAAGGCGCAAAAGTTTCGTGGTGGCAGCATGATACCAAATCCCAGGAGAAAATCAGACAGATTTCTCTTTGCGGATGAGTGTACTTGAGCATGGCGCACATATCCTTCGCCATGATGACCTTGCATCTCGTCAACAACCACAAACTCCGATCTGGGGTAGGTGGTATCGAAGTCCGGTCTGTAGAGCATGGTGCTCCAGCCTAAAATAGCAAAAACCAGATCCCGGACCGACTGCTCTGCATGATATTCTTTGGGGACCACGACGAGTCCCAAGTCGAGTAGATAGTCTACTACATCATCGATACTCGTAGATCTGGGTTCAAGTAGGTAGTCCACTACTCTTTTCCATATGGGCATAAATGCTGTTTCGAAGGTTTTCAAATTGTCGCGATCGTAGTCTGGAAGGCTCTGAAATAAAGCCGGAGGTTGTTGCTGGACCTGTTGTAGTAGCCACCATCGACGCCATGAAGGCTCAGAATACTGCGCTCCTGCATGGTCGTCCATACTCATTCAGGTCTGTGGGGCGAGGCTCGGGGTTGCGGGGTTGTGGATGTACCTGCATTTGACCACGTTAGCCTAGGCAGCGCCAAGCATCACGATGCAAATCGAAAAGATGGCGTGATAGATGTCTTACCGAACCACTGGCCGCCAAGTCTATGCCCGTTTTTTAGGGCCTTCAATGCTCAGACCTGTCGAACAAGCTTGGCAATGCTATATCATTCGTTTGATTCGTGTAGAGGTCTCTAAGTAGTAGTATCTAAGATAAACGCAAAAGGTAGTCGCCTTTGGAAAGGCGCGAATGGAGCCAAACTTTCCAGTGCAGTCATGAGGCCAAAACGCTATTTTACATGAAGGGGCCACAAATTAATTATAAGGGTGAGAAAAGCCCGGTCCTTGGCATGTCATACGCCCTCAGCTGACATATTGGGACACCGAGTCCCAAGCTCATGGCCGTTTACATCGACTTGCAGGGGGCAGAAATCAGGCTGTGCCCCAAATCACTGTGATTGATGCTCTGTCTATCACCAACGCTTGCAGAACGGATAGCCAGACCTCAGGCTCGGAGCAGGTGAGCGTTATCGCCAACTAATCCCAGTGTCGGGTACATTAGCCGCATGTATCCAGGCGATGCACACACTGTTGAGTGTCTCAAGGGGCTAGACCTACACTGTGTATCAGGAGATTTAGTGCCAGAAGCCGAAGCTGAAGATGCACAACTTGAGTGCATATAGGAACAGAAGATTTCTATTGGTTCGTTGGTGCGTTCCCATGTTTGAAACGGGCGGGTGGCAGTCAATAAGTCATTCAGGATTCTAAACTGCAATGCCACTGACCGAACCAATGAGGTACGAAAGGCTTATCAGCGCATCCGTAATTGGAAGGAAAGAGGCGACAAATCATGAATGTCTTGGAGTTGTGTTCAACCAACAAAGTGCCAACTAAAACCAGCAACCAGGCGCACAATAAGCCCGCCAACCAGAGCGGTTGGCCAAGGTAAGTGCGGGGAGAATCAGCTCACGGAGCGAGGTTCGGCAAGCCTGTCTGTAGCTTTTGGTACCATTGATGTACATTGGAAACATTGCTTACCTGGTACGTCTGGCTCGTCGATGCACAAGTACAATCCTGATGTGAATAAAAATAGCCGCCCACCCCTCTTCCACCATTTGGTCTCCTGCCATACGGACCTCAACACGAATGACCCGAACTTTGGCTTACGCTATCTAACCTTGCCTTCCGCTCAATTTCAAGGTCGTCCAAGGTCGTCCCGAACATCCCTCAAAGTGGCTGATTTTCAAGTCCAATCCATCGTTCACATCGTTCTCGTTTAACTTGCTGAAGAGGAAGCATCGGCACAAATGGTCACCAAGTAAGCTCAATTTCGCGGCTGTTAACATCAGGCTTTGATGCCAGCATACCCTTGCAGCATCAACTATGTGCATAATGATGCGCCAGTGGCTCACATTGTCAGACACCCTTCGAGCCCTCTTTGGCACAAGGCTCTAGATCGGTACAAAGACGAGCTTGAAAGTATTGAGGAGTTCCAGTCCATCCAAGAAATCCAGTCTTTAAGAGACCTCATCAATTCGGTCGAAACTCTCCAGACTGTTGCCCCTCGAAACCATATTGGCCTCGTGCCTCTGAACAGATTGGCACCTCGGTTGAAATTCATCGATGATTTTTCCGCGGTTCTGGCCCTGTGCTTCGGGGCTGATGCGGCGTTGACGGCCGCTGTATGGGGAAGCATTCGGCTCATCCTCGGGCACGCCTCCTCAGCTGCTGAGACGTTCCAGGATGTTCTCGATATGCTCGAAGAACTCAGCTTAACATTGCCTCGCTTTCAGATGTATGAGAACACTCTTCCTCTGAACCAGTCTCTTCAAGCCGCTCTGGTCGATGTCTACTCCGAAGTCATTTGCTTTTACGCCCGTACTGTCCATTTTCTCCGTGATCATCCACACCTGGTTCTCAGAAAGACTGAATGGGCGGCTTTCAGGAAAGATTACACAAGAACAATCCTTCGCATCAAAAGAATATCATCCACTGTTGAAGCTCAAGCCGACTTAGCTCGCATGCGGAAAGATGATGCCAAGTACAAGGAAGTCTTAGAGCTGATGACTGGTCTCAATGTTGGCGAAAGAGCGCAGGAGAAGTCGACATCTTACAATAATATTCCATTTCTCATGAACAACAAGTTCTGTGGCAGAGATGAGATTTTATCGACTGTACACAACGAGCTTGGATGTCAAACTTCAGGGTCGAGGCTAAGATCCATGGCACTTTTTGGCATGGGCGGAGTTGGGAAATCACAGATTGCGATGCAGTATGCCTACCATGCTATGACCCAGTACGATGTCATTCTTTGGGTGGCGGCAGATAATTCGATTGCGATGGGGCAAAGCTTCCGGAACATCGCTGATGGCATTCACCTCTGGGATGATGGCGAGGAGACAAAGGATGCAACAGCCGCGATCTGGAAAGTCAAGAATTGGTTGAAGTCAACTGGTAAGCTAGCCGAGATCTTGCTTTCATCAAGCATAAGAAACCTTCGGGACTGACGGAGGAACATCTAGGCTCTACCTGGCTACTCATCTTTGATAATGCCGATGACCTTGCTACGTTGAAAACCGCGTGGCCTGGCCCCGATGAAGGATCGGTTCTCTTGACAACTCGGGATTTCGCTGTCGCGACCAGTATCACAGCACAATACATCCACGTACAACCGCTGGAAGATGCAGAAGGAAGCGGTCTTCTCTTGAGAGCAGCTGGAATGAAAAGGGACCAAACTGCATCATCGGACCTTGACTTAGCCTCTACTATTAGCCGGACACTTGGTGGATTGCCACTGGCATTAGCTCAGATCGGAGGTTTCATCAACCAACGAAAGCTCAGTCTTGCTGATTTCTTACGTCTTTACGAGAAGAACCCTGCTAGAATCGGATCGAGGAGGACACACGATGGGGACTACGAATACACGATGAGTACAGTCTGGGATGTGTCATTCGAGAAATTGACTGGGGATGCAACGTCGCTGCTAAACATTTTGGCTTTTTTCGACCCGGACAACATATCCGAGAGCATCCTTCTTCAGGGGTCTGATGGAATCGACGGTAAATTCAGCTTTTTAGCTGACGAATTAGAGTTGGTCTTCATGGCTTGCGCGGCCTGCAATCATCCCGCTGACTATCAGAAGCCTAGGTGACGCCTCTGAGGAGCTCTTGCGAGGCGCCCTCGTCAATCGTGCGGCTGAAGCTTCTGTATTGTCAGTCCATAGACTTGTTCAAACCGCAGCTATCAGAAGACTTCACGATAATGATCGTGTTGAATGCTTGGACAATGCTGTCCGAATTCTGTCTTGGGGGTTTCCAGATACATGGAGCAAGGACGTTGGGCACCAGATATCAGCCTGGGAAAAGTGCGAAATGTGCTTGCCTCATATTCATCACCTAGTCAAGCAAGCGAAATCAATCAAGGTTTGCCCCGGTGACAGACAAAGTCACGCTGAGCTACTCCTTAGATGTAGCTGGTAAGTACTTTAGCCAATATCTTTTGATGCCGCCTCTGATTTCATATTCAACTGCTCATCTGGGGTCTAGGTATCTGTACGAAAGAGAGATGTATACCATAGCCAGAGAATTTGTCGAGCAGGCTATCGAAAGCTTTGAAGACAAAACGACGCCCAGCTTTGCTAGTGCTATTGACCTCGGGGGTCTAATTGACATCGACCTTAGCCAGCCTGCTCGGTCTCTAGCCCCGTTCAACAGAGCGCTTGAAATCCGGCAGAAACACTTTGGCCCAGAAGACCCATTCATCGCGTTCAGTCTAAACAACATTGCTTTGGCATACACGGAGATGGGAGAGCTTGAAAAGGCCCACCGGACACACCAAGAGGCAATTAGACTCCGGCTCCAGGCAAACAGTGACAGGATTGGAAATTCTTACAGCAACATGTCCAGCTTGCTCTTGCGGATGGGCAAGCCAGACGAGGCTGAGGAAATGCTTGCAAGATGTCCATCGCTGAAGGACTTCACAGACGAGACCTTCCTTGCAACTGGAAACCCACGGTTTTCTGGGGACATGGTACTGCTATCTCGCATACGAAAAGCCCAGGGGCAAACAACCGAAGCTTTGCGACTGGCCTCCAAAGCCCTCGCATTCAGACAGAAGCTTCTAGGAAACCGACTGAAGACCTGTGACTCGATGTATGACGTAGCTTCCATGCTGTTGACAACAGGTCACGACAGTTCCGCTAGGTGCGTAGTAATATACGTGACTCGTTGGCAATCTGAATTCTAAAAGAAATACTAACTATATACCAAAATCCAAAGGCAACTTCTCGAAGAATTAGTCTCAATCTCGGAGACTTTTATCGAGGGCGAAGGACAGAGAGCTCGGGCCTTGTTTAAACTATCGGGCATCTACGAGAAAAAGGGGATGGTAAAAGAGAGCAACGACAGTAGAGCATTGGCTTTGGAGATTCGTCAGAAACTGAAACCGGAATTCAAGAATAACTTGTTTCAAGAGTCCGAGTTTGCGAAGCTCTGTGTGTGGATGCTATGGTAGTTCAGGTAGTGATCACGGAAATCAGACGAGTAGTTAGTTGTGCATCCGGTCGGGTGGTGTTAGAGCGAGGGAGGGATGCGTGGAAATAGGGTGAGTGATTAGACCAGTTCATGTAGTAGATACCAATGACTCGGAACGTGAAGCGCTAGGTCCTTGAATTAGGATAAACGGAAAAAGAAATGGAAAAAACACGTTTTGTGCCTGGAGATTGATGTTGGTTGGGGCTCCCAAAGCGTAACCACTTAGGATTAAGCGCATCGTACCGATCCCATTGTAGCTGCATAACATGATGGTCGCAACCTTCAAGGTCGCATTTGCTAGCAAAAGCTGAAGACGCAACGATCTGGAGGCGCAATTTTAGAAGTACAATGGGCACGCGCCGCCTTGTATGTAGCTGTCGACCCTGCGACGCGCGCTTCAATGGGGCCCTTATCCACGTTCACCAAAGAGACATTGATAAACTTCAGCCGATCCAGCGTGATGATGCAAATCTGTCTACACCGTCCACGTGTGAGCTTTTTGGGGGCATGATCGGGGACTATGATTGAATGTGATTGTGAACGTTGCAATAGGACATTTAAAGCCATTCATAAGCGTGACTGAGTCTTCAATATATTCATACTATTACCACATGAACCTTGATGAGATTAACCATTACGCCATTAATCGATTTAGATTGTAAAAGCCTTCAGCGCCGAATGCAAATATTTTGGTGACATGACCACTAACATAGACCGTAAAATGAAATGTTTGAGTTTGTCTGAGTGTTTCTTGCAATCATTCTCGAATCTTTCATGAATGCTGATGAGCCAAAAAATCACTGTCGATCCCATTTGTCTTCATCTCTGTATCGTAGAAGACCACAAATCAGGTCCTACAACTGCTAAGATAACTGCCGGAGATAGTACGCGTATCGATTTTATACCACAAGGCTGGTACAGACCGGGAGGAGATGCAGAAGGCCATCACAGATTTTGCCTGCACCTGCAGGACTGGACGATTGCGAGCGACCAGTTCATGACGATTTCGGAGAGGTAGACAACTCTAAGAAGCCTTGAAGGGAAGGACAGGGGGGCTTACGGCGAGGGCGACCAAGAGACGCGAGCCACCTCATTCAAAGATCACTCGGCTGCTTCAGATACAATCAGACTCCTGAGCAGTACATAACGAGATGAGGGAGACGAAAGCAACGCCAAATCAACCTGTAGTGCAAGAAGACTGTGGCCAATGAACGATCCCTTCCCTGCAGGGTCATGCTTCAAGATCAACTCAGAAATATGTCACACTAGATTTAGCTATCCTTAATAGTGGGGGAAGAAAGCGCAATTCCCCGAGTTCGGAATCGTGACTGTGTCCCATTCTTGTGGCCAGGCTTGCAGCTTCTTACTCTCGAGAGTTCAGGTCTCACACGTTATGGATGCTGTCAATCCACTGGAGTCACCTCTAAGGTGAAGCATGGACCAATGATCTTGACGCAGCTTAGCACTTGATATGCCGAGTGGAGGGTGAGGGATATTCCACACACACAGTCTTACATGCAGCTCTCGACGCACCCGAATGGGTTCTTCGTGCACATCTACCACAGACACAGTGAAGACTCAAAAACACATACAGTGACACTTATTTTACAATAAGTCATCAAAGAAGCGTTCAGCTTCGGATCCCCTCTTTCTGTGCCGTCTCGAATCGAATCGTAGCCAAGATAATGACGATGAACAATAACAAATCTCAGCGCAAGACATATTTCATTCTCCGTAGCACCGAGTACCAGCCTGACGACCTCATACAACTTGGCCAGCTCATCGAGGACCCTCGCGCTCCTTACGAGCCCTTAGCGCCTCCCATCAGGCCTTTCCCTACCAATGCCGTCCGTGTCAGCCACGAAAGCAACTGGTCCTTGACCAAATCCAAAGGAGCAGCGAGACATACTGGTGTCTTTGCACAGTTTGTTTCTTTGGTCACGGCCGAAACCTCGATCCATGAGTCGACCGAGACCACGCGCTCGTGGAGAGCGGCCCAGCTCGAGACAGCTTCCCTCGGACTGGGAACTAATAAAGAATCCGACTACGTCAGCGCTAGCGTGCAAGAGGCGGCGGTGCAGAAGCGTCTGACGCGCGAAGGGTTCTTCAAGAAAATGGTCGTCAGCAAGAAAGTGTTGTACATGATCACGGGGATCAAAATTGCGAGAAGGCCTGGCCAGGTCTCGTACGGAGTGATGAAGACGACGGGGATCGACGCGAAATTTGGCGCAGACCCTGGGACCGGGGGACTGGCCATGCCCGGCGTACAAGGTGGCGTGAACCGTTTCAAGAATGATGTTGAGAGCAGCATGCCGGAGGAGGATTTCGTATTTGCCTACAGACTGCGAAAGATCCACGTCAACTTCAGCAGCAACAGAGCCCTATTACTAGGGAGCGTAATGTCTGGGGCCGAGCTACATGGACATGGTGTTGGAGGAGGTAGCGAGGATACAAGCTCTGAAGAGGAGAGCGATGACGAGACACCCGACGAGGTTGTCGTTGATGTCGATGAGCTTGATACAGTCTTAGTTGAGAACGAAGACTTCGGACAGTCGTTACCCGCTCGGGACGCCAAGAATACCGGCTTTGATGAAGTCGATGGTGATGACTGCCTTGTCATAGTTGCAGATTAATCGAGAAAAGACCATCGTGTTCAACATGATTGCATTAGCGTTTATTTCGATCTAAGAAAAAACCGAGGACTATTTGTTCCAGGCGCCCAAACAATGCCGTAGCATCAGTGCAAAAAATGAAACAGAGCTGCTTTTTTCTTCCCCGCTGAAGTTGAAGTAGTTGTCCCGGCCCACCCAGGGATTGAGGTAGTTGTGCTGGTCCGCAGCGGGCGCCATGCACATCTTCAATAGTATGATCCGGATGGCTTCGACCGTCTTGAATTCCAAAGCCGGTCCGAAGTCTATCTCAGCTTTGTTTGCGTCGTAGAACTGGTATAGTATGGCAATGAGGGACGCAACTATCGGCGTCGCGAACGAGGTTCCCGACATGGCAACCCATAATCCTGGATGCTTCTTTGAGTTCTTCTTTTCTACCACCTTCAGAGCCGATTCCGTGTCCTTGTCTTTCAGAGCTTCCGGCCAGATCGACACGACATCGTGGCCTAGAATGCTGAAGCAAAAGTCACCGTCCAGGCCAGACCTTGGGCTGAAGGAGCACTTGCCGCCTTGATGGTCAGCTGCAAAGATTTTGAAAACATCGGTGAGCCGAGCAGGGAAGGGAACGTGGGGTTTTGTGTTCCCAGAGTTGCCTGCGGCCGCACATAAGATCTTATTCTTAAAAATGGCATTTCGAATGACCGTTCGAAATTCTGGCGTTTTAATACGTGGGAACCCAAAAGACATCGAAATAATGTCGGTGTCCCATACCTCGACGGCATGTTTGATTGCCTGATCACAAAATCGTGTTCGTTAGCTGATGTCCCCAGGTTTTATGATGGCTTGAAAAAGATAGGGTAACAGTCGTGTGTTACACGCACTTACCTTGGTGACCTTTTCCTCTGCGTCGGGATCTTTCAATAAGGAGGCTCGCGTTGTGGCCACCCGAGCTATAGAGAGCTCAACGAGTGGTGAGAGCTGAAGCATAATTCCGGCAATGAAAGTGCCATGCCCATCCTCATCGATCGCTTCCATGCTGGGGTTCTCTGTCACGAAGTCCTGGAAAAGCGCCACCTTCTTGTTCGCTGCTTGCCTGAAGTCTTGCAATTGCCGCTTGATGACAAAGGGGTGAGTTTTGTCGAGACCTGTATCAATAATGGTTACCCTGACACGCTCCATGTTCTTGTCCTGTCGAGTACTAAGGATCATATCGCGAGACCTGATGAAGTCCCTCATCCACTTTTCGCTGTTTCTGCAAGTCATCGTTATTTCCTGCGCAGTAGTAGTATTATAGTTAATGTGAGTGGGACTTACTGTATACTGCTGAGTTCAGTCTCTGAGTCGAAAAAGGCATGTTCTGAGTCGAGATGTAATGGTGTTTCTACCAACATTAGCTTTGGTTAGTTGAATCATCCAAACGCCACTCAAATTGCTGAATACTTACCGGGCTCCGACCACTCCGAAATTCCGGTGTCTCTTTTGCTGATTCCTTGCTGAATTTCAAGATCCTCAGATCTCTCTGCTTGTTCTTTCTGAGCCGCTTCTTCCTCCGATACCATGGCCCACACCGTTGCCTTCTCCTCCAGCTTTCGCTTATCCATCAAGTCTTTCTCTTTTCTCTTCTGCTCCCCCTCTTCATGCGACCTCTTAAGTCGAGTTTCTTCAGCCCTTTTATTTTCTTCTTCTTCCTCTTCTCTGAGTCTCTTCTGCTCTTCATTTCTCTTCCTTCTCTCCTCGTACCGCTTCCTCTTTTCCTCGATTTCTTTTTGTCTCTTTTTCCTCCGGTCTTCTTCCTTCTTCCTCTCTAGAACCTTTTGAATCACGGAGCTCCATTGACTAGCCAGCCTCCTGCGGTGAGCAATTCTTAGTTCTGCTTCTTTCCTGGCTTCTGCCAACGCCCTCTGCCATCTTTGTCTGGCCAATACTCTTCGACAAATGAGATACCAAGCTTCGCGCATCTCCTTCTTCCGCGGTATGACATTCTTTACCACATCGGCACGAATCCTTTTCAGGCACTTCTTCCATCTCTTACTCGCCAGAGTTCCTGTTGCCTTTCTCCACTCATCCCTGACTTCTTCCCCTATACTTGGTGCGATTCTGAGTTGACCGGATTCATGGGCACCATACCTCCGTATGCGGGACTCAATAATGTTGTATACTTCGTATCCGCGCTTTCGATCCTTTAGATCCAAGGTGAACAGTTTGAATGCCTCGATTCCATGTTTTTTTATGTCGTTCAGTTCGTCATCACTCATGTCGTCTCCGATCTTGACCAGCGCACGGACACGAGTCCTATTCAGCCTAGCAAGCTCCATAGGCTTTCGATTTCGGTTTTCCAGCAGAACTTCAGTACAATGAAGGACATTATCGATGTCATCATCCTGATCACTATTTGTCTTGTCGTTCATATTGTCCACGGCTAGCGCCAGTGCCTTAGAGTTGAGCTTCTCAGCTTTCGCAATATCTCCTCCTCCCTCTTGTCTGGCGAACTCGATGAGTGCGGCCACCAAATCCCTTCGAACCTCCAAAACTTTCAGAGGATCGGGAGGTTTCTGGGAGTTACGGGCCTTGAGAACTTCACGGTAAAGCTTCTCAGCCTCGCTATACTTTTCCATGTGGAAATAACACTCTCCCAGATGATGCCGCGCGACGACTATCTCCATGTTGTCGCGGGGGAGTTTCTGGATATTTTCCCACAACATCGCGTCTAGAATTAGTTTGGCAGCTTCTTCGGCTTTGTGTGGGTCAGTTTTCAACTTCGCAGCTTCTTCGATTGCTCTTCTGAAGTCCTGGAGGCTAAGATTTGTGCGATTTTCGATACTTGAATGTTTCGGAATATTTTCAACAGACTTGTGTTGAGGAAGCCCCGGTTTCTGATGTGCAGCTGAGTCTCCTACAATCAAGATATTGGCTTCTTCTCTCTTGATTCTTCCAAGTGGTTGAACATTTGTTGTCGCCTGTGGTGGTATGTTTAATGAGCGTGTGGGATGACCGATGGAAGGTCTTAACGTAGGCTCGGCACTTCGTCCTCTCGGCATTTGATCTCTTCCGATAGACAAGTCTGTTTGACTGCGTACTTCTGACCCAGTTTTTGAGCTGCTGAATCCTGGTCTAGGCTGGTTGAAGCTCGAAGATCGACTGTGATAGATATGATTTGTTTCGGACAGAGACCTTTGCCCGTCACCGTTCCCCGCTAGGGTCGACCCGTTGCCGGGAATCGCTGGCAGCATCGAGACAGACGACACGATGACGGTAGTTCTCAGGATCCTCAAATGATTAGGCTGCCACTGTTGTGAGCTGTGCTGATGTCTCGATGTAAGGTATACGACAATGGGTAACGGAATTCGGGTAAAATTGCGGCGTGTTTGACGACACAGTACGTGGCTGCGATTATTTGAAGGGAAGGTGTCGAACGAATTACCTTAGCTAGAGGCTAGAGGCGGGGTGTTCCACCTAACCAACCGCAGCGCCTCCTGACCCTTGTCAGAGGTATTTGTTGCCGCTGGAGGCGAGCTGACATGCATCTGACAAGTTGTTGGAACGGAGGGCCACAGTTCCGGCACTGTTTCCAAAGGGTTTAGAAATATCTAGAAGACCTCTAACACAAGTAACTAGGGAGATAAACTATTTGCTTCAACTACCTACCGACCGGAGCTCGAAGTTCCCAATTCGACCGCTTTCAAGGCTTCACTGTAGTCGAAGCCATGATACCTGCTTTGCTTCAGTTGGGCGAATGCCTACATGAGGTGTCATGACTCCTTACTCCATGTGCGGGGTCTGCAACTCATGTATCCACAAAAGTAAAGGACTTGCATGGGTCTTCATAAAGTCTCTGTCCTCCTACCACATCCCGATATTCCTTCCACACATGTGCCGTTATTGCAACAGACATGCTCTCATGCGATTTTGTTTATGGAAGCGTCTTGACCTCCGTAACTGTCAGCCAACTTTCAAGACTCATAATGAAAAAAAAAAAACCTTGCAACACACTTGTAGCATATTGACGGAAAGACTGCGACTGGATCTAAGCCTAGATAGCGAATATGCAAAATCAGGCTGAGCATCATGTGTTGCCATTACCAATCCTGCTCGCTAATGCAGTCATCTCATCGACCAAACCTATTCTGGAAGAATACCGATGCATCCACCTCTGGAAGCGCCAAACAACCGACATCTTCAACATGCACTATTGGTCGCCAACGTCAATCACCAGTAACATGGCCAAGGTGGGACGTGGAGTTGGAAAACTGGACGAGCTTTGTGAGGGGCTGGCCTCTAAACCACATCGCTTCCTGTGAGCGTTTTGAAGCACAGTGTGCAGCCTCAAGGCCGCTACCGTCGATCTGTTATTGAGTACCTCCCGGCCTCCGCTCGAAGACTGCGTGCTATGCACAGCCTTATCATCGGCTTCCCCGATATGCCGAGTTGCCGCGCAGAAGTCAGGAGAGGGCTGGCATTTAGCTTGCTAGGATGAGGGCCCATGTGGGTGACAAGGATGCTATCAAATCTCCCAGCCTCATCTTCGATTTCATTGTATCTGCGCAAATGAATCATTATGAGAGTTTCAAGGGCGAATAGACAAACCTCAAGGGAGGTAGGCAGTCAGAGAGCTTGAAGAGCCTCTCATGGTTCTCGAGCTTAATGACGGCTTGACCGTTCCTGGCTTCAGCCTAGAATGGTTGTTCGACCATCAAACACTGCCGCCGGGCCAAAGACAACTGAACAAAGTCCAGGTCCTACATCTACCACTCATATAGAATCCAAGGTTCTGCTCGATGAACGCGATGACACCACCCGTATTACCATTACACAGACACTTCCTCGAACTTTGAGCACCCGAACCGCAACTGTCACGCTTCACGGCGATGTTCCAACATCGCCACCTCCTCACTCGTCCAATGGCGTCAGCGACCAACAACTTGGGGCCATTATAGGGGCCACATGTGCAACGATAGTTACCCTCTTGATTCTCGGATGTTGCGTTCTCAGAAGACGGCGGCAGAAGAAGTCGTTTGGCAAGTCATCTGGCAAGGGCAATTCGCCTTTTTTATCACCGCCGCTTCGGTCACCTTCATGGTCTCCCCGATCATCAGCCGGACTTGGAGGTCGGCGAGCATCCAAACACCACAAAACAGCATCTTCATCGTCTACAACAGCAGAATCCGTGGACAGCCCACATCAACCGCCTCCTCGCGATTTTGGAGTTCCAAAGCCCCCGCCTTCTACTGATCGTGGGCCTCCAAGACCTGCTCCGACATTCACTTTTCCACCCACAGGTCCGACACATTTCACGACGGGACCTGGATCAAGTAGCTCCAAGCAGGTACCCAAATCGTTGGGTAAAGAATATCTGGACCGGCTGCCAAAGCCTCCAGTATCCACAAATGACTTTCCCGACTTGGGTCCCACGATGGACAGCCGGAAACGCCCGGAGATCAACCCCGAATCACAGATGCCACCGTTCGCTACTAGACCTATGGCCTCCTCAGCTCAATCGCAACCTCCATCGACGCTTTCCCAAAAGACAAAACTATCTCAGACGCCTCGATCGGGACCGATGACTGCGGGGATGACGGCGACTCTCCCGGTTGGACATCCGAGCGCAGGCACAACTTCCAAACCCAGGCCCAGCGGCAACATTCAAGACCCATATTATGATCCCAATATCGTAATCGCCGGTGTGGATAACATCCCGAACCCAAATATAAACAGCCATATGTCTCGATCTTCTGTTCAAGGACGCCCGAGAATGGTTTCATCCACCAACAAGATACCTCGAGCAACATCGTCGTTTCAAGAGCCACCGACACCTGTGTTGCCTGGGCCTTTCACTGGGAATTTAAGGAAGAAAAAGCAGGTTGAGTTTCAACCAATCGTTGAAGAATCGATCCCGAAAGTACCAACTGAGGGTGGCTCGCCATCAAATTCATTGAAACATGAAAAAGAAAGCTCTGTGAAGGGCAGAAAAAAGTCCACAATTTCTGAGAACCGAGGCAAAAGTCACCCTAAGCCACCACTCGAGGTTCTGATTGAGCCCGAAGTGAAGTTTAAGGATGCAGATGAGACGTACAAGCAGGCAAATTCTCCCGTCAAGTCGACATCGGGGGTCAAGAGCCCTCTTTCCCGAACACAATCGAGAGTTTCATCGCCTGAAATCATTGGTATTGATGGAAGGCAACCACCATATGTGGTAAATGAGCCAGCGCCAAAGTCTGATCCAGCTGAGGAGGTCAATTATCACGGCCCCGCGGCTCCAGCGGAGGATGCGAAAAGCTCTCCCCCAAGTCCCGATCCGAAGGCTCCGTCACCTGCAGTCATTAACGTTAATCCCGGACCCCCACCGCCACGAGCATCGAGCACATTGGGCCACACTGGCAACCATATTAAGTCTAGAGACCATAGCAAGCTCAAAAGCTTTCTTGACGGTAGACCAGGAAGCAGAAGACCTAGCTTTAGTGTCCCAGGTCCCGCACATACCGGTACGTCTTGCTACCAGTGACATAAGTCGAAGTTCTTGCTGACAAAAAACTGACAAAAGCTCCTGTTTCCCATTCTTATACGACTTATACTCGGGTCCCCCCACCTATATTTCCGTCAACAACTTCACACCAGCATGCAGCAACCTATCCTGATAATGGATACTATCACAGTCAGGGCGACGCGTCAAATTATCGTCGCCCCCCTATTCATGCAACAGGGGAAATTGTGACTGAAACGACTGAGCTGCCGCAGGCGAGACGCGTTCAAGCCGCCGGTCGACGCGGGCGTCAGATTAACAGGAAGACCAAAGCCATGATTTACTTTTCTGGAAGGGAGGACAAGGGGGAGAAAAAAGACCGAAAGAAACGGTCACCCAGTCGACGGCGTCCATCTGAAAGGCACGGCTAGAGTGGTATTGTCCGAAAAAAGGATGTAACGATACCCTTGAATGTACAAACTGGGCTTCCGTTTATCATGTCATAAGCGATGGGTGGGCATTTCTTTGAAGATTTCTGATTCTTCTGCTAAGCTATACATAAAGTAAGACATCAATCATACTGTGCATACGTCAGAGTCTTGTATTGTTGGTGGCTTATTTGGAGTATGAAACGTTGGGTCACATGTTTTCTGGCCAAAGTATTCAATGCTGATAGAGAGTGCCAGTACGAGGCGAACAACATAAATGTACTTATGTACATGGAAGGAGGTACTCTCAGGTCGGCCCGGGCAGGTATGTTTTGATTCTTGCCTGGGGCTCGATGGCATTTATGAGCAACGTCAACCGCCCGAAAGCCCCTCTTTGCTCATCCAAGAAGCACAAGGCCAGGCGATAGTGCGGAGAAAAGTGATTGGAAAGTTTCACCTCCTCTTCATTGGAGCCAGAGAGGCTCTTATTTAACCGCTAATACTTAATGGACAGGTGGCTATGGAGAGACGTCAAATTATGGCATCCTACCACAAATGGGCAGAGTTGAAAGTGAATCCATAAACATTCCGTCGTAGATACATGTGACGAACTCAACTGGATGGGGCAGATATCACAGCTTTTTTCAATCAATTAGAAGTTCAAGTTGCTTACAATATGTACTTTGGACGTTGCTGAGCTTGTTCCCCCCTCATGTCTCCTTCGTTTCGACAGGCGCCTTGTACTCGCAGTAATAAGTCTCAAGAGGTAGCAGTCTGAGCCGCAATGGGTCCCTTGGCACTTCCTGAACGCCCAGAGCCACTGCTGAAATCCCAATCAAACTCTTGCGCACCAGTCACGGTGACTGGGTTTCCATCCAGCTCAACAGTCTGCGTCAAAGTCACAGTTGAGATGGTGTTGGCCATGCCTAGGAACACACTTGTCAGCAAAACATTAATTTCGCCATCTACTGGTAAAGATAACTTGAGGTCGTGGCTTACGGACGCCACCGAAATCATAGGTGAAGCTTGGGTCAGAGCATGACGCGGTCTCGGTCTTTGTCTGTGGGTTGTAGAGATAGCTGCAAGTCACCTCAATCGGCGCAGCGAGCTGGCTGTTTGTGTACGTTGCGTCGACGCCGTAGGAGAGGTAGCCGCTAGCGGGGAAGGAGACAAATCCAGAGAAATCCCAGGAACCGTAATCGGCCCGGCGGACGGCAGCAGTTGAGGCCGTGGCCGCAAGGGCGAGGATGGAGGCGGCGTTGAAGAGCATCGTGAGTGAAGGTATGTACAAGTGGATATCGGAGCTTTATCGAAACGTCCGAGAAAATGGCAAGAACCTAGGGCGTGTCTGTGGATAATAGACTTTTATTCTCGAAGGGACGTGGTTGATTCTAGCATTTATACATTTGAAAGTGATCGTCATAGCCGCATGGCGCCAATTGCCCACCTAAAGTTGAGGTGCCTTAGGGTATCCATACGCTATGAACAATGAGAACAAAGCCGCGCTATGTAACCTTCCCTTCATACGGTCGTAATCGTCAGGCGAATAGTCTAAAATACGAAGGATAGGCACGTCGTTTACCATTACAGGCACTAGGATGGCACGGTTTGACCTGATGGTGCAACACCTAATTCGCGGACCGGCCTTTCCCCAGAATGAGGCCATGCTGCCGTGCTGTCCCCCACCACAAGCTGCAAGGCACCTATGGACAAGTGCAAGCCAGGCCCTGTTCACGGCCCGCTTTCCGTCACACCCATAAAGAGGTTGTATTCTTGATTGGAGCGGTCGAGTGGGAGCCGCGTACAATGATCACTGTTATTAATGGGCGCAAGTACCCCTCACGCTAGTTATGTACGCTTTCTTACCTGCCACTATGTACCGGAAAAATTGTAGCGAGGTAGCAACAGTCTTCGGTATCGCATTCAGGGGACTCGTGCAATACGAGGTTGATGGGACTACACCGGTGGACGTGCTGCCTTGATTTGACTGAATAGCTGCAGACTGCTAATATGCGAGGAAGCAAAGGAAAATCCGCGCTGTACTCCACCAATTACTGTCTGACAAAACAGAAATCGATGCGGTCTTGGGACCTGTTAAGTTGTACTACCTTTGTGATGCGGTTTGCTGTTGGCTCGCATCTGCCCCACACACTGCAGTTCATGCTTCCAGTTCCAACTTGCGAAAAGCTCATCTTTTGTAGAGGACTTGACATTACATTACGAGGCTAATATGTAGGAAATATCTATAAGGCAATGTGAGAGCCATCATTACTGGATGTGCAATATGGATGATATTCTGTCAGCCTTTTTGCAAGCGTATGCAGGATGGCGTCGCTCGAAGAGCCCATTTTAAATATCAATCGAGACTGCACTGGTGAGCTTGGCGTTTTCGAAATTGACGAGCTTCAACAATGGAGCTGAGACGTTCCAGTGATTTCTATCCTTTATGAAAAGGCTGAAAGTTCTGTGAAATCGCCAATTGTTTGGACTTCGTACATAATCATGATGAATTGACAAAGCATACGACATCTTTAAATTCTCACAAGCCCTAGGACACCCCTTCCTCCGTTTGATACTTCTCCCGATAACTGCATGAACTAACCCAATACCCAGAAGAAACCCCGAAACAATCTTTGCATACTTAAAACAGGTTTTGAATGCTTATTTTCCACCTTAGTCAAGCAAAGGCTATAAGACATTCAGCCAACAATCTTCGAACTTGACTTGCATTCCGAATGTTTCATCAGTCTGGCCAGCTTAGTCAAGGCAATACCCTTCACCTTGAATCGCTCGCTGAAGATGTCCCGTTGTCCAGAATCCTGGCCTTCTCATGTTCAAGCCCCGATCATGAGTCTTCTCTTGTGGAATGGGTTCTCGGAGGTATTATCAGGAAGGGAACGGCGGGTTCCGGGAGGGGAAGGTGCCGGCTTGGACTGTCCTCCAACCTCAAGTTTGAATCCGCTTCCATCCCTCAAGAAAGAGACAGAGTACTCTGAGTTACAAGTTGCGGCACGGACGGTGACCTCTTGACGGGTGTTGGGATCGTTGTTGTTGGAGAGACGGACAGTGATGTCGTACTTGAAATCTTTGTTCGAGAGCCAGACCTTGCACAGGCCTGTGGCTTGGTCCCAGGCGACCTTGGCAGCCACGACATATGCTGTGACAGAAACGGGATTGGCTCTTCTGCAGTTGAAGACGCCAAAGTTGAACCAGCTGCCTTGACGGGCTGCCAAAGCGGAGGGGTGATCCGGAATGAGGCTAGGAGCTAAGGTCAGAAAAGTCCGAAAAGTGTGAAGTGAAGACAATCACTTACGCCAAGTCAGTGGATGCTTCGCGCTTGAATGTGTCCTCAATGTCGCGAACGGCCAAATTCTTGAGCTCGTTGTACAATTCCGAAGCGCCAGGAGAAGAAACCTCCCGGTCCACAACAACGGGGCTGGGCTCTCCGATGGCAATGGCTGAGGCAGTGGAGGCCAAGGCCCACATAACAAAAGAAGAGAGACGCATTTTGGAGAATGACCGTTGGGTAGTTTGAAAAACGAAGGTAGTGGTTTTGTTCAGAACGAAAGGAGTGTGATGATGGCGTTGGTAGAGATTAGCAAGTCTCGGAGGAAGCTTACGACTTATATGCCCCTGGCCAAAAGGGAGTATAAGCATATGTCAACTCACCCCTCTCGCGTCTTCTATACTTGCTGCCCACGTCCGGAACCTGCCCAGGTCGGTGATTCGGCGTATGAAAAGAAGCATATTAGATGAACTGGTTTGAACTAGTCGCGGATAGCTCGGAATTCAGGCGAACTTCTACCACATGTGTGGCTGTAGACTTTTTTGTGTATTCCGAGTCAGGATCGCGAGAGTTAGCTGACATTGAACTTCGTGTTTGAGGTGTCAAAGCTTTTTCCATCCGAAACGAGGCGGCGCAGAAGTTTGCTTGAGATTGTACCCGCCAATACCCCCTGCTAGCTGATGGTCGCTCATCAAAAAGTATTGAAGAGAGAAAAGTCTATGAAAGAATGAGACGAACACATAGGGTGCTTGCCGACTTGGCTTTGTGCGCAATTCTTGGCATCAGGCTTGTTTGCTAGGGATGACCAGCCTGTATTCGAGGTTGGGCTTCGGAAATCTTGATTCTTGGGACAAAGTGCTTCGCCCAATAGCAACAAGTAGCCGTTCCAACATACCGGAGGTACTGACCTGCCAGCACCACAGAGAGACTTCCGATTATAATGAGGGCATTTCAACCCTTACAGCAAATAGCAACGTGAAATATTCTATCTGACTTCATGCTTAGAGAAAAGACATCTCGTAATTGAGCCCTATAAGGAAAGGACCCTTAACTTAGCGCAAGGTACAACCATGACTACATGTCCGCTTATTCAATAGCCATTACCAGTAAAAGCCAATTTGCCCGATCTGGCCGAAACTGAGAGGGCGATAAGAACTCAAAGTTCGCGAACCTTTACGGATTGGGCCACTCGAGACTGGGCTGTGTTCGAGGACCACGAATACAGTGATCCCTGCGCTTTTGGGGTCCATAAGTCTAGGTAGGTTGCGGCTAGTGCAAATCACCCACTACAGGTCACGAACCATAAGGTTGACTGTGCTTCGAGTAAGTTCATCCATCTTGAATCATCCGATCAGGAGAAGAGTTCTCGGTCTCATTATTTCATGCTTTCCGTTCATCTAATTTACTTTTGGGGTACGATCGGTCGATGCCGAGCCCAGACTTGCAATGAGAACTCCGACGGATTCGGCAACATCACGGCGGGAAATACTCTTTGTCAGACTTGCCAGTTGAAAACGACTAGAACAAGAGTATATAAATCATGTCCTCCGTGTGAGTACTGGGCCTTCTAAACCACACCAGCTATCGACCACCATCTTTCCGCAGTCTTTACCATTTATCGAGCTTTCGTCTCACTTCACTCTTTCAACCAACAATCTTTTCTCACTCTTTCTCAAAATGCTTCTTAAGTCACTTGGGCTCCTGTTCCTTGCGTCTGTGTAAGTACTTGGCCTTACCAACACTAATCTACCCATAACTAACTTGAATACGATACAGAACAGTCGCTGATCTACACTCTTACTGCGCCTGCCAGTTTGGCAGAGACAAGGAACTTGACTTTGAGACTACCAAGAAAGTCGCCGAAGACCCTTGCAGCAACCCATTCACTTGGGGTGAGTTTGCTCTTTTCCACAACGTGATACTTCGGCAACATACTGACTGACGGCTACTAGCACCTATCGTCTATCAGCCCCACCAGGCACTTACCTGGGCTGCTACTGACAGAGTCAGGTGGCGTGGCTCATACGTAAGTCGCATCAAATCGTCTAAGAACTCGGAAACACAAATTGACATAAACGTTAGTTGCAATGCGCATCAGGAGAGAAGTGCATCGATGGTGATGACTTTGTCCGCCAGTGCCGCAAATTCAACCCCAATGCTGATGGGGCTTGTGTTGAGTGCCCCGGCTGGCCATCGCAGAGTGGCAATGGGGAGATCATTTGCAACTAGCTTGCCACCGCGATGGGAAAGGATATGGTTTTTGGCTACCCATGGGATTTGGATGTTTGTAAAGTGTTTGTTGATCGCCTGTTTCTAGTTACATGAGTGCAACTAAATCGAATTCTAAGATGCCCCTTGAGAAGACTCAACTTGAAGCAGAAAAAGTGCCTTCAATATCATGAACGCTTATCCAAGATTTAGGTGAGCCTTGAAGAATAGAAAGTCTGCCATTGGCATTGGAGTGCCTATCTCACTTGAGAGAAGTGGCTTTTTGCTTTAAACATGCAAATCATCAATTCTGCAGATCTGCGGAGTTGTCGTTAAGCTTAACTCAACGCTCGGAAGAGGCAGCAATTCTCTGCATATCAGATCGGCATCCGTTCCCCGAGCACGTTCATCTAGACCACGTTGGATTCATCTTTCTTTGGGTGGGGCCGGTGGCACGCCTCTACTCGGGATACCGGGAGTTTCCCGCGGCGAGGTTCCCCATCTTATCCCGCCGGCACCTTCTGGAGGAATGACGGCACCGTGCCCCTTGGCGGTTGACATCAAACTATCAGGCCGTACTTCACACCCGTTGAGGTAGATGATAAGTCATCGCATTTTCGTGTAGAAAGCCGTTGTATCTGATACACGTGAGTCGAATCATCAAGTTTAAGGACTTGAACGACTCATAATTTTTGTCAGATATTTGAGATGTCGAAGATGACGAACCAGGGTCACAACTGGCGACTGACCTTGGGTCTTCCGCTAGCCGTTGCCGGGATTTGCGCCTATCTTTGGACAGGACAGAATGGAGCTAGTCAGTCGACTCAATCAAAGTACAGCCCAACAGCTTCGGTCACGATCAATCAAGGCAACATTATTGGCAGACTTGTGACCGACGGCACATTCCCAGAACCGCTGGAGGGCTTCATGGGAATTCCATATGCACTTCCCCCAGTTGGACAATTAAGATTCAGACACGCTGTCCCGGTGCCGTCTGGGAATGGGACACTGGAGGCATTTAAGCTTGGTCCAAGGTGATTCTGAACCCAATCCTCCGGGAAGTCCCAATGCTTACAAACATATAGATGTCCAGGAAAGCAGCTTGTTCCTTTCACAGATGACGAGTGGCTTGGCCCTGATTGGGAAAGCGAAGACTGTCTGACGATCAACGTGTATCGACCCAAGGGGCACACGGCCGCTGCAAAAAAGCTGCCCGTTGCTGTGATGATTCCTGGCGGGGCCTTCAACCGTGGTGCTGCACGGATGCACAATACCCCGTCTATGCTGGCGTGGTCTGAAGAACCCTGGATCGGGGTGTCGATGCAATATCGAATTGGCGTTGCCGGTGGGATGAATAGTGCACTGACGAAGAAAGAGGGTCTGCTGAATCTCGGACTCAAAGACATGTATGTGGCGTTGGAATGGGTCCAAAAGAATATCGCGGCTTTTGGCGGTGATCCTGATGATGTGACTATCATGGGGCTGTCCGCCGCGGCGCATGGAGTATGTTCGAGTTAGTCGCTCAGTTGGCCGTTGCTGACATCATTCAGATCGGGCATCTCATCATGGATGTCAACCAGAAGAAAACCCTCTTCCACAAGGCCATCATGGACTCCGGAGGCCACACTGCTCGAGTTGTGCACCCGCCTGAGTCTAAGCTGAATGAAGCTCATTTCGAAGAGTTTCTTGGACTCACCGGCTGTGGTCACAGACCTGAGAACGAAATACTGCCCTGTCTCCGAGCATTACCATCCTCCACCATCATTGAGTCTGGCCAGAAGATCTATGAGCAATCTAACCCTTCTGTGCGATGGGCTTGGCAACCCGTACTAGACGGAGACATCATCTCCAGACGACCCATCGATGCATGGAAGTCGGGAAAATGGAATAAAGTCCCCATCTTCACAGGATCTGCTCATAACGAAGGAGCAATGTATGTTCCCAAGACGGCCTCAACCCCTGAAGATTTTGACACATTCTTCCGCACGCTCTTGCCCCAACTTTCGGACAAGGATGTAGCAGATTTGAACAAGCTCTATAAAGATCCGTCTAAGGACCCGGACTCGGAATACGTTGAGTCTCGACCTATTGATATTGGATCGCAGTTCAAGCGCGCTGAAGCTGCGTATGGTCATTATGCGTACACATGCCCCGTTCGTCAGACCGCGATCTGGGGAAGCAAGTCACCAAGTGACCCTCCCGTGTACCTCTACCACTGGGCTTTGAATAAGACGGCTCTTTACGGCGCCAATCACGGCGACCAAATGCGTTACCAGACTTACAATGCCGAGGTCAGGTCCATCTCACCAAAGCAAGATGAGATTGCCGGCTTCATGCACGCATACGCAACATCCTTCATTGTTCATGGCGACCCGAACAAAATCAAGGGCAAGTTTGATGGTCGACCTAAGTGGCTACCCTTTTCAGGCCAGGAAGGCAGAGAGGTAGGAAAGACAATGATCTTCGGTGAGGGCAACGACGAGCGTGCTGGTGGATCTGGACTGGGGACTTCGGCCGAGTTTCTGGACTACAAGTGGGCGGAGAAAGAGTGCAACTTTTGGTGGCAGCAGACGGAGAACTTCGAAGACTAGCTCAAACTGACTCGTACTCACCTCGAGTCCTTTCAGCGTCGTTGAGGCATGCTTCTTATCAGTTGCAGTCTCCAAGAGATGATTGATTACTTGGCGTGAAATAAAGGAAATAGCTCAGTCATTAGTCGTGGGTCTATCATCTATCATACATGGAAGCGTCAAATTGCTCATCATCCACATTAAAACATATCCCACAGATTAGGAAATAGCTCGTCAATCATGGGAACATCCGAAGACATCATCAGCTGCTGAAACTCTGGAACCGTCGCCGAAGGGCTATCGGCAGTCTGCAAACGCTCAACAATCTCGCCGTACTGAGCTAAGCAGAGATCACCTAGATCCCATCCCGAGTTCTGTTGATGAGATTGCAAAGAGTCGATCAAGTTCTTCGCCAGCTTTAAGGATGCACTCTGGGCCAAGCCCCCGGCAGTGTTCTCGGTTTCCAGAGCGCATCGCAAGAGAAATGTCATCGCTGACGTGAATGCGAAGGCACTGACTGGCAGCCAGAAGTCGCTCAGATGAATCTCTTCCAGTTCCTGCACGAGGAGAACAATCTCCTCCGCGGCGCGGCGAACTTGAATGTATCGGTTGGTTAGTGCGTCACCAGGGACTGCGTCTTCCTGCTTCTCGATATCGAGCTCGATTCTCCGGCGGAGTAGCACGGTTGAGAGATAAGCTAGTCTCAGGTTCGCCGCGCCGGGGATGTGTAGATTGTTTCCGCGGGTAATGATTCGCCTGACATCGTCGCTAAGGGAATCTTCCCACTGGCCGAGGCTCAGCTCCAAGTCAAGGGATGTCTGGCTGCTATCTTGGTCTCGGCCCTGGTTGAGGTCGTAGACATGCTCTAGATACTTATCGAGAACCCCAGTTAAAGTGACCAGGCCGATGAAAACCGAAGCGGCCGCAATTTGATCTTCGCTTGCGTCTTTCCCGGTGAGATATTCCAATGAGGGATCCGGCACGTCGTATTGATAGCGCTTGATTTGAGGTGGCGTACCATAGGCTAGACTCAGCCTGCACCATAGGTTAGTCAGTTCTAGGCTGTTATCGACGGTAGACTCGCCATTTGTCATGTACAACGAGTGCCCACCATATCTTCATTCGCAAACATTTCTCCGGCATGGAGATGTTCCAGTCCACAGGGTCTCTGTTGAGCCCTAATGACTGAGCGAGTGATACAGCGGCGCCGAGTTGGATCTCATTCATGATCATGGAAGTGGTTGGCCTCCCTCCCACATTGAGAATAATGGCAATAATGGTGGATATTCCGGGCGAAATATGGAGTTCAGAGAACAAGGTTTCTGTGGCTTGGTTCCAGATGAACCGAGAGTCAGGACAATACTGCGAGGGCAAGTCTGGGCTGGTTTTCCAAAAGATCATGGAGTGCGCGTAAAGAACGGACAAGAGCGCGGGCGATATCCTATCTCTTGCTGTGTTGAACTGGTGCTTGAATGAAACCTCGTCCAGAAGCGGAAAACATATGTTGACCTTTTGGAAGTAACTGCGCGGGTCAGGTCAGCAATGACTCTCGGCACCCACTCCTGCTTCTGCTAGCACGGCTTCACCATAGACATGGCAATGCCCCGAGGATGAAGGGCGTATCAGGAAAACCGCCGAAACTTACAGATCTATGAGTTTCGAAGTCCACGGCTCCAGCATCTTTTCGACAATCTGATATTTTTGCAACGGTGCCGTCTGCCTCGGTGATAGCCCATATGGACGCTTTCGAACTGCTGTAAAGATGACTGGCTTCCGAAGACCCCCGGCCATTGTAGGCCGGGGCATCTGGCCCACTTGAGCTCCTGGCCTAGGCTTCACCACACGGATCATCCGTTCGTGGATGCTTGGCTCAGAGCTCAAGTAGTCAGCCAACACTTGGGTGTCATTTGTAACAGCTGGACCAATAATGTGCGAGTTGTCCTCGTCTTCAGGACTGTCCAGTGCCAGCATCAAATGGGTGTTGTGCGGATCAAGCACAACTTTGGGCCCGGAGCTGGACGTTGTGCTTGTCGGTGGAGAACACGATGCCCCTATGCCACCACTCTGGCTCTGGGGTAGGGAGACATGCACCTTGGCTGATGCCAGAGGCTCCCGTCGACATGGCGTGTTGGACTGAGGGGTGCGATAGGATTTCTGGACTTTTCCGGGGTTGAGCGGTGCTCGACCTGCACTGCGAGGAGACGGTGGGAATTCGCAGTCCGTGCCATAGACGTGGCACATTTGACAGGTTGACGACGTGATTCCCTCTTGCTGCTGGCATCTCGACTTGCGCCGCCTGCACTGCAAACAGGCTGGGCGCAAATGGGACCGGTAAGGCCGGGGCGTAGGCTGATCTGTGACCGTGGACATGGTTGCGTGCTCACTGCTTGTGTCTGGCGTTCAATCGTGGTTTGCAAAGTCCGTTCATCGGCAGACCGCACTCGGGGAAGTTGAGTGGGAGTTGTGTCTTTGATATTTCCCCGCGGAAAGGTCCACAACCACTATCATGGCTAAGTTCCGATCAACCCACGCTAACAAAGATAAGTTGTTAGTCAACGCGCAAGCTGATAAGGCGGAGGTTCACCGAAATGTCTCCACTCGCTCTTCAGCCGTCGATTCAACCGCTTCGGCATCCAAATCTGCTCTCCGGTCTTCATTGGTTTTCCGACAATGGCAATGGCTGCACAGTGCCCACGGCGACTCCACTCCTTCATAATGCATCCATTTCAACGCGGGGAAATTCCTCCAGACTCGGGACCCTTATCAGCAACTGGGTCTTGCTAGTGAGGACTACTAGGATATGACGCTGGCTTGGGCAGATAATATCGCCTGACATCTTATCTGTAGCCTATGCTGTCGGGAGCAGGCCGCCGCCGAGAGATATGTTCGAATAGTCGCTATCGGTTAGTCTCTTATCGAGTTGGGGACCAGGTCTTGGGGTTGGTTGAGGAGTCGACAAAGCCAACGCCGGAAACCTTTTACCTCTGGTAATGACAATGAATAAAAGGAGACTCCCGACATTGGAGTTTGCCGATCCGGGAAAGTCCCGACATCTCGCAATTGTCTGAGCTCGCGACTCAACAATTTCGCTTGACATTGTAAAGCCTCACTCCATTATAGCAACTTGCGTTTGCTACATGTAACTCTTGTAAACTAGTTGTGCCCACATCGTCCATCGCGTGCTCGAACACAATAGCGACGACCCGCTCGCCCACTTCCCCAGACTCCACAATGGCGGTTGAAGCTTCCGTCAACGCTGAGCAACCCAGGTCCAAGGATCTGGAGATTGCGGAGAAGCAGCCTTCTCGGCCGGGCAGCATCGGTGAGGATCTCAAGGCTGGTCAAGTCGAACTTCTCGATGAAGCCGAGATCTTCTTACAGCAGAACGGTCTTTCTCAGGCGCATCTGCGAGAACTTATGGAAGATGAACAGGCCCAGAAAAAGCTTGTCCGCCGGGTAAGTTTTCCGGAATCGTTCCTACGGAGAACTCCAGCACCATCCCCTGTTTCCATGTTCTGAGTTTTAACGCAAGTGCCATTCTTAGATCGATCTCACATTGTTGCCCCTTCTTATGGGAACGTACCTTCTGCAGTATATCGACAAGCAGGCCCTGAGTTACGGCGCAGTTTTCGACCTCTTTGAAACAACCAATACTTCTCAAAGCCAGTATTCATGGCTGGCCAGTATCTTCTACTTTGCCTACCTTCTGGCAGAATGGCCGGCAAGTTATCTCGCTCAGCACTTCCCCACCGGCACAATTGTCAGCATTTTCGTCTTGTGCTGGGGAACAGTTCTCACCTGCACCGCCGCATCCCATAGCTTCGCTGGCCTCGCCGTCTGCCGCTTCCTCTTGGGTGCCTTCGAGGCTGTAATCACACCCTGCTTCATGATGATCGTCAGCATGTGGTATACCAGAGCGGAGGCGCCGATGCGCGCTGGATCTTTCTACTGTTTCAACGGATTCGGCTCCATGATCGGCGGTATTCTATTTTATGGTGTCGGCCAGGCAGACGGTTGGGATGTTTGGAGAATCATCTTCATCATCTGCGGAGGTCTGACTATTGTGTGGGGCATCGTCCTGTTCTTCTACTTGCCAAACAACATTATGACGGCCAAGCGATTCACTGTGGAAGAGAAGGCCCTGCTTATTGCTCGCAGCCAGAGCAACAAGACGGGTGTCTTTAGCCGAAAGATCAAGCCAGCTCAGATCAAGGAAGCGTTCAAGGACATTCAAGTGTGGCTTCTCTTCTTCTATACCCTCCTCAACGAGATTGTCAACGGCGGCATCGCCAACTTTGGTAAACTCATTGTCAAGGGCTTCACAAAGGATGCTCTCTTGACGACAGCCTACGGAATTCCGTATGGAGCCTGGGTTGCCTTCTTCATCTTCACTGGTCCCTTTTGCGCTTCGAAGTTCAAGAACTTCCGAACCATTGTCATGATGACGTGGGTTTTGCCGACACTCATTGCTGTTTCCCTGTTTTTGAAGCTGGACCGCGGCAACAAAAACGGGCTATTGATGGCATACTACATTGTAAGTGATGTTCCTTCCCTTCTCAAACATTGCTTCTAACAAGGTTTGCAGAGTCCTTCCTTCGTCGGTGCTCTTGTCGTTGCACTTCAAATGCCGGCTGCGAACGTTGCAGGTTATACCAAGCGTGTGACCTCAACAGCCTTCGTCTTTCTAGCGTATTGCGTGGGAAATATTATAGGCCCACAAGCCTTCCTTGCGTCAGAAGCGCCCATCTACGGCACTGGCTGTAAAGTTATCATGGGTTGCACTGCTGGTCAAGTCGTGTTGGCTATCGCAATTCGGCTGTTGTTAATCAAGAGGAATAAACAGAGAGACGCGGAGGCGGAGGCCAGCGGCCAGAATGCGGAAGATGTATCAGATGAGGTTCTTATGGACTTGACGGACTTTGAGAACAGGAAGTTCAGGTACTCTTATTAGTGTAAGATCTTCTATGCGGATCGGAGGAAATGTTAGTAGTATCGTTGAAACCCATTGAACAGCAGGTATGAAATAGAAAAATGCCTTGCTCTCCAGATTTCCGACGGTAGTCTTCCCTCCTCGTCTAAGGTAGTCGAGTCGAGGCAACTGTTGAGGGACTCAACAACATAACCTCCAATGCAATTATTTTACCCGCTCCATGCCGTATAGCCTATGTCAGTACTCCAAACTCCGCCCATTGGACGGAACTATTGCCTGCCAAATTCCACCTTGGAAAAGAAATCCGAAAAGAGCTGAGAGGCGTGAGCTCTTTTTTACTCGTGAAACCGTGGGCAGAAAACCTTTTATGTCATGATGCCAAGGCATCAAGACCGTTTCATCCCACAAAGCCCGAAGGTGTCCTGGTTGGATGAGGCTTTGCGTACAAGTAAGCAGAAGCGATCATAAGTAGACTAGTTCGTTTTTCGTCCCAACACCGTTGATTAATTGCTCAGCCTTGGGATGAATGACGAGCGAGTCAGCCCTACTTGTGATCGTAACTCCGACAGTCCAGGGTACTTCTTTATGTCGGCACATGTCACTGATATCTGTTGCACAGCCGATGTTCCTACTTCGTTTTACAGGGGCGAAGAGTCATGTCTCTAATCGCGAAGGCAACTCGACAAGAACCTGCCAAGATGCTGTGAAATTGGCGGCTCAGCGGCACCTAGCCCTATTGATAATTAGACGGTTGGGCTGTTTTTCAACCAGGGTTGACACTTTTAGGTTTTGTTCTCTTCCTTAAGAAGACTTCTAGAGCTGCAATGTAACCCTCCGAAACTCCGACGGGGTGGATCAACAGCTCCGTGTAATGGTTGCGCTCGGTTTTTTTTGGCGAAAACGAGTCGGCAACCGGCACTGTAACCAGTGACAACTGAGAAAGTCTTTGATGGCAATTGACAACTTGGTTCGCTGCCGATTTCAGCATGGTTGCCAACCAACTGTTCTGGGCACCTTAAATTGAAGTTTGTTAAAACAGTGGCTTGGCCCACACCACCACTAAGCATTCACGCACTAGACTTCTCCGTTCATGCCGCAGCTGCGCGTCACGTCTTAGCCGCGCGCAGCCGTCAAACTCTACATCATCACCAAAATCAGCTCATCCCTGTTGCGTAGAGGAGTCGAGCTCTGTGGGATTGAGGGCCCTACGAAGACTCATGTCCCTAGGTTTCCTGTGAGATTTCGAACCTCGTGATTTCTCGGCGATGCCCTGCGACGCTGTTGGGCATGTCGTGAACGTCAAGAACAAGTCTATCTGAGCAGTCCGTGAGGCGTGGGGGGAGGGAGTGGCGGTTTAGTCTCACACGAACCGCACTAAATATCCCGAAAACTTTTGATCTTCAAAAGGAATCGAAGTGATGCTCGCCGTAACAGTAATCTTGAGCTTGTTTGCACAGAAGGGATGAACTTATCAACAAAGACGGGATGAAGTCGTCCTCGCGACATTGTGGACCACAACAAGCCACCACTGAGGGTGATTCTAGACTGTTTGAGGCGGAGTGCCTAAATCATTCAATGTGCCTTATCTAAGCGATCGAATGCTCATAGGTTATTACCGGGGCATATAGCTCATGTCATCGTGTCTAATCCAAGGGTGGCAATATGTGGGCGTTTCATGTGGTCCCGTGTCTGTGGCCCGCTGCTTGGCTTGGTGCTATTGATAGTAATGTGCTCTTCTAAGAGCTACTTGGCGAAGAGGCGCTATGCGTAGTAAGTAAATTGCGAGCTGGTCTTGATACCGCATCATAATTAATTACATTTTCTCTGACAGATGATGGCTTCGAGAATGCGCCGGTCTCACCGGCTGTATAAGTCCATAAATGCGCAGCATGTTTTCCGCTTCTATCGGCGCACGTTGTATTTGCGCCAGGCTGACCAGCTCCTCCGTCACTCTTTATTTGTTCTGTCCACTCATTACGAAATGTCATTTAACTTACGTTCATTACTGCTTTCCGGCTCTCTGCTGGCGTTGTTGCCAGTAGTTACGTCACATGCATCGCATCAAAACATTAGCAAGCGCGATCTTTTCGATGGTGAAGCCGTCATCATCAAGGGGCAATGGTCATGTAGCTCTCAACAAATCCTCGACATAGATCAGGGCGTTGTCGAAGCACACGAACTCGCAAATGCAGCTCTTACTGCTCTTGGAAAGTCCAATGTTGCGAGGACCCCAGCCTACTTCTCTTGGTTCGGACCTGGTAAGCCAACACACCTGCCGTCTCTTTCAATAATAACACAAAGCGCTTACTTTCTCATCACTGCATAGAAAGTGGAGGTCCTTCAGCTTCGAACCTTATTGAAAAGCACTACCGTCCTGTAATCGACTCCCTCAAGCCCCCGAGTGTCGAAACAGCATTTCGATTTTCTCCTGAGCCTTTGTTCCCCCCGAATACTGTCACAGATAAGAGTCTTGTCTTCGGCTGTTCCGGAAACAATGGACCCTGCGCAGACGGCCAAATGGTTGCGGGCGTACAGAGTGCGACAGATACCGAGGCCGCAGTCTTTGGTACCACTCTACTGCTTCTATGCGAGACCTTCTTCGATAAGACCCGGCCTACCAACCAGGGAATGGTGAAGCAATGGCAGGCTGAAAGTGCCATCGGTGAGATGTCGAAAGGCTTCGTCTTGGTCCATGAGACCCAGCATATGCTTATTGCCACGGGAGCGGGAGAACGTGCGGATGATCTCAAGAACCCGTTCTTCGGATTCCTTGATGATAGGTCTGAGGACTGCTACTCCGCCACATGGTAAGCCATTGCCGGACTCGAAACGACTCACATGAGAGATCGACCTGTTAATTTTGATGATGTACAGCTGCTCCCGCTTGTCAGCAGCAGAGAAGGTGAAGAATGCGCAGAACTATGCCATCTTTGCACTCGATTCGATGGCATTCCCCAACGCGGAGGAACAGCCCGCTTGCCCGGCATCACCTGCATCCTCGACTTTGCTGCGCCAGAAGCGCCAAGTACGGTTTGACAACTCGACCACTTCGTCGGCGCCGCCTTCTTTGTCTCGTACTCCCCTGCCACCCACTATGATCACTTCAACTAGCAAGCGTAAGTCATTATCCACTCCTCTGATGACAGCACAGTTGCTATTTATGTCATAATGCTAACGAAAGCGGCTTGATGTAGCTCCCTCAAGAGTTGCGACTCCGACACCCTCTCGTAGCGCAGAGCCCGAAGTCATCACGGTATCAGGCACTGTTGCAGTCGTCATCCCTGCGGGAGCAGTCGCCTTCGGCGGACCTGGTGGTGGCCTTGCCTCGTTCGGAGGCGTCGTTATCCCCGTTCCCGAAGGACAGACAGTCAGCGACCCCTCAAAGGATCCCCAACAATCAGGACCCGATGAACCCACCAACACCCCCCGCCAAACCCAGTCCCCGACGACGAGCTCGAAACCTGTCAGCAGTTCTGCGCCCTGCAGTAAGCCTGCAGAGAAGACCTACAAGCCAGCCGTCGAGAACGTCTGCGAAGATTGGTCTGGTATGAACCAGACAGCCTTCAAGCCCCTCATCGCAGGCATTCCTCTCGTAGATTGGGAGGGTGCTCCTGTTGTGTCGACTACGTCTGTCTTGGAGACTGTGGAGGTGACCACTATGCTGGTGACAAGCACCGCCGCCCCGGCGCCATCAGCTACGCCATCAGCGGAGCCAAAGGTCGACCCTGTCGCTTGCTACAACTTTGACATCAACGCGTACGGATACTGCTGCCCTGGTGAGGGCAACCCTTGCCAGAATGATATTGGAAAGTGTTACTTCAATGGAGAGGGTGTTTCAGGCGGCGCGAGTGGTGTCGTGCCCGATGGTGCGCGATGCCCGCCTCCTCCGGGTGCCGAGTACTGCAGAGGTGCTTGCGAGGAGTAGAAGTAAGAGTATTGAGAGCTTACAGCGGCTTGATTTGGAATTTGAAGATACAAACTCGCACATGGCGAGTGCTCTCGATAGAGATACCCTGGGAATGCTCTTGTAGACGGGAAAAGATTCGAGCTATAGAGATTGAAATATTTCTTAGTAACTTCTTTAAATCCGCTTGACAGGTGAAGAAAAGAACTTCGGAAAGTCCCCACTTGCGGTGAAGCCTTCAAAAGTGAACAGCCTATCTAACCAGTTTTGTATTCAGTGTCATAAAAGTTTTACGCATTTGCAACTTCTGACACTGTTTATTGCCTTGTGTGTACTATAGTCGAAGGACTAATTTACTTAATTCGGCTGGATTTGGCTTCCGCTTCGGGGCCTGGACCAGACTCATGGGTAATGGCTTGTCTATTTGTCATTGGGAGGCTGGTTCTAGAGTATTGAACCTTGCCTTTGCCTTTCGGAGGACTACGGTCCCAAAGTTAAGGGTAAGGCCGAGTCCAAAATCGATAGAACTCGTGCTTTCGCCATTCTGCTATCAATGATAGGCCCCTGTGAATACTTGCGCTGTACCATACACACTTAGCTTCTTGTGGTATTAATGTGCAGTAAGTTTGAAAGTATATGTTGAGGCGAAGTCGATACTGGTGGCACGGATTGATGATTAATCAATCATTGTTCAAATGCATTCGGTCAGAAATAATAAATTCAGCATTGATCTATCGTCTAATACATTGAGGCTTGGCTGGAAGGCAAACAAAATCCGATCTAAGATTATCTTGCCTGGGTCATGACCACTTCATGAAAGGATGAAACGCCAATATCTATAGCTTCGCAACACCGAACCCATTCTGCCTGGCCCGTCCAAGCAGACCTCTTGAGATGTCCTTGAGCTTTGCCGTTCCCATCAGTGCCATAGCTCTTGTCAACTCTCTCTCGAGGATGTTGAGAACTCCCTCAACTCCCTTCTGACCATCCCAAGCCAATCCCCACAGTGCCGTCCTGCCAATGAGAACCAGATCGGCGCCGAGGGCGAGGGCCTTGAACACATCGGTTCCCCTTGTGATACCACCGTCGACGATGACTGGGATTCTGCCTCTCACAACGTCCGTGATCTCAGGTAACGCCTCAATCGTTGACACCACACCGTCAAGTTGACGCCCACCGTGGTTTGACACAACGATAGCATCTACGCCAGCCTCTACTGATCTCTGCGCATCTTCCGCAGTCAATATTCCCTTGAGAACGATCTTCATCTTGGTTTGGGACCTCAGCCAAGGAATGACCTCGTTCCACTCCAAGCTGGCATCAACGAGATGGTCATGGTTCTCTTCTTGGATTTTCTTGTGCTCCGCCATTGTCTTGGCGCGCAGGAGCAACCCGGCTGTGGAAATGGCCCCGGACTTGCGCGACTCAACATTGGCCATAGCAATTCCTGGAGGGAGCTCCAGAGGGGTTCTCCGTTCTTGCAGGCGGTTGCCCAAGATGACAGTATCGACAGTCAGTACCAAGGCCTCGTAGCCCGCGTTCTCGGCTCTCTTGATGAGCTTCGCCGTGAGATCTCGGCTGCCGAGGAAGTAGAGCTGGAACCAGGGGCGGGGGTAATCTGGGCCGCGCTGAGGGATTGCTGCTGAGACATCCTCGAGAGAAGTCGTGGCGTTGCTTGATAGCGTGAGGTTGGTTCCGAGGTTGAATGCGGCGCGAGCGACGTCGAGCTCGCCCTCTCCACCGACGAGTTTTTGATAGGCGCTTGGTGCGATTGCGATCGGGATATCGTAGCGTTTGCCGAAGATTGTGGTTGAGGTATCAATGTCGCTCACATTGCGAAGCATTTGAGGCCGGAGGAGGATGCTGCACGGCAGTCAATGGTTAGAACGCTGATCAGCCATGGGGATTATGGGGGGATTGCGCCTCACTCGTTATAGGCTTCATGATTGCGCGCAAGAGTGTACTCGTCATCAGCGCCAGTCACGTAGTAATCCCACACTGGCTTGGCGAGCTTCTGTTGCGCGATCTTATGGACGTCGGCGATGTTCACCGGCTCCGGGACTGGCTCTTTGATAAGTGTCATCTTGCCTCGATCGTACGTCCGCGTTGTGTCGCTCGGTAGTGGAGGCCCAGGTTCAAGCGAGAAGCTATCGTCGTCAAAGATCGGGTAATAGACAGCCTTATCAGTGCGAGAGGACGGGACTCGGAGCTTTATTTACTCGACCGAGTGATGGTCCGATCTCGGGGCCACGATGGATCGCGTCACTCGGTGCATGCTCGGTATCCGCCCGGCGGTCTCGTGAACCGCTGCAAGTTACCCAATTCATTCGAGAGCGGATGAACTACCGTCAAACCGTGACCCGTCAGACTGGATCGGTCCCAAACAGAAGGAAGCTTCGCTGCTTCAGCGTTCGTGTTGGAGCTTTATTTAACGTCATACTCCCAAAGCATTGGCGAATTAACCCTTGCCTGACATGGAGCTTTCCCTGCTAGAGCATTAGCTGCTTGTGGGGTTATGGCTCTGGTCGGGATTTTTTGCCTCTCTGAGAATCTGGAGCTGAGAGTTCTGGGGAATGACTAAGGTGACCCCCAACAATCCACAGATACTCCAGAGCTCCGGGTCATGTCCCCAACATCTCAAGCTCAGGATCATGGGACCCGTGGGGGCAGTCAGTGGTCGTCTTTCAGGCCAAATCGTAGTCTTGAGTAAGGTTATCGTTCGAAGCTTGACTGAGGATCTACGTGACAGTACGGGCAACCTACCCTGGACACACTCATCTGGTAAGTATGTGGAGTAGCAGTGCTGCTCAGGTCACAACGGCGACCGTACCGCCATGCTTTCAACTTTGATCTGTATTAGGACGTTGCTAGCCAAGGCTGGAAATGAAGCTGTTGCTTGATGCTTTCATGGTGTTGTGGTTATTTTAGTACATCAAGTGCAAACCGGTCACCGAAGTCAAACCCTGGAATCGTCAACAGGCTTAGAGCAGTTTCCTCCGTACGGATGTCAGAAAATCAATGAATTACAAATGGCTGCACAGTCACACAACGCATCCGAACAGTTCGATTCGTCTCGGTGAGAGTCGGTGAGACTGAGGGTCACAAGCTCTACGCCGAGGTGTTCTGTCACGGCGTCTTCGCTGACCTGCATGCATGGACCACTAAGCCTGGTTGTCGAATGCCCAATGATCTTCAAATCCAGTACATCCAGGCATCGGATTTCAAAGCACCTCACTTCGAGTCGTATGTGAGTCCTGAGCAATCGCACGAAATACCTCGGGACAAGTACGTTGTGCAAGCCTCAAATTCGAGCTTAATCGATTGTCACAATACATGGGAAAGCTCTCAACTCCTCCGTACCGGACAAGCTGCTCGTTGTCAGCTAGCGCGCGGGAATAGGCTCTCGTCGCGTGGTAAGCGGCCTGAGTCGCGACTTTTCCGGAACCGAAGAAGCGCTAAACTCCAGAGAGCCGTCCCTGTCGTCATGGAACACAGTGGAGAAGCATTTGTCAGCTCGAACCGCATTAGCAATCCGCTTCACATTCCAGCTAGCTTAGCTGGACAACTGCAGCATCTTGCAACATATATATGTACAATTGCAACATCCTACGGTAACCTAGCTTTAATCATATAAACTTACCATCATAAGGTAGTCCAAGTAGTCTCCATCTGAATCCATTGTCTACCTCAATCTCATCTCATCTCACCACACATCCCATCACAATGGCTGCAGCACGTCCCACTGGTCTTATCGCCAAGAAGGGCATTGAGCTCTTGACCTTTGGTAGGTTCTATAAGACAATACACCTTAAGCTATGAACTCCTGCTAAACGACTTACTCAGGCACTCCAAATGGCTACAAGGCTAGCATTATCTTGGAGGAATTGAAGGAGGCTTACGGCCTCCCATTCGTCGTTCAGAGCATCAACATCATGCAGAACATCCAGAAGGAGCCATGGTTCACTTCGCTCAACCCCAACGGCCGCATCCCTGTCATCGTAGATCATGACAACGAGCAGCTTGCCGTTTTCGAGGGCAGCGCCATTCTCAGCTATCTGACGCGCAAGTACGACACTGAGCACAAGTTCTCGTTCGCCCTGTCGGATAATGACTACACCCGAGCTGAGTCTTGGATCGGCTGGCAACACGGTGGATTGGGACCCATGTGAGTTGAACTATCTGACGATTCTGAGAAGAGTCGCTAATTCTTTCATCAGGCAAGGTCAAGCGAACCACTTTGTCAGGTTTTCCAAGGAGAGAATCCCCTATCCCACCCAGCGCTACGTCGGTGAGACGGAGAGACTGTTTGGCGTTCTGAACACGCACCTCGCGAAGCGGGACTTTGTCGTCGGCCCAGATCGCGGACGCTACAGCATCGCTGATATCTCAATGATTGGGTGGGTGCAAGGCGCTCCCATGGCCGGCGTGGATATCTACCAGTTCCCGAACGTCAAGGCCTGGCTGGACAGGTGCTATGAGAGACCTGCTGTTCAGCGGGGTATTCAGATCCCCAGCTCTCCATACATGTCCGTTGCCAGTATGGAGCAGAGACTGAAGGAAGAGAAGGACCTTGTTGAGAGTGAAGCTGAGGTCAAGAAGCAAGTCGACGAGGCGAAGAAGGCTTACGGCTACGTCTACTCGTCACCTTAGATTATAACTGGGGAGATTAAAGGTCGCCTTTGACCTTTGTATGGTAGTGTCAGATAGGGATTTTGTGATAGGGAAGACGTTGTACAGCAGACTTCACTTTGGATGAAAATAAGGTCCAAGTGTTCTCGATTTTCAATCTATTCTAATCCTTACTTTACTCAGTACTTTAGGTCCTCAATACAAGTGCAATGCGCCAGTCTATCCCTGAAAGTAGCAAAAAGACCTTTACCAATGTTCAAGTCAAAGCTAGAGCCTCGACAGAAATAGCCTCCTTAGGAGTCTATTCCTCCTCAACCCGGACGGAGAGATCAATCTCCTCCTTGCGTCGACGGACCGAAATCTTGACGTCCGAGTCTGATTCGCGCGTGAACCCAAACTCTGCAAACTTCGGCTTCTCGCCCTTGACAAACTTCATGTCGTACTTGAGAAGCATATGAGCAAGCAGCACCTTGGCTTCATTCCCCGCAAAGAACCGGCCTGGGCAGGAGTGCATGCCATGACCGAAACCCATGTGGTTCACGCTGGTGCTAACAAACTGGCTAACTGCGTCGTTGGGGCCGCCGCGCTCGCGGTAGAATCGATAGCCATCGAAGACGTGCGGGTTCTCGTAAATTTTGTCATCCCACATGCGCTCGGCTGAGACGACAGTCGCGCTGCCGCGGCTGATGACCGTTCCATCGGATAACTGGACGTCTGCTGTGGCGCGACGGGCCATTCCGACTTGCGATGTCTATGAGCAAAGTTTCCTTTGGTCTGCAACTCGTGCAGGTGGTATTGAAAAAACTTACCAATTTGATTCGGCTTCAGCCGCTGACTCTCCTTGAGAACACTGTCCATGAGTTTCATGTTGTAGAGCGACGTCTTCTTCCATCCTCCTTCGCCAATGACTTGAATTGCCTCTTCACGGAGGGGTTGGATAAGCTCAGGGTGCTGAAGAATATCGTAGAGAGTCTGGGTGACTAAGTCCGCCGTGGTGTGAATTGCCACGCCAGCCAGAATCAACTGTGCGACCGCTGGGTTGAACTTCTGCCCCTTGGCCATCTCCTTGAACCATTCGATGGCGTCGTTGTATTCCCCAACGGAGTCCCCTTCCTGTTGACGGTGCTTGATCTCCGCAAAGACTTGCGTCTCGGCGTCTCTGATGTACGCGCGCAGCTTCGTGGGTCCTGGGAGAAAGTACACCACGATGCCTCGAAGGAACTTGGGCCAGAAGCGGAGGTTCTGCATGGCGTGAACGCTGAGCTCGACATACCCGACAATAGTGCTGAGCCATTTCTCATTGCGTCCTAGCCGTTTTCCGACAAAGATTCGGGATGACATTCTGGACACAATCTTGAGGATTACATGTTTGGCCACCGTGTCATGCCATTCTACACCATCCGTCAGCATTGAGCCAAAGTCCAAGATATTGACATTGTGGGATTGACTGTACCATTCGAGTCACCTAGTGTGTCTTGTAGACTTTCTTCAGCTTCTTGCGAAAGAATAGTCGATATCTTGCCTGCAAGAGGTCATTCAGGGTTAGCAATTATCAAGACGGAGATGTGGCTACAAGATTGCTGCTAGATGTACCAAGGGTCTTGGTCAGCCTCAGCTTGACCACATTCTGAATACGTTCGGAAGGATGGCAGGCTTCCTTGTAAGCCTCAAAGCCCGCATATTGTCCTTGGAAGTCCTTTGTCATGCATGTTAGTATAAGTTTGCTGGCCGCTCAATCAATTCCCTTGTTATTCCCCTTGGAAGACGCACCTCGAACAGGCCTTGAACGAAGCTGAAGCGCTTGTCATTTCGGATCTCCTGGCCAACATCAGGTGGTAGGATAATGACATCTCCAACATCACACAGCACGCGGAAAGGCTTGCCGAGGAAGTCTTTCGCAGACTGGTACAGCATTCGGTAGGAGTTGAACACGAACTCCCGAACAACCCTGTCCGTGGACCACTCGAAGCGTCCCTTGGGGTTGAGATACGGGAGCTTGGTGCCATGGTCTCTCATCCAGAATAGGACGAGAATGGCAAGTGGTACGCATGTTCCGAGCACATAGTACCAAGGGGTTTGGTCGACTTCTTGGCGGTCCGTAGCCGCGGTAATGAGCGATTCGTTGGAGAAGGTAATTGTCTCCATATTGGTCGTGTAGGAATTGATTTATTGTATGGAGCTTGATTGGTGCAATGATGTTCAGACAAATCTGAGAGCTTCAATCGCAATGTGGCCGCACGACATATACTCATCATCATGGCGGACTATCGGACTGACGACAATTCGGTGGGACGCACCAGCCATCCGGACGTTGAACCTCCGCGAGTCCGCGATCCGTAGTTTTCGGACGAATACATGTTCAAGCCGGCCCGCGTCCGCACCGACTGAACACAATCCGAACGGCATCCTCTCAGATCAAGCCAATCAAAAGGCTCATTGATGGGCGTTCGGACAAATGCCGATCGGAGGACGGTGCTCATCCCACCGGTCTCGATGTCGCAAGTCAGTTTGTCTCCAGTCTTAACTGCCAGCCAAGACGCGGCTCGTACCGAACGTGAAGGCTGGCGCCAATCAGTTTCTCTGCTTATCCAATACGGATGGGGTTCATCTCCCTCTGCCGGTGGGATGAATAAATCGTGTCCAGGAAAGTTACGTCATGACTAAATGATCGACTCAAAATCAAATCCCGTCAGGAAGTCTAATTCTGTCGTTTCAAATTGCAATCACCTACTGTCACTAGAGATCTTGGCTTAAATGCACATAGTTTGTTTAAAGTTCATCGGGGTAGGTAGGTAAGAGACGGTTCCGAACTAATAGAGGAACTCTAGCCATCTCAAAGCGAATATGTCGGTGTACTTCGCAAGCACTTTTGCCCGGCATCAACAACTTGGTTCAGTTCTTCCCGATGTTATTCTTCGAGCAATGTCCATCTTTTTTGGTTGTGGACAGCGTCCGAAGCAAAGAGTCAGCAGCGCTATTACAAACAACTCAGGGTGACGTGTTTCCCGATCACAAAAGGAGAGGGAAAGGTGCAAAAAAAGTGCAAAAAAAGGGCCGCAGCAAGGAGTCGAACTCAAGGGGTCGAGGTCCGTCTCAACAGAGACATGTGGAAACCACGCGACACCAGCTGAGTGTTCCGCTGGGCCAAGGCGCCCAAGCAGGCGCCTTCTACTTGTGTGACTGGGGAGGTTGAGTTGATGGTAAAGGCTTTGGCTGTTGGTGGGCGATGAGAGTGGCTGACCCGGATGGGACGAGGCTGGAATAGAGTGTAAGGTAATACAAAGAGGGCGTCAGGTGATCGCGGGCCATCATGTCCCGTAGGTTTCTAAGTGATCCATCCAGGTTCCGACACAGAGCGAGTGCCACATGCAACCAGGCCCGGTTGGGCTGGCTGCACAACTTCGAGGGCTGATCCTCACACGGAATCCGATCACAGGCAAAAGAGGCTTCGAGGAGCAGGCTTATTTCCTACAGGTGAGATGTTCATGAGATGATATTCCCGCTGCGTTGAGAATGAGGCGTCGGCGATGAAGATGCGTACCTATCAACCCCGACGTCGGTTGCTGCTTACTCAAGGCACCTAGAGCTCAATTGATTGGGTCGGACGAAGAATTACATCTCCTTTCAGTTGAAGAGATCCCTCCACATTTCCTTGAAGCCATAGTGAGGAGCCCTAGAATCGTAAATCTTGGCCGATGTTCCCTCCTTACTAAAGCGATCAAAAACCGTGACTTGGCCGCCCCCTGCTGCATCGAACAACATCTTTGTCGGCCGAGTGGCTCTCTCACGGATAGTTTCTGCCACAAGGGGCGCGACATCGGCGTAACAAGCCTTGAGCTCGCGCTCAAGCGAGAAATACGGCTTCTTCGCCAGTTCTGGCGCCATAAGGTTGTAAGATCGCGTGATTGCGTTGAGATTGTTGACGGCAAGGTTCATATACGAGCTCTCAGTTGCAAGCCAATCAGAGTCGCGGAAGGGTTGAACCAGTGGCCGAGCAGACTTCATCGATGTTACCTCTGGTCCGGCTTCGCTTGTGCTGTTGCCCTCGACCGCCTGTTGACGCACCTTCGCCATGACAGGATCATCCGTCACATTGGTGGGAACCGAAATACTGTCGCTGTTTCTCTTGCGCGGATTATGGCGTTCCTCTGCACGGGCATAGTCCTCGGCCAGAAGCATCTTCTCTTCCAAGCTTCCACCTTTCGACGATATCATCCTGGCCACATGCCTCCTCCAGTCGTTGCGTAACCTCGCTCTGAAGACGCCAGCTGTTTTGGCCAACTCTTGCTGCTTCTCTATCCATGGTGGTACAATCTCCTGCCTCTTGATCATCTTGTTCATTATATACTCGGTGGTATCGATGAAAGGATTATCAGCTCTTGCGTCTCTTTCTACCCCCTTGCCGCGAGGGATGTTCTTGAATTGCCCACGAGCAATAGCGTCCTCTATTCTCTCGTTGGCCAGTGACTCGAGGCCAGATATAGTGTTTGGTACAGCTCGAGCTGCTGCTCCAAATCGGTCGCGGAGCTCTTTCCTAAACTCTTCGCGTTCCTTGGCGCTTTGCCCGCTCTCCTCCTTGAATCCTAGTGCAGTGTATGTCGAAGCCTTCTCGCGAGCATTCGCGGCCCGCTGGCTAGGATTTGTCTTTGACTCTTTTCGCATCCGCATATCGACGGGCGGGATCTGGAACTGTCCCCTCAGCTCGGGCTTCAGGGGCTTCTTCGCATCGTTGAGCATTCGCAGAACCGTATCGGACTGTGACTCGTCGCCGGTCCAAGCCTGCGCCGTGGCTATTGAACGTGTCCCCTCTCCTGCTGAAGTGGGCATTTGCGCCTCTGCAAAAGCGGATGCGTACTGGGATCGGAATTTGGCGGTCTCGACCTTATCGAGAAGCTGCTGCTTCAGCTCTTCAGAAAACCCAGCATCCTCGATAGCTTGACGCCCGCGCCGGCCGCCGGTCAAAAGGGCTTCTTCTGTAGCTTCCTCCAGCTTCCGCGACATGGCTCCCTTTTCTTTCTCCGGGCCATTGTGACTGCGATCGGGTGTTGGAGCTTCGGAAGCTTCGCGGGATCGGTCGGATGTGTAAAGTCGACATCTCGCTGCAAGTGATTCGGTGCGCCAATGTGATGGTAGACGGCGTCCCCAGGCCAGCGGTGTTTGTGAAAGCCTAGTCGCCATATTCAAGATCCCAGTCCTCTGTAGACGTCAGGGGAGAGAACATGATTGGGAGGGTCGGGCTATGATGGCGAGGTTGTGAAGAATTAGCCTTGCTTCGTGATGTCAACGAAAGGAAGAAAGTGGCAAGTGACGGAGTTAAGCACGGACCAGCGGTCGACCAGCCGAGGAATCCACCTTTTAACGGAGCGCGACCGGGTAGACCCATATTTCTTTCGGTAAGACGGCGCTGCCAAACCCGGCATATTTCGGCGATCCAATGTCTCCCCGCCATTGCGATTGCCGGCATCTAATTGCGACTACGTTGGCAAGTGAAAACCGACTTCATTCGCTGCTTAATAAGAGTTCTTACTCATCCTTTTTTTCTTTACGATCACTATCGTCATCATGACTTTACTTCATTTTTACTCGCCCAACACTACCTCAAGCAAGCACAGAACTAAAACAAAGTAATATCGTAAAGATATCAAGAAAACGGTCATACCTTAGGGAACGATAGGGATACTAATACATTGACCGGAAGTCTGTTAATCGATCACTTGCTTATGTAGCACACCATATAGAACACTAAAACAGAACTTGAGTTCTTGATAGAGTCATTGCCCATCCTGGTAACCCCAGACCACACATAATACCGCAAGCACTTACTCCCAGAGTGAGGAAGCCATATTCAGTAGATCATTGGAAATCTTGATAATAAGTGCGGTTTCTATTGGACTCGAAGAGAATTGCGACACACCCAGTTATTTCTTTTTTCCATCGAATACTTTCATAAGTACCTTACCTTACTTCCTTTCCCAAGATACCTATCGGTAAACACGCTCAAACGGTAAAGTCTACCAAAACCTTGTCCATCTCGTCATTAAAGCTCTCGTAATAATCTTGTCTCTTGTTCTCAAATGCATCAAACATGGGCTTCGCGGTTCCAACCGGGATCTGATCATCTCCATTGACCCATCTATGGTAGACCTCGTTGGCGAATTCGTCCACCGGCATGCCGATAGCATGGCCGTTCTTCAAGTCAGGCTGGTTCTTGGCATCGTGCAGTTCAGTCTGCACTGCAGGCGGGTAAACTTCGACAATCTTGACATTTGAAGATGCGTCTTTGAGCTGGGATCTGAGTGCGAGGATGAAGCCGTGCATGGCAGCCTTGGAGCCGCTGTAGTTGGGGCACCGCTTCATCGGGATGAGGCCGAGCTGAGATGTTGTGTAAAGCAGGCTGGTCTGCTTGTCTTGCTTTGAGAGATGAGGAAGAAAGGCTTTGGTTAAGTAGACGTGGGAGAGGTAATTTGCGAGAAGCTCATCGTAGACAGTGTCCAGGCTAACGTTTTCAGGCTTGGTGAAATCGATACCTCGCTGAACTCCGGCGTTTAGGAAGACACAATCGAGGTCAGGGTGCTCATTTATTATGGAAGCAGCAAACTCCGGGATCTTCGGACATGTTGTTAGTCGCATCCTTGAAGATATCATCATCGTGAACGGCAAGAGCCTCAACGTACCGACTCCAACTTGAGAATATCCACAACAGTTGCTGCGGCCTTAGTTGCGCCGTGCTTGGCGACGAACCTGTCGAGGTTCTCCTTTCTTCTACCGGCAGCGATGACGAAAGTGCCATTCTCGACAAGTTTGTCCGCCAAAGCTGCACCGATTCCTGAGGTCGCTCCGACCAACAAGACTTTTTGATAGGGCAGAGACATGATGGCTGCAGGTGGGATGGTCAAATCCAATATGATATTTGGGATAGGATGAGAGATAATTAGAGACAGAGTAGCGCTATCGATAATTGAAATGCCATTATTCTCCAAATTGGTTTGGGGTCTTAACCCAATAGTGCTTTATATTCAAACATCCGGGTTCTCTAGTAGCTAGTCTAGCGGCTAGGAATCTCTAATCAATCCATGATATCTGTAAGCTTGTATTGGATTTATCAGCGTAAGACCAGTACAGAATTTGAAGACTCGATCAAGCCCCAGCTTAGAAGATTCTGGGCTGATCGTGGAGATGGATCGGTCCGCTTGTTGTGGTACGGACTGTTCCGGTTCGCCTCCTGGTCCAACGTGTCGGCCAATGAGGGGTCTACGTTGATTCAGCTCGCATTACCCCCACACCACGCTGTAGGCCAACAACCACTAGTCTCATCACAACAAAAACATACGTCATCTCGTGATTCGTTTTCCTATCGTAATGAATGTAGCAAGTCAGTCCATGGTGAGCTTCTAGTTAAGTTAGGTACTTACTTGAGTGTATCTCTCTACGGCATTCAAGGCTACATGCAGGCTCGACTTAGTGAATCACGGCTTGACTGTACACCTCCAGTTTTCGAATAGTGCTTAACGACCAATTTGAGCAATAGCATGAGTGTCATATCTAGGTTCTAGCAACCCTCATATGCTTTACGTCTTTAAAGTGGCAGGTTTCAAGTAAAGTTCCAAAGATGGGCAACGCCCTATCACATCTACGCGCGCATTCTCATACACAAGTTGGCGGTGACAATTTCTGGCCGTCGACTTCAGTCAATGCCAACTCTTATCTTCACATTGGCTAAAGACTAGGTGAGTTTGTTGACACCGAAGAATATGTATATGTAACTTTCAGGTTTGGCTAGTGCTACTAGTTCTATGCGAGCTCGAACTGTAGCTCGGGGCTCTTCTGTGTTAGGTTGTTCAGATGATGAGATGATTTTTATGTCTTCATTCTATACCCCCTCAAACTTAAAGCTTATTAAATCATACTATACAAAACCTTGGGACTCATAACTTGTTCTTGATTGAGATGTACAAGACTTCCGCTGTTGCAAGCACTTCGCCATTCTCGTCCTCTACTTGCGCCGCAACGAAATGCTTCCGACCCTCAACCCTGGCTATTCTCGATCTCACTAGCACTGTTCCCGGCGCAGGAACGGGCTTCCGAAATGATGTGTTCAAATAGCCCGTTCTGAAATCTTTGTTGGGCTCTGCCCCTGTCGGCCTTTGAGCCACAATGTGAATGCCCGTAACTTCATCCATCACCAAGGCAACAACGCCTCCGTGAGCCGTCTCGGGAAATCCAATCATGCCATGGTCGAACGTGATGAAAGAACACAACTCATCGACCTTCCAATCGGGACCTTGCGGCTTGGGGTGTATGATCAACCAAGCTTTGATGGTGTCTGGTGTGTTGAGAGTCCCGCCGACGTATGTATTCTCTCTTGTAGGGAGGACAGTTCTGTTTTGAGAGACTTGCACCACGTGGGACGAAGTGTCGGATTGGCTAAGAAGTTTGGCACACCATGGGATGGATGCGAAGTGTTTGTAGTCAGGGTGTGACTTGATATCGTTGTCAGTCATGGTCGGCGAGTTGATAAACTGGGCCAATAAGCTGAACTCAAGACGTTGATGACAGGATTGCAAGTGACAAGTGAGTGTGAGGGGTCCGGTCCCGGGACCTCGGGTTCGGACTGTCGCGGTGGGTCTCACGAGACACCCGAGGTAGTGTAACTTGGAGGGGAAACTAGCGCAGGGGTTGGAGGACCCTATCGAGTCCTTGCGGTGAAGCTGAATGCACGTCGAGGCTTGTCTGGAACTAGCTAGCGCTTGAGGCGAACAACCTTGAGCATTTTTTCTGCACTTCCACAACGGGCACTTGTCGATATATCGGACGACACGTGGGCGTTCTGGCTTTAGTCTCATTCTTGAACACTTCGTATCATGGTCCAAGTAGCGGTTTAAGCGTCCATGACTCGTGGCGCAATCATGCCACACTAAGGTACCACGTAATGAACCTTCACGGATCGCGGAAGTAGGAGAGTATGAACAAAGTCGTGTATGGACAACCACATCAGCCATACACATCATGCAACGAAGACGGTTCATGGCTACAGAAATTGTGTCTTAAGCTTGTAATAATCTGATTTCCAAGCCATCGAAAGTTTATTAGAGTTTCGCGCCTCGATCGGAAGCTCGTTTGTGTTCCTCACGCCATGCGAGGTCACTCAGAATTTCCTCACTCCCACCACCAATAACTTTCAAACGGAGGTCCCGAGAGATCTGCTCCGTCATGGTCACCCCCTTTTCGTAGCCCATTCCGCCGTGTATCTGCTGGCTCTCCCTGACGGCTTGCTCTACGATCCTGCCGCCTTGAATCTTTGCCAACGCAATCCTGCTTGCAACGTCTTTTGTCTGCCAGCCGTGAATGTGGACGTGGTAGGCAATTTGCTCCAACCATGCCCAGTGGCCCTCAACCTCACGGGCAAGTTTCGTCAGCTTATGCCGGATGATCTGGTTCGAGGCGAGAGGTTTTCCAAATGTCTCTCGATCATGTGCGTGCTGCAGTGCTTCCGAAAGACATATCCGCGCTTGTCTGTTGCAGTCCACTGTGAGGATGAAGCGCTCTTTGTTGAAGTTTCGCATGATGATAGGAAACGCCCCGTTCTCCTTGCCCAGCAAATGATCAATTGGCACCTTCACGTCTTCCAACACAACCCACGAGGAACCACCGGCGTTGTGCCCGGAATTGTGAATCTTCCTGATCGTGACACTGGGAGAGTTCAAAGGTACAACCAGCAGCGAGATACCGCTTCGCCCTGGCTCCCCCATTCGTACAGCGGTGGTCATGTGAGTTGCCCACGGTGCTCCCGTGACCCACTTCTTGCGGCCGTTGACGACGTAGTGTCTGCCATCGGGAGTTTTCTCCGCAGTAGTCCGGATGGCGCTCACATCACTGCCGGCCGTCGGCTCCGTGATGGCAAGACAAAAGCTAGTCTCCCAGGTAAAGAGCCCAGGAAGCCATCGTCTCTTCTGCTCCTCGGTACCCGCAGCAAAGATGGGTGGCGCGCCCACATTCGACGCCCCCGCAAGAGCGAGGGGGACCCCACTGGGGATGCGGGCCATCTCGTCCATGAGAATAAGCTCGTGAAAGACATCCAGCTTGTCAAACGGGATACCCGCGACAGCCATGAGCTCCTTGGGTCGATACTCCTTTGGCACGTCGAGGAAAGCAAGACCGGACTTGGCAAACTTCAGCCTCGCTGATAGAGGGGCTTCCCCGGCTGCCTCCCATTCCTGCGCGTAGGGAAGCAAGTTGGTGTCGATGAAGTCTCGTACGTACGTCTGGAACCGCCGGTGAGAGTCATTGTAGTAGGGACTCTCCAGAGCATGGAACCACGCCGGTTCGCCCCACCTGAAGCCCGTGTTAGATGGCAGCTCGACCGGAGGAGGAAAAAGAAGGGATCGGGGTAGTACGGAGCGAGGACGCCTTTCGCCTTGTGTTCCTGGCCGGGGCTGGCCTGCCTTGATCCTTTGGCGGTTATCTCGGCCATGTTGCGATTTCGTTGCCCGTTCTGTCACACATTCGATATGTGGAGATTGTTGCTGATGAATGCAGATTCGTGTGCGAGGGGCATGAGTCTCGTAATCGAGTTGGAGCTGGTCCTTGAGAGCACTTGGGAACACTGGTTTTTGATGAAATAGCAGGCGATATACATCGCGCGGGGAAGAGGAAGTTGCAACCAAAGCATTGTTACGCTATAAACTTTGCGTTTGCAGGGAAGCACTTTCAAGTGAAGTTTGTATCAAACGTGACTAGTTCAATGCGATGCGATCAAGTTGGCGCGAGTCACGAGAGCAGAGACCAACGGCGATTGCTCAATCTGGCCGGTTCCGCCTGGTCTCCGCTTTAGCTCAAGAGGTGTTGGTCAGTTCGTCCGGGGGAGACAACAAGGGGCATCGGTCTTGGCCTCCGAGAGACAACCCACGGGGTCCTTACAAAAGTCCGAGAACCTGGATCCGGCTCCGTACCAGGCGTACCAGGCATCTATCAGCCCCAATCAAGAGAGCTTGCCTAACGTGATTTACGACCAGTGCATCGTAGCGAGAACGAAAGCTTGTTTCATTGACAATCCCAGCTGTTCGGTTGTGGAGAACGAGCGACTCGTTTAATTCGTGGTCTTTCAAATCCCCTCACGTGGCAAGGGGGAGCCTACAACTTCTTTCGGGCTCTGATGCAACAATGGCAAGGACGCTACACGACTTCACAAGTCGTACGATTGTACTACACTCAATTTACTAAACATACGCTAAACAGTGGTCGACCGAAGATCCTGTACTTCGACAATCTTTCCACTTCTTGGGTTGACAGCGAGTTCCTGCATGGTGATAAACTTAACTCTCAACGGGTTGATAAGGTCCTTCTCGACGTGTTCCCGAAACATAGGACGCACCACACCCAGCTCCTCTCTCAGCTCCGCCTGCAGCTGTAAACTCTCCTCATCTGTAGCCGGTGTACATGCGATGTTCAAAGTCAAGAGGTCTTTTCTGTCTTCTCGTGTGACAATGGCCTGCAAGCGCCCGACTGGCCGGTCTCCAAGGACCGTGGACACTATCCGTCGGAGGTCTACGAAGTCGACGGAAACGGGGCCGAGGCGGATGGCCGTGCGGTCCCTGTCGAGGACACGGAAAAGGCCTAGAGCTGGGTCAACCCACGCGGCTCGATCTCCAGACGGGTAGCGAACAATGGGCATGAGCAGGCGCTCCAGGTTCGTCACGGTCAGGCTGCCCGCCTCTCCTGGGGTGGTTGTGACCTCGCCGTCTTCATTGATGATCTCCACGATAATGTTTGGGTCGTTGACTTGGTGAAGCCTGGGGTCGTTTGTGTAGTGCTCTTGCTTCGGTGGTAAGCCGATGATTCCGCAGTCCATAGATCCGTAGACGACGGATCTGATAGTTGCATTCGGGAAGGCAGCTTTGAGCAGCCCAGCCTGATCATCGTAGAATGCTTCCCCTGAGAAAAGCAGCAGGCGGACGTATGGGTGGGTCTTACCACTGCTGAGGATGCGTTCTGAGAGCTGTGACATGGTAGTCACCGTGGCGAGAACGACGGTTGCCTCGAACTCGACGATCTGTCTTTCCATAGATTCCAAGGAAACATGTCCAGCTACAGGAAGCTGGATTGCACCGCTCGGAAGATGATAGACAGAGAGGATGTGCAACAAGAAGCTCCCGTAGAGGTCGCCGGCGTAGAATAGATTGGCGACCATGTCTCCCTCGCCGACTCCGCAGCGTCCCAAGCTCTCTGCTAGTTGTGTCGAGAGGCCATGAAGTTCCTTCTGGTTGTAGAACGACACTTTGGGGTGTGTGGTTGTTCCTAGATGGAGCAATGTCAGTATGCGTGTAATCCAACTTGGTCATACCTTCACGAGGCCTGAATAGCAGCGTATGAGAGCTGAGATGAGAAGTGGGATCAACTTGCCTCCAGTTTTGAAAACAATGCCATCTTTTTGTTTTGATGTCACAACCTTACTGTTCCGACATGTGTTTGATGCCCAGAAAGACTCATGGTCTACGACGGGCAACTCCCTCAAAGACACTGACGTATCTTCAAGAGTCTTACACAACTTCCAGGACTGGGCGTAATAAGGAGAATTCAGTCTTACAAATCTGATGAAGTCTGTGAGACTCCTGGACTTATTCCTGTTGTCCTTGGAGACCGTCATGTTGTCGATGTAGTCAGTGCATCTAGAATCTGGTATGTCGCGGGTTCGACTTCAACTCGGGCTTCGAATAAGTACTCAAAGATGAAGTATGGTCTTAGGTCATGCCACGACAATGATCAAATGCCCCCTCATAACTGCAACGTACGCAGTAGACACGAATTTCACTGGCAAGCGGATAACGGCACACATAAACCGTCGAGGTAGCTTACTTCCTAGATCCTCGCCGTCAGAACTCACTCTTACGCAACTCACAAGAGTCCTGCATTGTATGCGTACAACGAATAAAGTTTTGACTTGCAGGGAGGGAGTTGCGACGGCTTTGAACGAGGCCAGAGTTGCCAGACTGACAATTGTCAATAGGTACTTGCACCAATGACAAGACAGCTGAAGGGAAAGGGTTGCCCCGGATCCCGATTCTCGTAACCTCTGCTCATTTCTAGAATCCACAACGAAGCCAATTAAGCTTTTGACTGCTTCCGTCCAACGGTGCGAAGTCTCGCAATCTGGACAGGACGTGCGCCGAGGCTCCCGCTAACCCTAACCTTGCGCTCAGGCCCGGCCTCGTCAGATTGACAAAGATAGCAGATGGTGGCTGGCAATGCGAGAGAGGTCAGAGATGGTTCAGCCACGGAACCGGTCGAACTCGTTCGGGAAGCTCGAAAGGGGGCGCATTGGCACATGTCAAAGATCAAAGGGAAATGAATGACTTGTGCGTCCCTTTCTCCCGCAATCCTCCCCCCCTCTTTCCGTAAAGCCCCGAGTGGGACGCGACGTTACCGCACGGTCCCATGTTTTGAACAGCTTGGGGGCGGCCTCTGAATCTGGGCAATGAGGGGAGAGGGATTGGAGAAGATGGAGAGGGTTCCTGAAGCCAAAGACACTACCGTTTAGCCAATGGAGTTTGTCGAAATGCCACTCTGTCAACAAATGGAGTTCCCAGGGTCCTGTTTGGAGCTACCACCGTCTTTCTCTGCCTTGGTACTCCACGTTAAACGAGATTCAAGCTCAAACACACACAGTGGATGTCATTTCCCACTCCAAAGCAGAGAGCAAGGGGTGCAAAAGTGTTGGGGTTGAGGACCTTTGTGTGGGCCTTTTCCAAGACTTCTGTTATCCGCACGTGGAATAGGACCCTTGGAAATCTTCCATGACTAGGCCGGATTGCGTTTAGTTCCGTTTAAGCGACGAAGCCTCTTCTTGAACGTGCTAGGATCTTGCAGCAGATTAGATCCGCGTTTCTCAACACCTACCTCCCGAGTCCCCAGATACGCGTTCACCGCCCGGGACTGCTGGCTGCCTCTTTGATTGTTTCACCTTATGGTACCGAGGAAGGTCTCCTAGAACTGGCACTTAGGCCGCGAGGCCACGTTTGCGAAGGGAGACACCGAGACATTCTTCAACACCTACGGTACTGGTTTTTTGCTTTGTGCACAACGTGTGGCTGTCATCATCGAGTCATGGAATATGCTGCGGAATACGCCCAGCCCGAGGCTCTGCGATGCTTTGGGGCAAGCCACAAGGTTAGACCCAGCGGCGAGTCACGTCTCGAGGCGGTCTCGAGCAATTCCAAACACTCGACTTTTGGCAGCAGTAAGATGAAATTTTCTGCCGCCGAGCCTAACCCCCCCAATGCATGTGGGCAAGGCAAGGCAAAGACAACTTGGCAAGGGAAGGGGGGGAAACCGAGAAAGAAAAAAGTAGTCCAGACTGTTTGGACCCCTATTCCATGGATCGTCTCTCACCGTGGGTAACGGCCCACCTTTAATGCTGCCGCTCCTAAAAAAAGGGTCAAGGAGACACGTCTCTCTCGTTGGCGGTCTGCTATCCGTCCCTTGTGAAGTCTGACTGGAAACCTTTTTGCCTTTTCCCTAACCTCGGGCACCTGAGAAAATTTCACCCTTTTCCCCAGACCTCTTAGCTTCAGCTTCCCTCTGGTTCCTTCCTTTACTCATCCATAATACGGTGCGGTCCTCAGAGCGTATCCTTCTTTCCCTTTCGTTCATCTCATATTATATCCATTGAGCAATAGTGAGGTGATCCCAAACAAACCTGGTTTGCACCTTATCACACACAATGGCGACCCAACGTACCTCGTCTACCGTGGTAGTCGAGAAGCCCCAGAAGGTTAGTCGGCAAACATCTTCCGATGCGCCGCCATCGATCTCGATGACCGATCATTGATCACTGACCCTCCTCATAGAAGACCAACGAGCCTGTCTTCCCTGATATCCAGACCATCAGAGATGCCATCCCGGCTCACTGCTTCGAGCCTTCGCTCGTGACTTCCTACTACTATGTCGTCCGCGACCTCACCATGGTCGCTGGCCTCGTCTGGGCTGCTCTCACCTACATCCCCGGCATCCAGGACCCCATCCTGCGCGCCACCGCCTGGATGGTCTACGGCTTCGTCCAGGGTCTCATCTGCACCGGTGTCTGGATTCTCGGCCATGAGTGCGGCCACGGCGCCTTCTCCAAGAGCGACAAGGTGAACAACATCACCGGATGGGCCCTTCACTCCTTCCTTCTCGTCCCCTACTTCTCATGGAAGTTCTCTCACCACCGCCACCACCGCTTCACCGGTCACATGAAGAAGGACATGGCCTTCGTTCCTGCCACTGCTCCCAAGCCCTCCAAGAAGCCCTTGTTCGGTAGCATCGACCTTCACGAGCTCTTCGAGGACACCCCCATTGCCCAGGCCATCAACCTGCTCACCCACCAGCTCTTCGGATGGCAGGCGTACCTCTTCTTCAATGCCACCGCCGGCAAGGGTAGCTTGCAGCGTGAGGTTAACGGTCTCGGACGTTGGTTGGGCGTCAGCCACTTCGGCCCCACCAGTGCCGTCTTCCGTCCTAATGAGGCCATCTTCATTGCCATCTCTGATATTGGCCTGGCCATCACCTTCTCCGCCCTGTACTATGCTTCCACCATCCTCGACGTCTCCACTGTCGCTCTCCTCTACGCGGTCCCCTACTTCTGGGTCCACCACTGGCTCGGTACGCAACCCCCTCCCCCCCCTCTCACCTGTGATCCATGAAGCTTGACCTTTGAGTTTTACAAGCAAATGAGTTTATCATAGTGCTAATTGACCCTCTCAGTTGCCATCACTTACCTCCACCACAACCACCCTGAGGTCCACCACTACACCGAGGAGGGCTGGACTTTCGTCAAGGGTGCCATTGCCACCGTCGACCGTGAGTTCGGCTTCATCGGCAAGCACCTCTTCCACGGCATCATTGAGAAGCACGTTGTTCACCACTTGTTCCCGTAAGCTTTGCCTTTCATCATGAAAAATCTCCCGAGCCGAGCGCTGACAGATCCTAGTCGCATTCCTTTCTACAAGGCTGACGAGGCTACTGAGGCCATCAAGCCTGTCCTTGGTGACCTGTACAACCACGATGGCCGCAGCTTCCTGGGCCAGCTCTGGTCCGTTTTCGGCACGCTCAAGTACGTCGAGAACGACCCCAACTGCCCCGGCGCCATGAGATGGGCCAAATAGAGGGTGGTTGCTGTACAAAATACAACACGGTTTTCTTTAGACGGACATAAAGAGACATAGAGGATATAGACATTTTTAGACTCAAAGACCGCAGAGTCAAAGCTTGATAGAGCGGAAGCACGTACGGAGTTTAGAGGCAAAGGGAAATAGATCAAAAGTTCTAGACCAAATGGCAGGGCCAAGGCTCAGAATTCTTTGAAACTCTGCATCTCCACTGTGAACAAGGCACAGTCTTGTCGTTCACCAAAATGTGAGGTATTCATATTTAAGGTTCTCGTGATGACAAACGCGTTAAAGTTGATAAGTACCATTGGAAATAGGCGACCTTGCCAAATAGTTTCCTAAATAGGAAAAGTAGTATTATCGCAAGATAGCTGAAAAGGAGTAGTGTGGAATTACACTCGAACAGAGTTTACACCAAGCACATCAGATTTGGGGATCGAGTGCAACCTATTTCCATGTTCCCGCTTAGCTCGCATGACACGCGGTTTCCAGCCAAGGAGTAGCCCAGTCAATGGGTGCATATCATTCTGGGCCATCCGATTCGCACTTGCGTCGTCTCTTGGGTGCCACGCTGGTGAACTTGCTTGTTCCCAGACAGAAGGAAAAGTGCAGCAAGCCCAGCTCCCTGGGCTCCCATCGTCCGAGCTAATATAACAGAGTTTACACAGCTTGAAACAGTGCGCGCAGCATATTCACGACACCTTCGCAGGCTGGCGATGGCTACATGTACATTTGAACTGAGTCGTGTGATTCAAAGGAGCTTCTGACCATTCTGCATGTCCAGCCACGTACCGTAGCCTCCGGTCTGGGTTGGCTTGCGCAACTTCTCAATAGGAAGCACCAGGACGAGTGGGGGGTCTAGATTACGAAATAGCTCCTGCAAACTTGTGTGTGTTCGTCTTATATCATCCCGAGGAGATGGCTCCGGGTCTCATGTCATAGAAGATGATCGTCCGCTTCCTGTAAAAAGCCCTGATTTCCTACTGTTCTCTTGCTGTCTCCGACCTGCCATCTCATCATCCATCAATCATTTGATTATTGACCACGTATCGCTGGCATCTTGCCCTGATCAAGACGATCAACAACGGCCACACAATGGCGTCGGCTTACATACTCGTCGTCTACTTCCTAGTAGTTCTCCTCGCCGGTATTCAACTCAAACAGAAGATCAAGGCTCTCAAGTCTCCTCTGAGGAAACTGCCTGGGCCATGGTATGCTCCTCTCACAACATTGCATCTACGTTATCTCTTTTCGACAGGCAATATCTGGAAGTTGGTAGAGAGAAGCCATAATAAATATGGGTCAATTGTCCGACTCGGTCCTCGACAGGTCTGGATCTCCGATAAGGAGGCCATGAAGCAGATCTTGGTCAAGACGGACCTTCCCAAAGTTGCCATGTATGCCGAAATCTCCAGAGACAAGTTCAGTCCCGGGCTCTTTGGCGAGATGTAAGTCTTGCCCTATTTTTCTTCTGCCCGCAATTTGCAACTGCAACGTGAGCCTAACCCAACGTCTTTGGAAACAGTCGCCAAGAGCCGCACAGGCGCCTCAAGCGTTTCTTGTCTCCGGCGTTCACGGTCAACTATATTGACAACCTTGAGATATTCTTTAAGAGCACTGTTCGCGACGTCCTCAACAAGTACCAGACGCAGATCAACGAGGATCCGGTATACCATGCAAAGAAGGGTATCGAGGTTGATTTGATGGACGATCTTCACAACGTGGCCCTTGACATGTAAGCCAATAATTCCACAAATGTCTCTGGTTCTCTTGCGCGGCTTCTTACTTGAGTTGCAGCATGGGAGAGTGTTCATTCGGCAAGGGGTTTGGACAGACCAATCCCGATAGCTTGATCGAAGATGGAGTCGATGAGAAAATTTGGAAGTCAATCCCTCGGTCCATTTTCGATGGCCTTAGCAAGCGATATCAAGCAAGTTCATCCTCCATTGCAGACGGAATGTCCTGCTGCCCCAGATACTAACTTGTGCAAAGACTGTATACGTCAAGAAATTCTTCCGCGCCCTGGGAATCGACTTGCAATTCGACTGGCCTGCCGAGATGATCACTGCAATCGATGCCGTAGTGCAACGACGTAAGCGCACCTCGGACGTCGAGCGCCGAGACCTGCTCCAGCACCTCATCGAAGAGGGTAAAAAGCCTGACACTGGCACCAGCATGTCTGCCCGCGATATTGTCGACCAGATGGCAGAGATCCTCCTCGCCGGTTCCGAGACAACATCTGGTACCATCGGCTGCCTCTTCCTCGAGCTCGCCCATAACCCCGAAGTCCGCGCCAAGCTTTTGGCCTCCCTTCCGTCCAAGGGCTTCGGCGACGAAATTGTGACTAGCAAATCAGTCCGCAACGAGGAGGAATACGAGTATCTCGAGGCCTGCATCAAGGAGAATCTTCGCTTGCACCCCATTGCATCCGAGATGGGCCGCCGCACCGGCAACCAGTGGATCAACCTCTGTGGCTATGATCTGCCGCCTCACACCGTAGTTTCGGCTTCGTACCGCGATCTTCACCGCAATGAGGCTTTCTGGCCCCAGGCAGAACGGTTCTGGCCCGAGAGGTGGCTATCAGATGACAAGAGAGACGGGGCACCCGCACCTGAGTAAGTCTTATTGTCCCCTTTCGATAGTATTATGGGATCTAACAATGTCTCTAGTATGGACGCGTACTATCCCTTTTCTGGAGGCAAGCATTCGTGCATTGGCATCAAGTAAGTCATGGTGCAAATCTTCTCATTACTTTGCAGCGACCATGCTAATAGAATTGATGAAGCTTTGCGTGGGCCGAGATGAGAATGGTTGCCGCCAACCTGCTACAAAGATTTGATGTGCTCGAAGTTCCGGGTCAAGAAATAGACTTCCGCCAGTACATCACCATGCAGTTTGCAACTGGTCACTGGAAAGTTGTTCTCAAGCCGAGAAACTGAGGACGAGTAACAAAAATCTAACGACGAAACGTTCACAAAGCATGACTGTTGGCATTGAGATTGAAAAGCATTTCACAGTTTGTCTCCCTAGTACGGACTTGCGGAGTTGGATTAACGAGAGTTGCGTTGAAGCGATTACAATTTGAGACAAGTAAGTCCAAGGCATCGATCTACGGGAAAAGTATGATCTAGACATAAGCGAGATTGAATAAAACTGAGTGATCGCATTAAACCTGCGCAAGAGCTGAAGAATCAACTTGTCTACGCCTTGCAGGACTTGGCTAAAGCCCCCTCCTTGAGTCCTTGGTAGCGGTTATCACGGATAAGAGACTTTACCTGAGATACTGCAATAGCCAACGCTCCCACCGGCTATGTTGCATTCAACAGCTCGGAGGGACTGGAACAGAAAGCAATTGCAAAGTACCCCAGCCCCAGCAATGACCACCAGCTTGACGACGTGAGAGAGTTCCTGGGACACTACGTGGCGGGAAAACTCCGCTCATAAGACAGTAACCATGTTCCTCATTGCAACGAAATGCATGTGAAAAGCTTATTCGCGAAGGAGTTTACAAAGTGCGAGCGGTTTATCTGCCCTTGCTAGACCCCCATCATAGGTCTGTTGCATGCTATACCGACGGACCGACGTTGGTGTCTCAGTAGCATGGACCCGGTTGATTCGGCGTGGAGCAAGCAAACGGCACCAGAAAGCCTATTACATGGCTACAGTGGGGTAGTTAACACGAGACATATTGATCGAGCCAAAGGTCGCGCGGGGGTAGGGGGTTGGAGAAGGAGACCGTCGGCATAGCCCGCTCGATATTTTCTAGGCACAGAATTTCTCCACTCAGTGGGGGAGACGAATTCGAAGGACTCGGAAGTTGGGAAGGGGCTTCGGCATCGAAATCGGGCCCGAGGAGACATTTTACCCTGAGGTAGGGGAGCCGGGATTGAGACAGGACAGCTGGGCATTGGGATCCTAGTTTATCCTAGCTGATCAATGATGACCGAGTCATTTGCTTTCACGGCCGGCTTTGGTCACTAATAGCAGGAGAGAATCTTTCTAAGGGCCGAAGAAAGAATTATAAGGACAGGAGGAACAATAATGACAAGATAATCTGTTTATACAATGAATCTTAGTCCAAGATTGAGATCAGCCCTATTGACTAACTTCAGCCTGTCTACAAGCATCGCGGCTGCGTGTCTTTAACACAAATATGGAATCAAGCCCCTGGATCTGGAAGGGCCAGACTAATTACCCCACGCAAGAATCGCTGGTTGAAGATCTCAAGGTTTAGTCTTGCATGAATTGTGCTGAGATCAGCTTGACCCAGGATAGTATAGAACAAGTTATGAGGAACTTTCGGCAGAGCTTTTGTTTTGGGAAGGTCCAGTGCTTTGGCCTGATTTTGCAGCCAATAGGTCACCTTACATCTTGAACCTTGGATCAGCTAATAGAGTTACTGCGTCGACGGCGGGATAGTTGTCAATGATGCAGCCCGGAACTGTAGAATCAGCAGAGAAGGCAGACCTAGCACAATTCTCAGATCTAAACCGTCTACTTCGTCTGATTCTTTTCTAAGTTTCAAAATCCCGATGGAAGCCTCGGATCGAAAGAAGGAGAATAGATGAAATACTGCAAGCACTGGACGCTCATTTGGGTAGAAGATATCGGCAAAATTGCCGTTGGCTACAAGCTCATTCACACATTACCTTGCAACCTAAACTTACGAACACGGAGGTGAATTGATCAAGCTTATCTTGGCCACATCTTGTGCGGCAATTAAGCAGAATGTGGCCCGTAGAAACAGAAGGAAAAGCTGTACATAGACCAATTTATTCATCAGTCGTAGGCTAACATCGTTTAATAATAATCTATCTCATCTGAGCTATGAGGTTGTGTACCCATAAGTACCCCTTAGGCTAGCGAGCACTCCACCATGGTAGTGATTGTGCGGAACTGGAAGAACCGGCTTATTCTCAGACCTGCCTTCCCAAGGATGGACTCGAGCTCTGGCACTGATCTCTCCTTCCCGCCGAAAAAGAGCAAAGTGTTCCATGTCATCAAGTTGGCAAGATCCGGAAGCCTCGACTGGTTGCGAGGTGTCAGAGTAGACGGGGCCGCATCATGATTGCTGACGATGAATGGACTCGAGTTCCAGATCTCGTTGATCACCATCCGTGAGTCCGGAGTCTTTCTCATGGAGTTCGCAACTTTGGTAAGTATCTTGATAGCGTCTTCGTCATCATACTCGCGTCTAATAGCTGTCATTATGCGATAGCAGAACGGCTCATTCAGATTCCAGAAACTACTCACAGAACTCCTCTGAGGTACCATACGTCGCCCTCTGCTGCGTTGTCTTCGAAGTAATCCTGTACAACACATTCGACTTTCCCTTCGGCAGCTCTTGATGCAATATCCTCGGGCAGGTTCTGCTTGGGACGTCAGTATCGGCTAACGATTCTAAGTCACGCGCAACTCACGGTCTTCAAGCTCTCGATGGCGGGCTGAAGGTCCTGAAAGGTCCAATGAAGCTCCGGATTATGCCTAATTATGTCAAATCCGCTGTCACCTGGGCCGCATCCGACATCAACAACTCGAGCTTTGGGCCTCTCATGCCAGGGGTAGTCATTAAGGAGCGCTGGCCTCGTTGTTCTCTATAACAGACATATTGATAAGTCAGAGTCAGATGTAATGGCTTGCATACCGGGACACACTTACGTTGAGCCATGGTACAACACCCTTGATCACCTTAAGTGCAACCCCGGAGTTCTCGGGATGACCAATGTGTTCGAAGAATGTTTCGCCATTCTGTGCTACTGTAGAACAGAATGGAGCATCTGTGGCCAGATAAGAGTCTTTGGTCTTGGTGTCTGTCATATGAGACAGCAGACCTGCAGAGCTCCTTAGGCCCTCGTGCGCTCTTCGCTTGTTAGACCACTGACGATGGACACCCAGGACAGTGATTGGAGCTTACAAGAGGGACAAGAATTGAGCAGCACTGCCTTCCTTTTCGAGAGTCCTACTATGTCGGGTATTGCTGAAAACACCTGGCTGCTTTTCTTGGTAGATATACTCAGTAGCCAATGTCTTCAAGACCCTTCCTGGAATGATAGTTAGTGGACTTTGGACTTTAGAGGCGGCGTAGGACCGGCTGCTTATCTACCTAGTTTCTGCTCATTGACATTCAGCCGGCTAGCTAAATCTGCAAGCTTCGCATTGCCTCCAAGATCTTTGATTGCATCTGTAATACCAAGGGACACTGCTACATTAAGTGCACTCGTCCGTGCTGGCTGCAGGCCCATCTCAAGCAGCTTGATGTGGTTTGGTGTAACTGCTGCATCGAGAGCGCGAACGTCTACGCGGATCTTCTCAATGGCCTCAAATGCTTGCCAAGAGATTAGATGTTCAGGGTCGTCGAGCTTTGCAGAAGTTTCTGAGTCCCATACTTGGGGCTTTCCTAGGTCATGTTGTTGGACTTCATGTTCAAGAACGGCAATGTTGTCCCGCAAAGACTGGAGGAGGGTTTGGAGGAAGGACATGGTGAAGGTATGGGTCTTTCGACACCAGGTGAATCGATATATTTGAGATAGCAAGGGAAATCGAACGCACCTTCAACAGGCCGACGAGACCATCTGTTCATGTACCCAAAGCCCTCTTGCGCATGTGGAGGGGGCGATCCGATGCCTTGTGGGGTAGCCTGCCTACCCCACAAGGCATGTAAGTCAACGAGTTTGGATGGCTTGTTTGAAGATGGTTTAAAGCAACATCGAAAGACCACTCTGAAACTAGACTTGATGTTAGATTCCATCCCTTCTTTGCTTTGAAAACCTTTTGATCAATATCAAATTTTCCCAAAATCCTTCTTCATGTCTCAACCCCTGAAAGTCACGATAGTCGGCGCAGGCCTTGGAGGTCTGGCATGCGGCATCGCGTGCCGTCGTCAAGGCTATGATGTCTTGATAGTCGATCAACTGAAAGAATTCCTACGCCTTGGTGATAGTATCGGATTTGGTTCAAATTCGGCAAGGCTTCTTTACCGTTGGGGGGTCGGGTCCAGGATGGAACCAATTGCAAGTCAGAGTACTGAGATACGCATCTACAACTTCGATTCTTCCGACAAAGTCCTTGGTATCGACGACCAGATTAGCAAAGCCGTAGATAACTACGGATGCCGCCAAATCATAGGTCACAGAGGCGACTTCCACCTCATCATGAAGGACTTCGCTCTCGAACAGGGCGTCAAAATCCGGCTTGGCGAGCGAGTCGAAGTCTACGATCCCAGCAAACCCAGCATAACCCTATTGTCAGGGGAAGAAATCAAGTCTGATGTAGTCATCATCGCGGACGGCGTCAGAAGCAAAGGACGCACGACTGTGCTAGGTTATGAAGATAAACCTCAAGCAAGCGGATACGCCATCTACCGATCATTCATGAGCGGTGATCTCCTTCGCGATGACCCTTTGACCAGCAAATTCCTCAGCGACGGCGATACAATCCGATTGTTCCTGGCCAAGGACTCACATGGGTTCATTAGCACTCTGCAGGGTGGGAAAGAGATCAATGCGGTCTTGACTCACAAAGACGTTGGCGACGTCGCGGAGAGTTGGACTAAAGAGGCTAGTAAAGAGGATGTACTAGCATGTCTAGAAGGGTGGGATCCTGCTGTCAAAAGAGTGTGGGAGAAGATGGCTTCGGTCATTGACTGGAAGCTCGTCTACCGCCCTTGTCTCGACAAATGGGTCTCGGACTCCGGGTTGGTTACGTTGATGGGCGATGCTGCACACCCTTTTCTACCCACTTCGACTCAAGGTGCTAGCCAGGCAATCGAAGACGGAGCTACCATAGCCAAATGTCTCTCGAAATGTGCGGGCAATATTCCCCTGGCCTTGCATACCTACTTCGAAATCCGACACGACTACGTTGCTGAAGCACAGGCGACTGGGATCAAGCAGAGAGAAATATGGCACAACTTGCACGACGAGGACAGCAAAGCTTTCAAGGAGGAATTCGACATCAACTCAACCATGCAGCAGAATCTCTATCTTTGGAAGAATGATGCTGAAAAATTGGTCGATGAGAAGTGGGATGAGGTGTCGGAGATTGTCAAGCAGAGGCTTAGTGCTAGTAGTTGTTGACAGAGCGGACCAGGAATTACACGTACTTCTAAATAGTCGCCGCGAACAAGGCATTGCATCAATTATTTGAATCATACTAACTCGTGCTCTGATTATCCCATTCAAATATTAGTCGCGTCAAGATTGACTACTAAAAATGAGTAAAGATGGAGAAGAATCACTGTCAAACTCCTTGTCAACAGTCTCAAATTTCGACTTGACTCAGGTTGACTAGAGGAATTAGCGGTGACTGACTTCCGGCCAAACCGCGCAAACACAGTGCTGCAAAGCCAAGACATTAGCGACAAGTGCTTTCTTATGCATCGTGCAGTGCAAGAACAGCGGTCCTCAAGAAAGCGCCCCATCTACGGATACACCTGTTGAGTCAGGCCTGAATCAGCACCGCGTACCCCGGGTCCTAGCGTCACGGATCCCCGCAAACTCCATGTCCGTTCCTTCAATTGCCGAAGGCGACGAAGACACCTTCCATCTTTCCTGATTCGCCAGTATTATCCCTACTTACTTTTGCATCTCGGAGAAGGGATGAGGACGACAGAAGAGACGGCACAGAAGCTGGTTTAGCGGATATGAGTCGACAACGAGACACCACCCAGGCGTCTCCACGAGAGACGAAGAAGTCGGCCTTTAGGCGGACAGTAAGAAGCTGTGAGCACCCGTCCTCCTGTCATGGTGGTGACGTAAGAGCAATCTTCTGACACACTATGAAGCAAGCGAAGATGGCCAGGCACAGCCAGAGCGTCCACGTCCACATACTTGCACATACTGCCAGAAAACATTTATCAGGACTGAGCATCTGATACGGCACGTTGCATCACGTAAGATTCACTGGTCAACTCATCCATCGCGTCTTTCAGCTAATGAAAGAGACTAGATGAAAATCGAAAGCCATTCAAATGTCCGCCATGCGGTGCTAGTTTCGGCAGGACAGATGTCCTGCGTCGACATCAAAAGAAATGTCCAGGGAAACCTCCTCAAGGTTCACCGAGATTGCAACATGAAGAGAACGGCATTCGGGCCGCTGCAGAGCATGATTCTCAAAAGTCAGTAGATGATATCTTGATGTAAGTCAGGAAGTTGATTGAACTTTGAAGTCCTGGTCAAGAACACTTACATCGAACTCTCAGGTTGGAGGTCAACTGTCAGCCAGTTGATCAGGCTGAACAACAAAGAGAAGGTCTTAATGATGTGCAGAATTCTGGTGTCACTCAAAGTCAAACGGACGAGGTCAATACTATGAATCTGGCTGTTCCTCAGTCCGGTGGATCTAGTGATGATGCCGTTGTAGTTCGCCAATCAGGAGATGAAGATACCGCCGAATCCCAGTTGAGCTCGCCTCAATCGAACGCAGATCAGAGTGCTACGATAAGCAAGGCACATCTTGCTTCGGATCCCACCATCTCCGCTCAGCAAGCTAACGGAACAGGTCAACTCAACCAAACAACGGCGCTAGAGATCACCGAATCCACGACATCTGAGAATAATCCTGACTCAGGGGCACAGCATGTCAATATCCACGACTTTCTGATGCTCGGAGACTCTTTCATACCTGATATCAACCCTGCAGATTTCGACTTGAGGGGCGTCACAGACTTGCTGTTTGACTTCAATACCAACAGCATCATCTCACCCCCTTCTGGGGACACATGCATCCTCCTAGATCCAGGTCGACATGTAGCTCCAGTCTCATTATTCTTCGACGCTCCCGAAAGCCTACCTCAGTACCAACCTTCCTATGACACGCCTCATCTTTTCAGGTGCTCCGACGACGATGCCATTGCAGTCAACAACGCTTTCGCCAAAGCAAAGAGCACTACAGCGAAGAATTCAGACTCAGTCCATCTTAGTTGCAGTCAGATTTCACGTTGGATCAATGCGTATTTCGAACACTTTGACATACATACGCCCATAGTGCATCGACCGACGTTCATTCTTCCAGCTACTCCAGGTAAGCAACATACCCAGCAGACAGGATAGAGGCCTAGCTAACTGGTTATAACACTTCCTTGCAGCATCTTTACTTTTGGGTATGCTGGCCATCGGCGGCTGCATTGTATCAGAGCATGATACTGCCTCAAAGGCCTATGAAGCTTCCTGTCATCTCCTAGCCCAGGTGCGTAGCTTCAACAAACCTTTGCGTCTTTTTTCCCTCTATCTAAGGTACTGATTCTGCTTCCAGTACGAACAAGATCTCTTGCAAAGCTCTATCTCAGAGTTGTGGCCAATACAGACCGCCTTATTATGTATTCAATTTGGAGCATTCTCGGCCAACTCGAGGTATGTGAGACAGGCACAAAGGCAATTTTCGCTCGTGACAGATGTAAGTTAAGCATCTTGGATTCACTGGCTTGCAATACTCCCTCGGTCACTTTATACTGATACTTTTAAGTTACTCCGCGCAGTGGAAGTTCAAGTTCGCGGGGTCCAGTCAGCTCAGGACTCGGACTGGAAAGACTGGATTTTCATAGAGACGCTAAGTAGGTCAGTCAAAATCTGGTCCTACACTGAGGCAATAACGTATCTAACATACCTGCCTTTTCAAATGCAGGCTTGCAAGCTGGACCTGCATTTTGAACGCAGCAATATCGCTCCTCGACCCTGAATCAACATGCGTCGCTGCGCCCCAGGTCACAGCGGAAATGATAGTCCCCTCAAACAACAGCCTTTGGCGAGCACCGTCAGCCGAAGAATGGGCCCACAACAAGGAATGGCAGGCGTACAAGCCAGTCAATCTTGTCGAAACCTCGAGACGAGTCTTCACTGGCGAGTTCCCCGCGGTTAGCATAAGCTCATTCGGACTTCTCACGTTGATCGGGGCTCTCGTGGCGAATATTTGTGCTAGAGAACGGTACTCTCCTGAAATGGCCCCCATCCTTGATAATGAGTACTGTGCAAGGATGGAGAGGAGCCTTCACGCATGGGAAACTCTATGGCGTAGTCACCCTCATGCTGAAGGCACACAAGGCATGAGAAGCGATCCCTTGATGACGGAATGTCTATGCCTGCTCAGCTCTGCGTACCACCATCTCTATATGGGACAGGAGCTCCAGATCTTGAAGAGAATCGCGAAAGAACCTGAATGCCATCTGTCAATCCCCAATCTCCCAACTAACAAGAAGGTTCTATCTGTCATCAAGTACGCTGCGACTTCTTGGTTGGCGGATACCATGACAGGCATCGGCCATAGGCAGCGGAAGGCGGCATGCGAATTTGGTGGGCTTGGTCCGATGTCGGCATACGAGGCTGGTAAGCAATCACGTTCCAAACAGTCGTATCAAGAGTTAAATAGCTAACGGGTGACATGTTCGTCCCTTTCTGCTTAGCGCTGATTATTTCGTGGTGGCTGAGTCTTCGCCAAAGTCTCACATCACCACCTTCTGCCTCTGGCCTAGAGGGGGAGAAAGAAAGCTTGGAAGTCATCAACCACTTGTTTCAAGACATTTTGAAGGAACTAGATGAGCAGTGTATCTCGTTCGATGGAGATCATTCGGACCTAGCTTCCCGAGCCCTGTTCCACTACCAAGTGTTGTTGGGGCAGTGGGTGTGGCCTTGTGAGTACTTTTGTTTCCCCTGCTTTTTTCGCTTATCTGTTTGCTAAGCCACGCTCGACGCGTAGACACGAATGCCATGAACCACGCCCTGCAAGCCTTTGCATCTCGATTGTACCAGGGAGAAGTCCGCACTGACATCCCGCGTCACGACGGCACGGCTCTCACAAAAAGCTTGGCAATGGGGTAGCAGTCCAATTCGTGGAGTCGTGGAAAGACTATGATGTGGGGTGACGGATGCATCCGTAGTGAAAGGCACCTTGGACTGCGGATTGGCCCGCCCGACTGGTTCCTGAGCAAAAGTTCCCAACGCTTCCCACAACCATCAGAAACACCCTTGCTGAAACATGGCATAGAGTTCATGAAATAACATATCCGGCTCACAAGTAATTTGGATGGATCAAAAAACGGAAACAATGAACGAATCAGCATCTTTGCTAGTTTCTCCATTCACCTGAGTTAGTCCGTAAGCGCACCGTCGAACGAACCCTGGGTGGTGGAACACAAGGATCAAGCAACGGCTTCAGCTTGTCAGGGTGCGCTAAGGATTGAGTTCCCAGAACAAGCTTATTTCCGCAAAGGAAGTCATCACTCTTCGTATCTAGAAGGCTGAGTTGAGTGACGGAGAAGGCTGCCGAACAAAACATTCAGCTGGTCATGGGGAAACAATCGGATGATGTTGATCTCAACACGCCAGATTATCTCGTGGGCTGTGCTTCCGGCTTTCAAGATGTCAAATTTGGGGTTTGTCCAGCATTAAGCTCTTGCCTGTATTGTCCAATCTGTGTCTATATGAATTCTACGACTTCGAGTGTTCAAGTGTCCGATCTTCAAACGGACGAGTCTTGTATTCATATCAATATAGTATCGCATCTGTAATTTGATCCTCATACTTTGAACATCTCCATTATTCTACATCTTTACTCTCTGTTTGGAAGCAGCGACCCTCTGCATTCGCGATGGCATACCCTAAGAATGTTGGCATCAAAGCCATGGAAATCTACGTTCCTGCACAGGTCAGCATCTCTCTTCACAAGTTCTGTATCATCTGTCAGAGCTAATGCCGGTCATTTCAGTGCTTGGATCAGTCTCTCTTTGAACAGCACCAAGGCGTCTCAGCGGGTAAATACACCATTGGCCTGGGCCTCAAATACATGAACTTCTGCAACGACCGTGAGGGTAAGTCATCGCCCGTCCAGCGTATTCTCATTCTGGCCGGGATTCTGGGTCTGGTTTCCACATCAGCGATGGCTACTGACCAGCTTAGATGCATCTTCCATGGCTCTCACTGCCATATCCTCGCTCATGCGAAAGTACAATATCGACCCCAACTCCATCGGCCGCCTCGAGGTTGGCACCGAGTCCTTGGTTGATAAAGCCAAGTCTGTCAAGACAGTGCTGACCCAGCTCTTCGAGCCTGCCGGGAACACTAGCCTGGAAGGTATCGACACCATCAACGCATGCTACGGCGGCACGAGCGCCTTGTTCAACGCCGTCAATTGGGTCGAATCTCGATCGTGGGATGGCCGAAACGCTATCGTTGTTGCGTCAGACATTGCCTTATATAACGAGCCCGCCTCTCGTCCCACGGGCGGAGCTGGTTGTGTTGTCATGCTCGTTGGTCCCAATGCGCTGCTTTCGATGGAGCCAGCGCTCAAGGGAACTTTCATGACCCATGCTTACGACTTCTACAAGCCTGATCTCAAGGCAGAGTTCCCTCTGGTAAATGGACACGAGTCGCTTCGGTCGTACATGTCGGCACTAGACGGTTGCTACCAACGTCTTCGCGAGAAGGTGGATGCAGCTAACCAACGGGCTAACGGACATGAGCAGAAGACTGACACCAACAATTTGCTGAACATATTTGACTACATGGCATTCCACACCCCCAATTGCAAGATTGTGAGCAAGTCGTATGGGCGACTGCTGTACAACGACTTCCGTATGGACAGCGACAAGAGCCGATGGGAGGCGGCGTTGACGGAAGAGCTCCGCGGTCTCAGTTACGAGGAGTCTCTGAAGAGCAAGGAACTTGAAAGGATATTTGTCGGCCAATCCAAAGATCTCTTCAAAGCGAGAGTTGAGCCATGCATTGCCGCTCCTACCTTATGCGGCAATATGTACACGGCGAGTCTCTATTGCTCTCTCATCAGCTTGATCAGCAACATCGATCTAAGAAACAGTGTCGGGAAGACTATCGGCATGTTCAGCGTAAGTCTTGTAATATTCATGTGCGAACAGTCTACTAATATGAGGCGCGGAATCAGTACGGCAGCGGTATTGCCAGCACTCTCTATGGGCTCAAGATTACTGGAGATCTCAGCGACATGGTCCAGGAAATTGACCTCATGAAGCGTCTCGAGCAACGTGAGATTTGCACACCCAAGCAGTATGAAGAAGTGAGAAAGATTTTCATCTAGGTCTTTTGCAAATTGTCACTGACCACCGATTCGCAGGCCTGTTCTCTCAGATTGAAGGCATATGGCGCCAAGGGTTATGAGCCTGCTGGAAGCATTGAAGCCATGGCTCCTGGAACGTACTACCTGGAGAGAATTGATGATGCTTACCGCAGGTTCTACGCTGTGAAGCCATGAACTCCCGTTCATATTGCCCTCAGCCCGGTTCCCAGAGCGTTCCCGATATGACATTAGCAGTACTTTCGTGTGTAAGAGGAGGTTTCTGCAGAGAACATCAATGCAGATAGAAATCCAATCATTTCATAAGGCCTTGATTTCTATCTTTTCTTCCTCGCCCGCTGCGACGTCATCGCCTTTCTTCCAACGATACTCCTTCTCAATGCCTAGTTCCCTCTGCGCTGTATCGCAGAGTTTTGCGTTCCCGCAGCCGCACACGGCCGGCTCCCTGATCCACCGATACGTGATACTCCACCGATCTCCCCTCTTCCGCACCGTTCCATCGGGTAATGTGTCCGTCTTCCGCTTCCTGATTCCGTGCTTCCAATGCAGTCTCGAGTCTCCCGACATCTGCAGCATGCTCCTCGGCGTAAGGTCTACTTCCACCATCGTTCCTTCCTCGCCTTCGTCTGGAGGTAAGGCGAACTGCATCATGACCGGCGATCCCAGAGATAGCGCATATAACTGATCATATGCGGAATGAGTATCGACATGGGGCGGGATACCGGCGCCGGGTGGGTAGTGTTGTAGGCAAACTTGGTCCGGTGGTCTGCCTTCGCGTGTAGGAATTAACGGCTCCAGCCAGTCCGGAAAGGGGTTGAAAGGAATGTTGGGGTCCACGCCGAATGTTTTGTAGTCAAAGGTGTAGCCGTAGTGGAGAGACAGTCGCCCAGATCGATCTGGCCACGAGAGCTCGTTGCGAAAAATGTGTATTAGCTTTTCCTCATGCTCGGCTGTTATGAAGTCGTCCTGCCAGAAGATACCCGAGGGCTGAGTTGGTAGTTCATTCATTGCAAAGGTTTCAGCGCCATGCAGATTCGATCGTCGTGCCAGTGGTGATGAGTATAAGTCGTTGAATAATAATACTACTTTATGAGATGATGTTGAATCCGAATTTGACTCAGCGGCAAAAGTCGTTTGGTGTGGCACCACCACGGAAACAAAGTGGGGCACGTGCGGGAAACCGTAGCGGCTACGGATGGGAAAGAGAAGACTCATTCTAAGATCGTCCGCCATGGGGATCGCACTCATATTACTTAGAACAGCCCTGAGAAAAGTCTTAGAAGTGAGCTATATGCGAAATGGAGACTCGGGACCAATAAGATACTTCTCATAGAGTCTGTCAATGACACCGTGATGGAGGGGGGGGGGGGGGGTTACTACAGTCTGTGTCGCTTATCACAACCTCAGAATATGGAAGGAAGCTTTCATGGTCACAGCCCCTCCAGCCACCGTCGATAAGAGCTTCGACGTACGCAGCTGGATTCATTGGTAAGGAACGTGTTTTTTTCGATGTGCTGAAAGCTGCATGTGACTGCGATTATCATTGAAATTGAAAGGTGGGGTTGTTTTCTTCACTGCTGCGGACGGCGGGGTAGAGAGAATGGAATGTAAAGCACTCAAGAAGCATGCCGAATGTCGTGTAAATGTCAACATTGGGTCCATGGACTTGAGAGCTCTACTGGTATGAAAGGCTGCTTCCGGCTTGTCATTAGATGTGAATAACTCCCAGATAATTCCTCAGGCGATGATAACAGTGAATCAATCGGGTCGTACAGGCATTGCCGACGTCCCATGTCGTGGATGAAACGGTTCTGAAGCTTGATTCCCAGCTGTGCCTCGCTAGACACGGCAAGCCCACTGCTAATCAAATTTGAGACGAATGACGGGATGAACAATACACAAACGCAGAGCACGAATGGGGAGGCAAGCTTAAGTAGGTTTAAAGGATGAGTTTTTTGATGTCGCATTAAGCAGCAGACACTAGGTATATGTGTGGGTAGGTAGGGGGACTAGATTTATGTAACCGTTCTGTTGAACAAGGCGTCCCTTTAAACCAACCGTCTTGTTCGTTAACGCTTTTTCCCATATCCCGAGAAATCTGCACAAATGTCCAAAGCAGAAAAAACTGGAGGTGGGCACAAGAGGCAATGGCAAATTGGCCGCACCATCCAAAATATGTGCCCCGAAAGAAAAGAGGTATCCCATGCGCCGTCAAGAAGCTCTGAAGATTAAGGAAAACATCCATTACTGGGCTTCGTCATCGTGGCGAGGTTTTTTGCGTGGGTTTGGTGTGAGATGACCCCCTTTCCCCGACGAAAAACTCACCCCAGGCAAGGGAAGAAGACTGGAACCAAACGGAAGAAAAGGATGAACCTTTCTTACGCGGAGAACTTGTCGCCGAGGGTGACGTCCAGGTGGCCCTTGTAGTAGCCCTTGCAGCCGACGCCATCCTCAGCCTCCATGCCGGGCATGTAGGCGCCCTCGTTGGTGCCGTCAGACTTGACCCAGGAGCAGGTCTTGCCGTTGGCGGCAACCTTCATGCCGAAGTAAGCCATGCTCTGGGAGCCGGCGACGAGGACGGAGGCGTCAGCGCCGGAGTTGCCGCCGTTGGGGGTGGAGCCCCAGTCGAACTCGAGCCAGGTACCGGCGAACTGGCCGATGGGGGTCTTGGGGACCGTGGCGCCGGAGCCGCAGGCACAGGAGCCCTGAGAGTCGGCGTCGAAGGCGACGTTCTTGGACTGACCCTCCTTGACAGTGAAGGTAATTGCGGCGAACCAGCAGCCGTCAATCAGGCCCTTGGGGCCGATCTTGTTGAAGCACGAGCAAGAGTAGTCGGCATCGCTCGCGGTGAAGGTGGTGGTGTAGTTGTAGAGGGAGACGCTGGCGTCGTTGATGATCTGCATGTTGCAGCCCCAGTCGTCCTCGCTGCCGGTGTTGCCAGAGTAGGCGATCTCGGCGATGGTAGCGCGCTTGCTCTTGGAGCCGCTGCAGAAGGGAGTGTAGACACCGCCGGTGGAACCAGCAGAGGTAGCGGCGGGCGCGGCAGAGGTGGAAGAGGGAGTCGTGGAGGGAAGGATGTTCTTGATGAAGGTCAGGTCGCGCTCCTCGACGGCGTCAGCGCTGCGGCGCTCGTGGAACTTCTGGTGGTTGTGGGCAGAAGGGTGGGCAGACACGCCGGCGAAGGCGGCCGCAAGGACGACGGCAGAGGTGAAGTGCATCTTGAACTATCGGAGATCGTGGAGAGATTCGTAAAACTCGTTGGTGGTTAAGAATGCTAAAAGTTCTGTTTATTTGCTAGACCCGTCCGGAAAAGAGTGACAGCGGGTTATCAAGATAACTCGCGGATTTGGACGATGGTTTGAAGAGAGAGTGATGGTGTCAAAAAAACCAGGAACCGGGATGTGCCAGAAAAGGGAGGGAGATGAGAGCCATTTTGAAGGGATGGAAATAATCTCATTCGAAGCGCCCTTCTGCGAGGCGTGTTAGCAAGAGACATGGTCAAGCTAGGGGAACTTGGTGTGGTGACAGGGGCGTCGTCACCACGACGTCGCGTTCTGCTCTATCTTCCACCATCAACAGCCCATCACAACCCGTCAACAACCCTGCTTAGCCAGGAACAGACTCCCAATTGGGTAAAGACCCAGAAGTGATGACCGAGAGGGCTAGGCGATGTGGAGAGGGGCATCGTTGGCTTCAGAGCCAGACAGGCCGGGCCAGGAACAATCTCTGTTTCTCTCGCTGCTTGCCAGCTTGGCTCTGCCAACTCAGGCACAGGCCACAGCTGGCACACACACACACACCTCCCTTTTGACGTGTGGGAGCCATGAACCAGTAGGGAGACATGGGTGAGTCGGATGGTGGAGGGAAATGGATCATGGATGGACCATGGTGCACCGCCGGCGCCAGAGCAGGATTGGACGGTGATGCGGGAAAAGGGGGTGGGGAAGGTAATTTCACCGCACGCCAATTCCAAAAGGGCCACGGCCAGCCAAAGCTTGGTCCCAGGTTCGAGTCCAAGCCAATCCCTCCTCAAGGTCGCAGTAACATTCCATTCACAAGCCAACCAGAAGCCAAGCATCACTAGACCGTTACACGGCGGACCTGCCAATGGGTGATTATCGACTGGGAAGATGAGATACTAAAGCTTGGGTTTGTTTGGTTTGATGGATCATCATCAAAAGTATTTCCATCTCATCTTGGGATGATGCGGATAATCAGCGCCAAAAAGCCACATCACACACACATTAGGATGAAAACATCCCGTTGCTGTTGGACAACGCATCAGTGTCTTTCTCGAGTCGAGTGAAAGTTCCCTCCCCTTCCGTACGCCCCATGGATCCCACACCAACAAATGCCGGCAGGAAAAGCGCGCCGGCCAGGCACACCCGCACGTTAGGTTTCTGGCTGCGTGAGAGAGGGGAAGAGGCTTGCCGCAATGCCAGGAACAGTGAACTTAGCTCCAGCGCCTGGGCCTGGAACCTGGACCTCGACCTGGAACCGGAACACGAAATCTTGGACTTGGTCGGTGGTCCACAAACATGGCACCCACAAAGTGCCACCACACTCCAACTTTGCACGACGGAACACTCAAGAGAAGCACAAGCTATGACGGGAAGATCGACGCTGCCCGTCCACATGTCCACAACCGACCTGCAGAATCACACAAAGTTTTGCCTTGCTGACCTGCAGTATTTCATTGTCCGCAGGACCGGATTCAGGTTTCTCGAACACTTCCTGACTTGACAAGAAGTCTAGAACGGTACACCCTCCATGTCTTGTAATCTTGCTTTTCTCAATTTCTCTCCATGACTCCGACCAAAACAGAGACTGCCCCTGGTGGAGATCCGGTGGAGGCGCTCGAGTGCATAAAGTTAAATCTCTCACCCAAATGCTCGTGAACAGTCGAGTTGACGCCCCCGAACATCAAAGATAGTCGTCACTGCTTGCCTTCCATGACGTTGCATATCCAAGCCCTATAGTCGCAAGACCCCTTCATCGACGTCCTATTCGTCCTTCAACATGCTGTCAGCATGCAAAGTTCGGCAACCGAAAACCTCTCAGTTCCTGTTGTCTTCTGGTCTTATCTTCAAGCCTCTCGGAAGAGGGTTGACGATTCGATGACCGGGAGCATCGAAATGCAGCATAGACGCATTCGATCGTCAATATCATCCGATAGAGACAGGCTAGTGGAAACAACATCACAGCATCTGTGAAGTGAGGGATTAGAGATTGCCCGTATCGTTCAGGTCCAGGAAGAGCAACATTAGGATAATAGGCAAGTATACTGAGGCGCCTGGTGGGTTTTCCACTAATATGCATTGTCCCAATGGAGCATCATCCCATCTCTCCTTCCCCTTCGCCTCCCTTCGGTTACCTTATTGCTCTTCCAATATTCGCAGGATGTTTCCTCGGCAGTGCAACACAGCTCATTAAAGACTTCGTACTCACAGCGTCCCATCTTTCCTTCTCCCATGTTCCGATCCCAGTGCCGCTGCCGCACAACGGCCCGTACGCCGCCGGGGGGGTTGAAAGTGGGAGTGCCAGGAACCGATGGGGTCTGGATCTTCCCAGCTAAACCCAGCGGATGCCCGTTCAAGCCGCTCAGCGTAACGGATACGGCGACCCGGCCCACCAAGTGGGAACATAATCACCATTCGACCTGGTCGCTGTCCAAAATCCCTCCCCCCTTCTCCCTCCCCTCTTGGACTGATTCCAAGGAACAGCCTTTTTCTGCGCAGTGCGAATCTTTGATTCCCTCTGTCCCGTTTCTCCACTGGGGCAGTGCTGGCAGCAGAGGCCAGTGGGCAAGTGGCAATTCCGAACGCGTCATAGGCCTCGTCAGGACTGAGGGAAGATGGAGCTGCCGTCAGTCCAGCGATGACCTACAGGCCGGCTGCTTCTGCTACTGCAGGACCAGTTGTTAACCAGGCACTCAGGGCACTGAGAGCGTATAGACATGTGCGGGAGGGTGCCCGTGAAGACGGTGTTTCTTGGACGGCTCTGGGGGGTCGGAGCTTATTGCTGTTTACCGCGAAAGACAATAACAAGTTCGGACGAGTCGATCTTCCTCCTGGGAGCTTGGCTTGCGGCTGTGTACGGAGTAGAGTCCAGGCGGCGCCAGAGAAGGGGAGCCGCACCCGGACCAAATGCGCGCCCATGTGGCATTACCTGGAGGGACCCAGGCTGTTTGCCTCTAAGAATAGTCTTCCCTTTTTATTGTTTCCCTTTGGTGCTTGGCCCGGGTGGTTGCCCAGGGAGGTAGGTGGAATGTGCCTGCAACAATTGTTCCTGAAGATCATTCACTCTCTGGGATAACTTTGGGCATGCCGTCAAGGCCTCGACTGAGATTCGATCTGACTTGTCGACTGATCTGCCAGATCAGCAAAAGAGCATTCAACATTGTCTTCCCCTGGCAAAGGGGGCGAGGCGGCGCCCAATGCATTTGACGTGCACACGAATCTGGTGTTACCGCTGTCAAGCACGGGACAACGCTTTAATGAAGCGCGAATTGGCAGTTAATGCTGCCACGGCATCCATGGGTCCTGAAGCAATACAGCGCTGCTTTCACGAGAGCAGCCGTCTACCTTGACCAGAGAGAGTCAGATGCACCGGGCCTCTGGACGCGCACAAAGTCCACCTGCCCTCACGCATCAGCCACCACCGCCACAGCACCACTGTTGCGATCGCCAATTTTCCCACCAGAGCAGCTGCTTCCATCCTTAGGATCCCGCCCCGGACTCCTGAACATCACACCACGAGTCTTCAATGACTCAGCAGCCCTGATGGTCTAGCGGTATGATTCTCCCTTAGGGTACATCTTCGGATTCACCTGTCTGGGAGAGGTCCCAGGTTCGAATCCTGGTTAGGGCCCAATCTTTTGTATTTTTACTCTTCTGAGTCGACAGTTCCGTAGTTCGAGGCCACAAGCTGCTCCTGAGGAGCCGACAAGCGTTGCAGACGTGTCTGCGCAAAGAAAACGTGATATAGATGAGGTGAGTAAATCTTCTCGTTGCTACACTGGGGCCTTAAGTTTCAGTATACCACGGGCAATGGTGGAGAATTAAGTAGAACGATAGATTTCATGTTTGTTTCCAAAATCTAGTATAGGTGTGTAATTGAGAGGTCTTCCTTGTATCCGCAATGAATCTTGAAATATCATTAGACCTTATATGTCAAAGGATCTTGGGCTGAACGCCGTCTTACACTCGGTGATCATGGGGGCAAATTAGGCAAACTCTAGGCGCAGACAAGAACGCCGAGATGAATTTATGTCACGAAAAGAAACGAGATGCGCCATCAAGGTCAGTCCAGGGATGGAGGTGAGTCAATTCACAAGGTTTGTGGTGAAGGGTTTTCTTTGGTTGACCCAAGATCCGGAGAAAGCCTGCCGCGGTCCACACTCGATGTTAGAAGTAGTCGGTGATACCTCTCTGGATAGACTTAATGACACAGTTAGCAGAACAGCGGTCAGCTTTCCATCTTCTCTTTCTTATACCATCCAAGAAAGAAAAATCAAACACCACATTTCAGACACAGCCAACTGAAGACGACATACCACATCCATCCACAAGACCTACGACAACACCATCAAACATGAAATTCTCCGCAACAGCCGCCCTCGCCCTAGCCCTCTCCATCGCCAGCGTGCTGGGGCAAGAGGTGCAGGTCTTAAAGCAAGGTTCACCCACCTGCACGGGCAACTACTTCAAGATGATGAACCTCAACCGCAAGTGGATGATCCACGCCATGGTCCCCGACGTCGACGCGATCCCTGACATCTGTGGCGGTCTCTGGGACAACCTCAAGAAATTCCCGATATGCACCCCGAATATGGACGCCGGATGCGAGAACAAATGGGAGGGCATCATGACTTGGCGCTTCGCGACGTTGGGGGCTTGCAACGAAGGCATGGTCCATGCCGCGTGGTGGGAGGCCACGAGGAACAAGTTCGGCCCACTCAAGTGTACAAGCAAGAAGAGGATGTGAACCTGGAGAAAAGTGTCTTTCTTCACACGAAACGGGAATTTTCTCCATCATTTGCGAATACCTAGATGGAAACGGCTTGTAACGGTATCATCGCGGATATTCGTGTTGAAGAACGGTATGTGATGGTCGCGGTACAGAGATATAAGTCTGCTAAACATCTACTATCTTAGGAACCATATACATTCCTCCATTCCCCTCGACCATCGAGCCAATACCTACTTGCGTCAACGATAAGTGTGAAGAGGGGATTTTCGCTCTTGGAGAATGGGAGGATTAGAGAGGGCAGGATATCGATCAGCCTTGATCGGGCACCAGGCCACAAGTATTCTTTGGCTCAGGATCATACAGCTTCGTTAGTCTAAGCCGGTGTCAGAACCCGTTAATCAAAGGGCCCAGTAGTTTGACATTCAGAAATGAGTGATTTATTGAATCATACAGTAATTCTAGTCCAGCTGGTGAAATCAGTGACCTTCCCCATGTAAATGTTGTCCTTGACACCTGTGCCTTTGCATTTCATACTCCACACATATAAGTAAGCGGTCTCCAATCACCTATCTATCGGGATGGGGGATCAAAGATATCAGTATCGTCCTCATCAGGGCCGGAAATCCATAACTGATTCAGAGCATAGGTAGGGCGACGCAAATTGGAGGTGTCGTCTCTTGATATATCAGCCGCAGCAGCCGCAGCAGCTGCGGCTCTTCTGGCGTTATATACTTGCCCAAAGACAGAAGCACCCCCAGTCTGCGGGATCTGCTGTCGATTGGCCTCAGAACGAACACGGGGTGGCGGCGATCCATTGCTTTCGGAGGGTGGGTTAGATTCGTAGTTTGGGGGTTGAACTCTACCCGCTCTATCCTTGTACTCCATCATCATATCGCCTCTTACCTTGAGTGGTGTGTCCATGAGAGGTTCGAACCAGTCAGGCGTTGTGAGGGGGCCCTCCTCCTCATCTGGCATTGCTGTCTGAAGACTGCTCGGATGAGGCGTCACATCCCTACGGGACCAAGTCGATTCAGTAATATCTGCTGCACCAGTGAATCTCACTTCCTTGGTCTTTGTCAAATCTAGCGGGGCCGGTCGACGGCGGGAGAGCACCCCATCAGCAGCAGACGATCGTCCACGAACAGGGGACGGAGACGAATGCTGTCGAGGACTCGGGGTCGGCGTCGCAGAGGCAGAAATACTAGCCCGCGACCTCCAATTCTTACGCATCCGGTATCCCCTTTCCAAGCCAGCAAGCAAGCTCTCGCCGTTCGAAGGCCACGGCTGATGCTGGTCCTGCTTGTGAGAGAGCGGACAGCTCGCAACTCTACATGGGGAGAAGATGCAGGAGAGTCCCGCCTTTTCCATGTGCTTCTGCTCCTTTTTGGAGATGTGTTGGTACCGAGCGCGATCAATCATGCGGATGCCTGCTAGGCTTACGCCCTGCTGGTACACGTCCCCAGTCACGATGCGGGCTCTCGTTCCTCCAGGCGTCACGATGATGACGGTGAGGCTCTCGTCCCAGGTACCCGTATCGTTTTCGTTTCGAGAGACGTGAACGTTGTGGCCGTGGAAGGTGCTGACAAGCTCAGCCTTGCTGAGATATTCGACAAGGTCGTCCGTGAGGTCCTGTACGGCACCCCAGATCTCGGGTAGCCACCAGGGGTCTTCTTCGGGGTTGTTAACGACCCTCGCGCCCCAGGATGATACGATGCGGAGTTGCTTGGCGGACTTGGGGGTCTCCGGAAGGTTTTGGGTCTGATCGACCAGCATATTCAGGGGTGGTGGCTGTTGTTTGCTGTTCATAAGGTCTACCGAATTGGCCCACCGAAGGCATCGGCTGTCGTTCTGGTTTTCGTCCCGGCTGTCTACTTCGGTTGACTCACTAGCACATGAATACACACTTGATGAAGAGTGGAACTCATACTTGGATCTCGCCGGCGGGTCCAGAGTTGAGCGGTGGTTCAAGTGCGTCGTGGCAACTGACGTCTCAGACGATGCCTTGGACTGGGGCGAACCCGACTCGGCTGGGATCGAGAATCTAGGAAATGCGGTCATGGCCAAAAGAGGCAAGCTGTAAGACTTACGCCTGTTGTTTCGAACAAACGGACGTTGCTTACCGGGAGGAGGCGCACTCGAACGGCTTAAGAACTCTTCAGCGAAGCCGTGGGCCGAGTCTTCAAAATACTTGTGCGGTGACGGATAGAGAAACTCGTAAAAGTCCTTGGCCGCCTGCTCTGCCGACCAGCGGCAGTCTTCGCAGACGAACTCAGCAAGGCGTTGAACCCTCGTCAACTTGAGGGTGCCGCAGGAGCCTAGGATGGAAGGTGAGATGTTAGCCCAGTTGGTGCCGCTGGCGATGTTGACGGTGTTGGCGCAGAGTTGATTTACGTCTTCGAATCGGGTGAGTTGAAGACACACCTTGCATTGGGAGGTAGGCTGAAGGATAAGACACATGATGATTGGAAGTCTTGCAAGGATGATAGAGATGACAATCGCAATGTTCAGCTTTGTGCTGCAGCTTAGATGGTTAGATGATGCCTAGAGATAATAGTAAAGTAAACCGTGCTGGAAAGCTGGAGGTTGAAAATCGGATGGTAATAGTGATATTGAGAATTATTATGTTGATGAGATGGATTGGATTAGAGAGCTCTAGACTAAGGGCGAAATGAGTTGCATTTATACGTAAAAAAAATGATGTAGATCTTTGGAACTCGCTTCATTGTCTCCTTCTTATGCAGCACAAAGATCCTTGCAGTCGTTAACAATGTGTAGGTACTACATCTCCGAAGTCAAAGGGTGAAAGAATGTCAAAGAGAGACAGCTCATGTGGAATCAAAAGCCTTTGCTGTCTAACAATAAGACAAAAATGTCTTTGACACATATGTTCGGCTGCATTGGCATCGACATTGCCGGATTTCTCACTCGATCTTTCGTCTACTTTTAGACAGCAGATCACAAGACGATTGGGCAAATACTGGGATTAACGCGTAAGGCAGCAACTCATATCGGAACGATAGGTGCTTCAATGATCTCTGAATTGCATACTACCTAAGTATGATAGTGCTAGTCTTGTGGTATCGAACACCCTCTCCGATCCGCATCGAGACCAAGAAATGCCCTTGCCTTTAATGAATTACATCAGGGTACCCTTTCGCGTCGACGCAACACCTCTCTCATGCCACGGACTGCCTCAGTCGGTGTAAGTTACCAGTGCCCTGACAAGCGAAGCCATTGACATTCTCTGCAAACCTATTGAGGTTCATATCTTCAACCTTCTACTCCACCAGAAGCCATAATCTCGCATTGCCCAGCCAACTAACGGGTTTCTGCAAGAACGTTTCGTCGTGTCGCTTCCCTTTAGTAATTCGGGCAATCGAGCCCACCAGATCATATCGTGTAGGGGTTGAAGTCCTTCGGCGTCGACATCTGTTGTCGTACAATGTCCAAGACGCTCTCCCGGTTATCTTCCTCGCTGACCTCATCGAGGCAAAGGTCGACGACTGCCCGCGCCACGTTTAAGAAAGGCGTTTCCGGTTTTGGCGGACATTCGAAAGGCGTGCTTCGCCACCCACGTTTCTCGCACCTTCCGTAGCGACGATTCCACTCGGCGGTGCTGTGATGCTCTCGATCGGCCCCCCGGATCAGGTCGGACCAATTTGTGGCCGCCTTCCAACCCTGTTGATCTTGTGCGTCTTGAATATCCTGCGGCGCAATTCTCTTCACGTCATATTTGGCGCATAGTGCTGGCAGGTGTTTGGCGCTACAGTGGAGGTCCTCTATCAGGTCGTGATCTCTAAGGATCTGCCTGAGCTCCATGATGAGACCGCCATACAGCGCCTCCTCTTGCGTAAACTGTTCGAAGGCTCTCATTCCGTACCGCATATGGTTACAACAGATGCGCGCTTTCTCCAAGTCGCTGTCGTATATGGCTTCGATTGCTTCCGGGAGTTGGGTTTCGATCCAACTTGTGACGGCTGCGATTGCCGGAGGGACATCTTTGCCAGAGATTCTGTACTCTTTTCTGGTGTTCTCCCAAGCAATTAAGTCATTACGGAAATTAATGAGGTCGTTGGTCTGACGCTCAGTCATCGTCGCTCCAATAGTACTCAGGACCATGTTGAGTGACATGTTGGTAATTATGAGATGTGAGTGAGTACGGAAGAGATGTCTGTAGTTTGGGCTTTGATAGTTGCTTGTTGGTGGTATCTTATGGGAGGATGCTCGATTCAGCCAGACATAGATGGAGGTTTATTGAGACTTATATCAATGTCCAGACCTGTTGGAGATGGCTTTTGTCTTGTAGACGTCCGACCTGGCTAGGCTTAAGCAACCTGGACTGCCCAAGGTTCACGACAGACCCGGGAAATAGCAAGAACGAGCCATGGCATGACAACTTTGTGTGCGGAACATGGGAAGCCACACCATCAAGTGCCGCCCAACCCGAGCATACCTTAAATTAGCTCATCCAGCATGGCCCGTATCTTGAGGTGTTCTACACAGTAGCCCGCCTCTTTGGACTAAGGTTCATGGTACGGGTTAAGGCAAGCCAGCAAGGTGCCTATCTACCGCCACCTGAGGCACCGCATGTTTCTCAAGGTCAAGGCACAACTGCCATGATTCTCCGGTAGTCACTTCACTGGTATACTTCCAATCATAGCATCAAAAGAGTGACTGTATTCAGATCCTACTTGAGTGGTTGTATCTTGTATACTTGATCTCAAACCATGACAAAGTATCCAATCTCGTGTCATTTGATCTCAACCCAAACCTACCTGATCTGGAAAGCAGCGAGCGACTGTTATCCCAACCTTCGGATGAAAGAAAGTAGGCATCCTCCATATCAGACCGCCCCAACCTAGAGCTCGTTTTGCTTCTTGCGGGCGTCGATGATGGCAAGAGCCTCCTCAGCAGCCTTGACTCCAGAGAGAGCCATGGCACCGAAAGTTGGACCTAAAAAACCACCCAAAGATTTAGCAAAATGCAACACATTTCTCATCGAACCAAGTATATGAAAGGAGATGACTCACCCATGCGGTTGGCACCATCAACCTCACTCAACTCCATCCCGCCCACAATCAACCCCGGCACAATCTCCCTCGTCCCTTTGACAATCGCGTCCTCGGCACTCTGCATATCCAGCCCGCGCATGCCGCCAAGCTGCTCAATCTGCTTCATGCTCACAAGCCTCTTGACGCAGAACGCACCGAACGGGCCGTCGTGGCCGGTGGTCGACACCACGAGCGGCGCGTTGATGGTGTTGGGGTCCATGCAGGACTGGTCGTCGTGGTGCATCGAGACAAGCGTCCAGTTGGTGACGACACCCGCAACCCGCAGACTGCCATCTTCGTTCTTGCGGGTAATCAGATCCTCAACCGTGGTGGCGTTGAACAGCTTCACGTTGGAAAACTGGAGCACCTTGCTCATGACGGTAGACGTGAACAGGGCAGCGTGCTTGACCACAACAAAGTCACCTTCATCCTCGTACGGAACACCGATCTCGTCCAGAAAGACTTCAGCGGGCTTGCGCATCACCATCGCGGAGAACAGCTGCCCTCCAAGCCACGCACCACCACCGGGTGCGACGCCGGCCTCGACGATGGCGATCTTGAGGTCCGGGCGGGTTTTGGCGAGGACGTAGGCCGTGGACAGACCGCAGGACCCGGCGCCGACGATGACGACGTCGGATTCGGCGTAGGTGTCGAGGTCGGAGAAGTAGCGGCGCGTCATGGCGCGCGAGACCTGGGACTCGCGGATGGGAGCGAACTTGAAGGAATCCCATTTGCCAAACATGTCCTCCACCTTGGTAGAAGGGTTGGCAGCGGCAGTAGGGACGGGAGTAGAGGGCTTGGACTTGTTGGCCATCACGGGGACGGCGTAGTCGCGGACGGGAGAGATTGCAGCGGGAGGAGCCATCTTGTCGTTATTGTCGTTGGATTCGAAAGAACTTCTCGAGTTTGTTGTTCTTGGTGTGATCTGCTCGTGTTAGGGTGCATGATCCTTTCGCTGGTATTATCCAGATCAAGTTCAAGGCCGTATATTCTCAGCCACACCGTCGGCATCGGTCGCTAGCTCATCATGGGAAAGGGTGATGGCAGCGGCGTCTGCGCTCGGGTGGGCACCGGCTCATGCATTTGCGCTCAAGAGTGTTCACATACTCGTGAAAGTATTGGTATGGCGAAGTGCCTCCTGTGAGGGTGTCAGTCTGTATGCGTCCGGTCACACGGAATTGGGCCTACTGTTTGTGTGTGCGTATTGAAGCTGGTCGATGAAATTTGGTAACAACAGTAAGAAGGATCAAAAAGAGGAGGATAATCGAGACATGGGCATATTATATAGACAATTGATAAGGAACTGCAGAGCACAAACTTTGGACTATCGCCTGCGGGGTAACAGACATCATACATGCGCAATCCTGAGCTCTTTTCCCCCTCCAGTCTTGCGTCCGCTTGCTCGGCATGCGTCTCTAGGTGTAGGGGCGGGATCGACCAATGTTCCCAACAGGATTCATGCAGTAAACGGACCAGGCCCTAGATGTACCTCGCGTCTCGCCTCGACAATTACCGCGAGTACAGTTTCTTGGTACACTTTCACTCTCTACACTCCTACGTCCTACCTATGAGAAGTGAAGTAATGGGCAGCAGGTGGGGTTCCACGGGGTCCTGAACTATGTGTCGTTAAACCCCACCGGCGGAGTCGTTCCCGAAAGCCGATGACACCCGCCTCCGGGATCGGTTCCTTACCCCTCCCTCCCATCCGAGAATTTCATCCCCTCCCGTGCCGTTAACTCTCGCCGACCGATTCAAATATCGCCAAGGAATTCGGCCGCGAGGGACACGGTTGACCGTATTTGAGGCCAGTACCCTAAAGCCACAGTTGTGTAACGCTGGTCTACATTCACAGCAGTATCAAGAAGAAATCATCAGGCAAAAACCAAGGTTTTCAAGCACCGCCCGCCGAGCCCGGACGAAACCTCCCGCCTGCATGCCGTCACCCCACACCTCCTAGCGAGCCCAGTCCAACGGCAAGACACGGGCGGGCGGGGCGGGCGTTCCTTACTTCACGCGGAGTTGCTGTTAGAGGCATTGGCGCGCCCGCGTACCTTACACCTCAAGGTAATGGCAAACGTAAAAGGTACTCTGTACAGAGCGTGCGGAAATTCGCGCACCAAGAAATATAGCACTGGTGCGTAGTAACGTGATGAAAGGAACATGTGAAAGAAACTTGCTCAAATGGGCCGTCTCTGAGTGGTTGCTGAGCTTAACCGCCGATGTAGGATTGGTTCTCACACCAGACAGCGAGTCCTTCCTTGGGTCAGGCATGTTGAATAGGTGGTGTACCTGCGATTAACATGGAGATGTACGTGCTTAGCAGGCACCATGTTACTACCGTTAACGAGAGACACCTGCGTACACCAGTGTAGGGCATTGAAGTGATGACAGTCAGTTAAACAATAATATTTAGTATATGGTTTGTCTTGGCTTGATAGCTAGAGCAGAGCAGGCTTGACATGCTTTGTGTTGATGAGTGTGCGACCGCCTCGTCCGTCATGCGTCCTCATCGATCACCGATGAGACACTGGCCCAAACGTAGCTGGGTAGAAAACGGTCGGTACGGTCAGACCGGTACCCCGGCCAGGTTGTGATAACAAATATCGCGACTTTTCGCAGCTTGAGGGCAGTGTCGCCATCTCTTAGGCCACAAATATAGGCCACACCCGACATGTCGTCGTGGTCATGAAATGTTCCCCAAGCCTGGTCTCGTCTCGAGACAAGAATATGTTTTCTTTTCTTCCGCTGGAGAACCTGTCAGGCACCTGGCAATTTGGGAACCTGAAGACCCTTGCTGTAATGCCATCGATGGAAAGTGCGCGAGGTGCCTAGTTCCGACGATAGACGCGATGACATTTGCCATCATCAGCTTGCCTTTTGCGCCAATGCCGGAATGCTCATATACCCGCTGCTACCACCGCCACACCCTCTATCCTGTCCAACATACTCCTCTCCGGTCGACAGCAAGACAATCCCGCCTCTTCGACCCCCAACGTCGTCGCTCCTGGCAATGGACGGACTACTCGCCCACCCCACGCTACCCTCGGAATCCTCGCCAGTGGTATCAGACTGGCTATCCTCCGACTGTAGCACATCCCAGAACCGGCGGGCGGGTGTATCACCCTGCTTGCTGAGCTCCGCTATCGCGCTGGCGTGCCCGCGATCGTACCAGGGCATCAGGTACCATCGCCGCGGCGCGAGGAACATGACTTCGATCCAGAGGACAAAAATCATGAGCGCCACGGGTTCCTTCAGCCTCAGAAGCGAGAGGTATTGCTCCGACACCAGCGACGGCCAGATGATGAAGTGCTTCCATATCCTCGGCCGTCCAGGGAGAGACATAATCCAGGACTTGAGTGCGCCGAGGGCACCGAGGTATATCTTGATGTCTTCGACTTGTATCCCCGTCGATTCGGGGCCTAGGCATAGAAACTCAACGAACTTGGCTTTCTTCTGTATAGTTGGTCGTAGCAGTATGTCGCTGCTTTCGCGCCATACTTTTACATCGACTTGTGCTAGCTTGTCCCGTATAGGACTCTTGAAGACGTGCGGCGTGACCGTGTCTGAGAATCTGGCCGCTACTCGCATTACTGTGAGAGCTTTGCAAGGCTCAAACGTGCTGACCTGACCCATCACCTTTTCGTCGGCAAACGGTCGGTAGTACCCAAAGATACCGTTGCACATGGAAAACACAAAGGTGGCCAGCCAGTTCTCCTCCGTGACCTGAGGAACAGCGAGCCGGAAATAGTTGCTCGCCTGTATAGCGTGTTGGCAGGCCATTGAATAGTATCGCTTTGCGTTTGGCGGTTCGAGGGAGCATAGGTGTAGAGCCGCAATAGAGAGCATGCTCTGGTGGATGAAGACGTTACGTGACGCCAGCTGGGGCACCCACCGCGACCACACGTCGCACTTCCGAGGGTCGGTCTGTAATGAAAAGGTAAACCAGGCCTCGTTCAGGAAGTGGTGTTTAAGCTCGGCCTCGTCGGCGCGAAGCTTCTCGGCAGGTAATGAAGCGCTGAGAGCATCACGAGAAGATGCGTGTGCCGCGACCGTGGCTGCACGGCGCACCATACTCAGGGTATCGCTAGCCTTCTCTCCATTTTCGCGGTTGAGGGCGTCGGCGAGCAGCCCGAGATAGCTGCAGTGTTCTTGGCGACGGCGACAGTTGGCGCATACGGGACCGACGCAGTCGCACTAGAACCCATGCCAAGTCAGCAAAAGAACAGCTCCCGCGATATAGCAGTGTAGTATTGGGTAACCTAGACGGCGATCATGTCTTGCTCGGCTACCCAACATCGTGACTGGCTGAAGGAAGAACCCAATAAACCGGGACTCCGACATGCACGTCACCAGCCTGTCCCGATATTGGCGGGCCACGTCTTGCCCATATTTACCCGCCTCTTCGCAGATAGGATCATTTCGTACCTTGACACGACGCTTCTTGCACTGTCGGCACCCGTTCTTCGTCTTTCCGTGATACTGCCTTGAGCCCTTCGGCATTCTATCGGTACACAAGCTCGTTTGCAGACGTTCTGCCCTTTGCAACTCTTCTTGTTCGGATCGGACGCTGGGGAATTTTGTCCCGGTGAATAGGCGGGCGGAGGAGGTGGCGCGGGAGATCAACCCTCGACGGGCTGACTACTTGTTTTTAAAACAATCCGTTTAGTTCGATATACGAAACGTCAGAACTTGGGGAGATGCTTGACCTTGTCAGGGATGCATGGCTGTCCTGACGCAAACTCAACTCCAACGCCGCACGTCCCCCGCTGTGACAACGGGGTGACAGAAACCCGAGTAGCGATGCGTGAGAGGCTGGAGCTGACCGAACAGCGGGCAGTGTAAGCATCAGAAGGCTGTTGCTATGCAGGGATCCGATACTGACATGCGGTTTGCCGCACTGAATTGGCAATCCGTTCGCCCCAGGTGGGAAAAGACAGCTGCCAGTGCGAGGTTTCTTGGACTTCACGATAGTGCGTAGTCAGCTCGGTGCGATGACTCTTGCTCAGCACTACCGCATATTTGCTCTGTATTCACGTGCCATAGCACCTCGACAATTTTGAAAGGTTGGTCGGTTGGTTCTTGAGCCGAGTTCCAAGGTTCTAGGGTCCTTGGGCAACCAGGCTGCAGAGAAGACGTAGAAAGGCGAAGCTACACTTGTCTCGAGAGCCCATAGGGATATCTCTTGGAAGATAATCTCATGTTGTGGCGGGGGGAGACATCCGCTTCTACTCAGAGACGAACATTCCTCGAATTGACGTTGGCCGTTGTGAACAACGGAGCTTAATCCACGCCTGCTTCTTGAGGATCGATCGTCATAGACGAGGTTGACAGTGCCATCTAGGTTTGAAACAAATCCAAAGACGTTTCGCACTATAGTCATAAGCTAAGATGGTATGCATTGACGTGAAATGTAGCACTTGGGTACCCCGTTGGCTTTGCAACGCTGATACCGCGGCCATACATTGGCTGGATCTGAGCTGGCTGGTGCGTTGAAGGCAAAGTTACAGGTGTAGCCTTGGACTCTCGCGCGTTGCGTTTGGATGCATCCACCCGCCATAGTAGCCAATTGACGGGCTAGGAAACATCCCGGCCGTTTGCCTGGGATATACCTTACGGACCATACTTGCTGTAGCTGGGATGGCCGTAAGGCGTTGGTGTTGCGTGATCTCGAACAAGAGAAAGTTCTCAATGACAAATGTGCGCGCTTCAAAGCCGCCTATATAAAGTAGCCGGCTCATCATTGGCGTAAAGCATGGGTAAAGGATTGCTAGGGGTTCGGATGGCGTTTGGGATAGCTCGATCTGGATGTCGTATGCTGTCAGTGATATCAAACTGGCGTGAAATGAGCAGGTCAGACAATGACTGGAATGTAGGCCCACAGGGGCGCAAACAGTTCGGCAGAAAACTCACCTCAAGGCACCATGCGTCGATCACAGACCCAAGCCTAGGTCGTGTCAAAGAGGGAGGGAGCTGTCACGGTTGAGCGTAGACGTAGATCATCGCCTGTCACCATCAGAATAGGCTAGACTGGAGAATTCCGTCGCTAGGGCCTTTCTTTTCAGCCGCATGTCTTCTGCTTTCAGGCGGAAGACTTTCCTCGTCGATTGCTGTAGAATCAGGCACTGATTGGAACCTCGTCACGCCAGTGCAGAAGTTTGCCATCCTAGGTAGCTGATGCGATCAAGTGTCTGCTGACAGCGTGACATACGAAGATCCATAAGCTGGTGGGGTTCGAGATATCAAGAGGGACAAATGGATGGAAAAATGATCGTTCATCGGTCAAAGCATAAAGAAACACTTCTTGCATAACGCAGCCCATCTTTCATAGCTTTCCTCGAGATCCAACACGATATCAGCTCTCATTCGGTGGCTGGAATAAGAAACTTCACTGGCGATGTGATAGGCGAGTAGGACCCTTGTCTTGAGGGCGTTCTCGTGCTGATTGCATATGGCCGGTGTGTGTAACGAAGGTCCAACAGCCTTGGCAACAGGAGAGGAGGGTAGAATGTTGGGTCATATAATGGGGCTGCGCGCCCTGATCAAAGCCTCCTAGTAGTTCTCTAGTCATATCTTCGATATTGCGCGTTGTGCTGCTCTCATTGATCTTGGCGAAGATGGCAGACCTCAGCGCTCAACGTATGGAGTCGGCCGGTGGGGGGTATTCGATGACTGTGGCCGCAGCGACAATGCTGCTGGTACCGCTGGTGTTCATGCTGAAGAAACTTCTCTTTCCGAACTTTGATCCTCGTGAGCCTCCGGTGCTCCGTCCAAGACTGCCAGTGTTCGGCCACATCATCTCTCTCGTCAGAGAATCGGGCAGCTTTCATGCCAGATTATAGTACGTATTCGGTCGTCTAAACAAGCGCGCACTCTTGCTGACTGGAGCGCGAAGCAAGGAGAAAAGAATGCTGATCTGCACACTGCCGATGTTGCATGGCAAGATGTATGTGGCAAACTCGCCCTCTCTGATCGCAGCGGCTATGCGCCACGGAGACATCTCCTCGATGCCTTTCCAGATAGAGGCCTCGTCAGCCGTGCTGGATCTTCCGAAGCATCACATAGACACTATTATGCAGCCAGCAATCTTGCACCACCTCGAGCAAACGATGGCGGCAAATCTACGTCAGGACGCGCTGTACAAGATGACTCGTGCTTCTCTAAAATACTTGGCGGGGGTGTTGAACACAATTAATCCCATAAGCCCACTCGAAGAGTCTGATGGATTTGAATGGATCAAGGGCGTCTTGACCATGGCCACTGCGACTGCCCTGTACGGAAAAGACAATATGTGGACCGCCGAGATGCTTGACGACCTTTGGTGCGAAGAGCATGCACCCTGAGTGGTATGGCATTCGCTAACGTCAAGCAGGACATTTGAGAAAGGTGTAGCGCTGTTGGCGATGAAGGTTGCACCGAATCTCGTTGCACCTAAAGCTATCGCTGCCCGACAGAAGATGAGTGACCTCATCCGACCTTTCTACCAGGCACGAAAGGATGAGAACTCAGATGTGGCGAAGATTCTTCAAGACCGAGCTAGGTATCTACGCGAGCTGGGGATGCCATCTGAAGACCTCTCTCAGACTGAGTTTATGATTTTCGTTGCTGCGACGTTGAACACGGCATCGAGTCTGTTCTGGACATTTGCCGAAGTTTTCTCTAGGCCAGAGTACATTGAGCGTATCCGGCAGGAAGTTCTGCGGGTGGTCGTGGAAACCAAGAACGAGACGGGACGAAATGTGACAATTAACGCCAAAACCCTGGAAGCAGACTGTCCTTTTCTAGGCGCTTGCTTCCGCGAGGTTTTGAGGCTCCACAGTGCGCAAGTAGGATATCGACGTGTTATGAAAGATACGACACTGGAAGATACGGATGGCCGTCGATATCTGTTGAAGGAGGGCACCAATATGCAGTGGTCAGCCAGCGTCACGCATTTCATGCCGGAGATTTGGGGCGATGATGCCGCCTCTTTCAAACCGGAGCGGTTCCTTGACGTTGATCCCTGGGATGAGAAACGGAGACGTGGGGCATTGATCCCGTTCGGCGGCGGCCGGTATCTGTGCCCCGGCCGTCACTTTGCCCGAACGGAGACCCTCGGGTTTGTTAGCGCGTTGGCTCTTGGTTTCGACGTGGACGGCGTTAAGGTTCCTGCGGCGGAAGCTCCGCCTCTAGGTGGAGCTACGAGGCGACCTGCGGGTAATCGAGCGGTCGGAAATATCAGAGTTTCGCGGCGAGAGGGTTGGGAAGACGTGACGTGGAGATTCATATGTTAGGTCGTTCATTAGAACCTACAGCTTCTCTGCTCAAGATCTGTCCCGTCTGGCGTGGAGATATAGTTCGAAGCATGTCAAATTGGTGAAATGTGGTGACATTGGCCTTATCCCATGTCGACGAAGCAGGATCTTAGCAGAGGTGCTTGGAGGGTTGAAGGTTGCGAATGCAGACCACTTAGTGCCTTTACCTGGGTAAACCAAGCGGAAGCAACCGATGCGAAGTAGTCCCGCCGTATGATTGGTGATATCGTTCAGCAGCGACATACAATGGCGGAAGTGGTTGCAGCCGGCAGGTGGCCCCCCTGTCAATTCCGGCGTCATGCGTTGAGTTGTCAGTCTGCAGGTTGAAGAGTCTCTGATACCGCAATTGGCAGAAAGCGGGAGGATACGGTGTTGCGTGACGAACCAGATGGAGTGTCGTGCCGCACATAAGACGAGGGGACTCCAGCCATACACGGCCGACGGAACAGCGGGCGATAGTCGACGTGGTCGATCTTATGGGATGATTCGGCGAACCGCTATCAGCCAGGCACCTTTTGGCCTCCCGAGTTGGTGATGTGATGCAAGGATGAGATATGGGGGCGGGAGCGATAGCGAATGGCGTATTGAGTAAGACGTCGATGGGCGAGTGACTGACGGAGGGTGAGAGACACGCTGACAATGTGCAATTGCAAATCCGGTGTCGACTATCGTAACGTTTGACCGCAAGGTAGCCGGACATCCCATCCTTTCCATAATTGTAGTTTGGCGTTGGCCCAGGGCCTCCAAGCACGTTGGCTTGTCTTGCTTGCTCTCAAGGGTCTAGATGAAGTTGTGGATAGAGTACTCGGGGTCTATGCATTCATGGCGGGTAGGCGTCGGGATGAGCCATCGGTGAAGGGCGTTGGGCGAAGCTATGGTCGTCTTTGCCTCTTCACCGCCCTCTGGCGTCCGGGAGGGAAGGGGGGGGTCTGTTCAAATCCCCTGCATCTTTGTTGCGGTCAGGGTTTGCAAGATGTTGACCTACTTTTCTTGGGTTGTTCTTTTGCAAGGAGCGCGGATAGCTGCCAGTGGGCCCTGTGGGATCTCGCGAAAAAATGCAGTGATCTTTTTTTTCCTGTCTTCAGCTCTCGCCGGACTTTGTTGCCCCGAGCAGTGGGATATGCCTGATGTCCGACGAATACGCACAGGAAGAAGACAAACTGCCGCGGTTCGAGCAAAGACACGCCGATTGTCGGCAGAAGTAGATTGCCAGAGTGGAGTTGATCGAGAAGCTTTCAGCAACTTTTTTTTTTTTTTTTTTTTTTTTTTTGGAATGGTCAATGGATGAGGTAATATGGTCAGGTCGCAAAAAAGAGCTTTCCTCGAATTTGTCTTCGGCGCACTCGCGGAAAGTGCGTGCCTTGGGCGGGTCGCTGTCGCAGGGCAGGCACGGGATCTTGGGAGCAAGTTTGGGGAAGGAGCTGTTTGTGGGGACCTTCCAATGGAAGGAGAAGGGTGACGGAAAGAGCTGCCACGGCCCACGCCGTTCCTTCTGTTTTGCTGTGCTTGCCCAAGCTTCCTCACAGGATACACCTGCAATTTCGAGACGAGGAAGGCGCAGTCTTGCGCGGCAATTCACACTCTCAACCTCTTCCTCGGCTTTTTGCATTCGAGATAATAATACCCCGTACACAATGTAGCCTCTTCTCTTCTTGGTGCATCTCTGCTGGAAGCAATACACCGAATACAATGGCAGTCAAAGACAAGTCATGAGTCTTTAGGTACTTTATTATGATGGCAACCAGTCGTCGTGTTGACGCACCTGCTTCATCGACCTTGCCTGCCCCCGCTTTCCTTCTCAGCCCAACACCAAGGCCCAGCGGTGATCCATGGACGGGGAAGGAGAGGCCGGGTGGTTGGGGGGACCTGAACCCTGCTTGACGGAAGGAGCCCCTAACCACCCTAACGCGCCCGACCTGATCGTGTCAACTTTCCTTCCCTCAATGCCTCTGCACACCTTACGTAACTTCCTTTCTCAGTTCTCTCAAGAACAGAAGAACCTAGGTAGGGCTCCTTGAAGCGTTGGAGTGCTCGAGTGACGGGAGTGACATGACCTCTCATCCCAGGGAAGTTACAGTTGGCGCTGACTGTGCACCAACACCATCGTCCCGTCGTCGGTACCAGGTGGGCCCCTTCAAGTTTCTCCTCATTCCCCTGGGAAAAGCGAAAAAAGCTTCTGGTTTCCAAGATTGTCGGGCCAGGTCCGGGTCCATGCGACACTCAGCGCCGCCCGTCCTGCCGCTGCTGCGCTCCTGCACCTCGAAGCTCTTCATGGCAGTGGGCGGGTCCTTCCCAGCTTTCCCAGGCCCCAGGCACAGGGAAAAAAAAAAAACACAAAACTGGGTGATCCGGTCATTTGATGCGTCATCATTGGCTGGGGGCTGACCTGGGGGAAGCAATGGAATGGGGGTCCAGGGTGGCTCCCAGGAGGGGAAAGGCGGCGGGCGGCGGGCGATACGTACCGGCAGCTTCCCCGTCTTCCATCCTCTCGTCAGTCTGTCACTCAGTTGACGCCCGGAAGTCTGTCATTGTCACACGTATTGGGTTTTTTTTTTTTTTTTTTTTGGCTGCTGGAAGCATTTGGGTGAATTGCGTCGGTCTCTCTAGTTTTTTTTTTTTTTTGAGTAGTATGGCCTGTCTATCGATTTTGAGTAAAGTTGTCCACAGAAAATATGAGTTCATATGAAGTAGTCACATCCCACATAGGAACAGCCCCAACAGCTCCGTCTTACAGATAGAACGTAAGGCACCTAATCTTCTTCAGCAAAGTGATACGAAACATTCTTGAGCATCTCAGGATTTCCACTAGCTATAGCGTCGGCCATTGAATGTTTTGTTAACATTAGGTGTACCTGGATGAGATAGGATATCATAACTTGCCGGATGAACTTTGTCAAACCATCATATTGCGTGACTGCTTACATCTGCCGTCAGCAACGGTCGCCATCTGGGTCGTGTTCACGGCCACAGCATCAACGCAACACCCTCTCGAGTCTCAGATGAAAGAGTCGAGGTGACAAGAGATAGACACGCAGACACGGCGCGCAACACCCAAGACACGACGCAAGGCACGCCACCTTAATTACCCCAACCTTTGCCTCCATTCCCCTTGCTGCGGGTGAGTATGCCATACCTTACCGATACCTGACTCTCTCCATCATAATTGTACTTTTAGGATGCATGAGCATGGTCGTGTACGTAGCATCACGCCAAAAAGTTACCTTTAACCTCAGCCAGAAACAACAGGAAGACACAGCCCTTCCCGCACTCTCGCGCGCGACTCGCCCTGGAGAGCCCCGCGCCTATTGGGGCCATATTTTGCCCACCGCCAGTTTTCCTGAGGTATTTGGAAGTTGGGGCATCCCGCATGCAACTCTCTGCATTGTGCATTCTGCATCTGTTTGGTGGCTTGCCTTGCTTTCCCCTCCCTCCCTCTCTTACGATTCGAGCACGGCAGACAAACCCACTCGTTCCTTGCCTGCCCGAAGACTACCTACTCAACTAGAGACTAGAGTGATGATGCGACAGCCCCATTTGTAAGAAATGCTTTGCAGAGCTGCCATGCGTCCCTCGTTTCTGGCATGCGGCGATGCGCTGTCGACTGTCAACGTTCTCTTCTTCCCCGCCCTCGTTCCTGTTCCCGTGTTCCTCGATCAGATGCTTTGACCTTTGACGGCAGTACTATTGCCAACGGACAGTCGCACTAAGACTCTGCGGACCGTCTCTTCCTGCATAAGCTTACCTGACCTTACCTTGCCATAGTGTGCCATGGACCGGATAGGGCCCCTTGGATCGTCCATGTCCCCTTGCGCATCTTCGTCCCCCCCTCGTTTCCCCCCATCGTCTCCTTGCTGCTCTCCAGCTCCTCCACGCCTTGCGTGCCGTTCGGTCCTGTCTAGGAGCTTCTGCGTTCGTCGTGAGGCGTAAAATACCTTGTCAGCCTGGGTTCCCTGCAGCTTCGACAGGAAGGAACGGTTCAGGAAGGAACATACATCTGAATACGTACCTACTCAGATCCTTCTTTCCTGAGGTGCTTCATTTCTGCTTTCTTGGCTCTTTCCTTCCATCCGAATCAACACGAGGAAAGTTCGTAGCCGATTACTTACCTAGTCAACCGCATCGTCACGTGAAGCCATCACCACATTTCCTCGAGTCTGGCGCGGTAAAAGCCTACCTTCCCTTTCGAATCGACTTGAGCATCCACGAACAAAGCAACCTCACCAACTCATCACGCCAAATCTGTCAATCGACAAAGGAGCCCACCGGCTTGCGGCAGGGAAAACAACATCCATACGTACTTCGTTCCCCGGGCGCGGCGCATCGACATCATCGTTTCCCATCAACGGGGGGCCACCTGTCTCACTAGCGCGAACGAACCTCCCCCGGCATCCCTGTCGCGTTCCGGCTGATTTGCGCCCATTTGCCAGCGGCGGCCCCAAGGTCACCAGCTCACGGTCCCAAGTCCCCCAAGTCCCCCAACCTGAGGTACGGATAAGTCTACAAGCAGCAACAGGTCGAATTGTCGAACTCGACTTTTGGACCTAGCCGCGTCTCCAGCTTGACCTCTCACCACCACCTGCAGACTGCAGTGATCAAGGGTGGACCACCCTGTCACCTTGACCTTGACCTTGACCTCTCTCTTGAGTCTTTCCCCCCATCCCCGAAAGAGACAAGACAAGACACCACCATCTCCTCAACCCACCCACACCAACAAGAACCGGGACCCTGTCGCCAGTCCACCATCACCTCCACCTGGACCTTCACACCCCCTGGCCCCCGAGGTACTGCAAAAAAAGAGGCGAGGGCCAAGGAAAAGAAAGAGAAGGAAAAAAAACGAGAGTGAGCACAGGCACAAGCTGTTCAATGCCAGCAGCCGGCCAGCCCAGCTCCACCGAAACAGGATCCGACCAGGGGAATCCAAAATAATTCTGCGTCCGTGTAACACAACAGTGTGTCGCGATCTTCCTCTGCTCCTCGACCCTTCCCTCCTACTTCCCTACCTTGCTTCACACACCTCACCTCACCTCACCTTACCTCTCACCCTCAACCTTACCCTCCTACAACACCACGCTCTCGGTTCTTCAACCGCCGCCCTGCCGAGTCGTCACCACCGCGACCATAACCGAACGATACCTTTTTGCCTATCGAGCGATCCTCTCCCGCACCCGCGCACGAGTCTGCTTTTGCGATAGCATCCACTACACCCTAGTCACCGTCGCGCTGACGCACCCTCCGATACCTATGTGCAATCCACCCTGTGGGCTTTGAGCTAAAAACTCGGCGCGATGGATCCAAGACAGCCGCCACAGCTGCCCTTCTCGCGCAACGCTGCTTCGCAGTACAGCCGCTCACCTTTTCCTCCATCGTCGAACACAACCGCGACATCAACACCGAACCAGTCGCCGTTTCCACCCGTCTCCCATCCGCCTGCGAATAATCCTCCATATGCCGAGCACCAGCGACGCTCCTCAGAAAATCCATACTACTCATCGGGCCCGAGATCGTTCCCGCAAGAGCCCAACTCGGGTCCTCCTCCACCTTCGGGCCACTCTCGACACCCGAGTGCATCCTCATTACCTGGTGGCCCGCCGATGAATCGTAATATGCCTCCTCCGGGCTCTCCTCCCCAGCCCGGGAATCCACCTCCTCCGGGATCGCATCAGATGGGGCACTATGGCTTGCCTGTGCCAAGAGCTCCGCCTTTGAATGTTGGTCATCCAACTTCATTCCCAGGGGGCCGCGAGCTACCTTCGCTACACTCAATACAAAGAACGGGGAGCACCGGCAGTTCAATGTCAATATCCTCCATGTTGGGTGGCCCTCCCGCAGCGCAAAGAGACTCGCAGCCGCCGCCTTCGCATTTTCCTGCCCCAGCGACCTCGGCGCCTTCGGGACCGACGTTCGCGCCGACGATGCAGGCTTCCCCGAGAATGCACTCTGCATCTTCCGACTACCAGCCTTTCAGAAGACCTCAGACACCAGACCATCAGCGCCCGTATGATCCGAGAGGTAGTGCTGCTGCATCACCACAGGGTGCGTATTCGACCACGCCCGAGATGCAGCGGTACGGTACACCCCAGCAGGGCTACCACCAGCGCGGCCCTTCAGCTCAAGATGGTAGAGAATCGAGCCGAATGCCCCAAGGCCCTCCGCCGAGGCCTACGAGCCAGCCAAAGTCGTTCCAGAACATGCCGCCGAGGCCTGCTGACATGGGTCGAAACAACGGACCGGAAGAGATGTATCCGAGGCGGGAGGAGATATCTAGAGGCTCAATGGAGTACAATCCTGAAAGACCCGGTCTGAAGCCCATGACCTTTGATGACCGTTACCGCGCAGAAAGGGACCGTCGGGATGAGATCGAGTTCAGGGAAAGAGAGCAGGCGAGGGAAAGAGAACGCAGAGACAGAGCATATTCAGGAGGAGACAGTGGTCGAGGAGCTCTTGTACACCAGGGCGAATATCGGCCGCAGGAAGTTCAAAGAGGTCAGCCTCCGCCATTTACTCGGCCTCCGGAGCAGCAACGCGAACAAGGCCCTTGGCCACCAAGACAGCAGCCGCCTTTTGATCAGTCCAGGGTACCGTACGATCCCGCTGGACTACACCCAAGGCATCACGAATACCCTCCGACCTCTGCGCCTGGCTACCCACCTCAGGCTCAGGGCCATCCCGCCCCAGCTCCTCAATTCCAGCAGCAGCCGCCTCCCAACGATCGGTATCCCCTTCCCAACCATGCTCAACAGCCCCCTCCAGGCCAGCCTGGGCCACCAGGTCAGCCCGGTCAGCCTGGTCAGCCGCACCTGCAGCTGCAACAACCCCAACAGCAGCAGCAGCCTTTTGACTCTCCCGAGCGGCGGATAAACCACCTACATCCCCAAGCGCAACCGCCTCCATCGCATCGCCGTCCTGTCGAGGAAGGCCCGCCGCCTCCATCAGTCGCATACAGTACACCTCATGGCCCGCCAATGTACGATTCGCCTCGCAACCGACCTGCTGAAGAGCATCCGAACAATAACCAGAGAAATCTGTTGGCGGTCCAAGAGATTAATCGGAAAGGACGAGTGTCACCATTGCCCCAAGCTGTCCAAGGAGCGCAATCACGACAGCCAGGACCACCGGGACAACTCAGCATCAAGAGCGAGTTCGGTAAGATGTTCTCCGGAATAGGAAGCGGAGTCACCCTTACTGGCAGCCCTGTCAATACAGTAACTCCATCGCCATACACAAACGCGAGTCTTGCAAGACGCGACGAAACAGACGGCCCAGCGCACGAGTCTGGACCAGACACAACAGCGCCCAAACCCAAGGGCAGGCGAAGGAAGTTAAAAGAAGATGACACCAAGGGTGACGAGGAGAGCACGGGACGACTGACGCCTGTTGGTCGAGCAAAGCGCCCGAAGACTCATCAACACCACCACCATCAGTACGTCCCGGTTCCCTCTGGTCTTTCTACACCGACTAACGACGACAGCCATCATCACCATCACCACCATGGTCATCATGCTGTCGATCACGCCAATGCTCCCGCCCCTACTCCCAGTGGCGGCACGCCTTTCAAGAACGTCAAGGGAAGCACTCCCATCCCATCCCCGACAGGACTGGCGAAGGATTTGCCGGCTGCTCACCACCACCATGTTCCTCGACCGGCGCATCAGCATACACACGTCAAGGAGACGCCAGCCAAGCAGGCCGTGCAGAGCCCGACGAATGTTCTTCCTCCCAAGCCGAAGACGATTGTGACCTCAAAGGCTGTGGTCGAGTCGGTTGCACACTTGCCACGAACTCATCTGGGCGATGTGCTCTATGAACCCAAGCTCAGCCCCGCGAGACAATTGCCAAATGTTCCATCAGGCCGCGGATTCTCTTCGACCCCCATGCCACTTCCTTGGAATGTCATCAAGGACAAGGAGAACTGCACACTCACGGTGAAGGTACCCAAGGTGCACCTCACTTCGGCGGCGAGGGAAGAGATCACGGCTCGCAGAGCGTTATGGGGCACAGACGTGTACACAGACGACTCAGATGTCGTTGCTGCCTGCATTCACGGTGGATGGATTCGGGGTGAATGGGCTGACGATGTGGACGTGGGAATGTTGGACCTCGATCGCGGTATCAATGCTCCTGAAAAAGAAGTTCCGGCAACGAAAAGACGCAGCAAGGAAAAGGAAAAGGAGGAGAAGGCCCGACTAGAGGCCAACTCGGCCACATACCTCGACAAGCCGCCCAGGACGGGCCCTGTTACTGTGCCCGCCGATCGTGATATGCACGTCAGCCTTGTGGTTCTCCCGCGACTGGATAGATACGGTAGCACTACTCGCTTCGGTATTCAATCGCGAGAATTTGGCGGACGATACAATGGTCGACAGTCGGTCCATGACGGCATCAGCTACATGATTACGGGTATTCGCTGGGTCACGAATGGCGCCGGTACGCAGAACCGTCTCCGTGGCAAAGGCCGCCGGGAGCGAATGCGCAAGGCTATGGGAGAGATGCACGCGGCCAGCCGAGGCCTTAATGGGGCTGAGCTGGAGCGCGAGAAGCTTCGCCTGAGCAAGATTCGAGGGGAGATCGTCTCCGGCACCTGGTGGAAGAGGAACCAAGGTGCGCGCGCCCCTGGCGAGTACAAGGAAGAAAGAGCGCCGAGTGAAGGAGACAAGGAAAACAGAATCGACGGCGAGCGTCCTCAAAGTGCGGCTCCCAAGGCGAACGGGGTCACCACGAATGGCGCTCCGGCAGCCGATGACGACAAGATGGATATGGATGGTGCCGCCGCCAAGGTCTCTGACGTTCCGGTTGCTTAGGATATCTATCACGGCTTTATTTGGAGACGAGCGGCATATGAGCATTGGGCAGCGGATGACAAAGTTGGAGTAGTTTTGTAGGAGTAGCGCTGGTTATAATACCCAATACTTTTTGAATACTTGCAGTGGTTCGAGGTCTTGAGACGGTATCCTGATGTGATTACGGTGACTAGTTACTATACACTGATGTTACAATGCGAGAGGTCCTCTTCATTTAAACGTGTTGACTAACAGGGGATGTGCCGATGTCCTCTTGTGTCACTTTGCAAAGCGTAGGAAACGATCGTCTTTGTCCAGACCAAGTCGCTCTCCTCTTCCTCAGAAGCGCCTCGACTTCCTAGCACATCTATCCCACAAGAAAGATGAACTGATCGTTCTTCACGGGTATCTAGAAATCCGTCACGCGACCGTTGTAGCTCCAATCACCACCAGAGCCCCAACGAAGCGGCTCCCTCTTGGGCCCGCCGACCTCGCCGGTGCGCGGGTTGACGTCGCCCTCAAACTCTGCGGGGGCGCCGCGGACGTAGTTTGGATGCATTGTGTCTTCGTCCGTTGCTGCGATTGTGGGGGTCGCTGTTGCGGTCGCGGTAGTGGTAGGTTCGCTCGTGGATGCTGTTGTGGTAGCCTCGGCGCCGACTGGGGAGGAAGATGGGTCGGCAGAGGTAGATGAGGCGTCGGCGGGAGATTCAGGTTGCTCTTCGACGAGGTGTTGGAAGGCGCTTGAGACGGAGGCCTGGCGCTGGAGACGCTCGAATTCGGCTTGTTGGTCTGCTGGGAGGCGCGGTGGCGCGGGACCGCGGGAGAAGGCTGAGGTTGAGGAGAAGCGGGTTGGGATTGAGGTCTTTGAGAGGTTGAGGAGGGGGCGGAGGCGGAGGAGGCGAGACATTGTGGGTTGTGATGGTATGGGCTATTGTCGTTTGATTTGATTTTTTGTATTCTCGAAGTTGGGGTTGGTGGAGGTGAGGTGTAGAGTCGTTGTTGGTATCCGTAGTGGTGATGGTGGTGGTGGTGATGTGAAGAGTGCGGGTTTGGAGATGGACGATTTCGGAAAGACGGCGAAAATGCTCGGTAAGAAGAAAAATGTCACAATGTCATCGACGCAGGTTGGTCGGAGCGCAGCGCAGTGCAGTGCAGCGCGGGAGGCGGTTTTTTTTTGTTTTTTTTGGACCCTTGCTGGCAGCTGCACTCTTGGGTTCCCCAATGAGCGGCGCCACCCATGGCTTTGGGCTTCCGGTGGCGGAGGCGGATGGGGCCGAGGTTTGCCGTTGCGGAAGCTCAGCAGGTGCCTGGGTAGGGCCGGAGGTACCTTACTTTACCCGGGTGGATGACATAATAGGCTGCCCGTGGATGGGCTCTCAACTCTGTGAACTCGAAGTCTGAACCCTCATACCAACTTATGGCTTGATTCTACGAGGGCATCAGTAGCTCAAGAACCCAATTCATTTCCAGCTAGAGTTTTCTATCATTGTGACTACTGCCGCCAGTATTGTTAATTCGATATAGACAAATACCCCTCCTCTCACTAATTATCTCTCGAGGCATATTCCTTCTTTGCTACACATTGAGTACCGTTAAATAGGCAAGGACGTGGTGATAGTAATAAGTGACCGTGGCTTATTTTATTTCCATGGAACTTACCTGCCTTGCTTTTGGTACCTGCCTCAGGTTGACCCCGTAGGAAGGCCATACGTTGCTGGCCTTCCGTTTCCAAGCTCGAATTCTTATACACCTGTTCAAAAAAGGAAATCTCTTTGGTAGGCGCGACAGGTTTAAATACTAGATACGTGTCTGGCTGCTGGTCCTCCCTTCTGCGCCCGGGCACACGGATTAATCTCGTCAATCAGCCGGGCCAGCAGTCATATAAAAGAACTCGAGACTGGCGCCTAGCTCTAAAGCCCAAGAGAAGTATCTCATAAGGGGCGGGAGTCGAGAGACAACTGCAGGCTGCATATCTTGTCGAGGGACACACTAGACGAGGCGAGTAGCTCTTTCATCAGCCCTTCTCACAGGGTCTAGTTCGCCATTCGCAGCCCCTGCCTAATGTTGGCTTGTCCATCTTAAGGTAACTTACCTTCTCCATCACCTCTCGACGTGTATTGCATATAGAATACACTAAGAGATATGAGAGCTTACTTGGGACGAAGAGCCAAGGTAGTAGTAGATGTTTAAGTACCTGTTGGATGGCATGACCTGGAACCTCTCCATGGATCATCTCTTGGATCTTATGATCAAAGAGTCGTCTTCATCACAACATACGGGTCATGGTCAAGGAAAATTGAGAAGCGCCATTCTCCGCCTTTATATATAGAAACCCTCATTTCGAGGGGTTGATCTGTGGTTCGCAATAGAAACTTCTCATCTGCCGTCTACCTCCACTGCGACTCGGACAATATCAACGTTTCACGGCATCTTCCCTTTGCCCTCGGTAGCGACCGTATCATCGCTCCCAGACCACGACTTTCCAACTTCATGAACAGGCATTGAATCATTGATGGATATTCTTTGCCAAGGCCACCTGGGACCAAACTTCCAAGACGGCATTATGGGCAACCTTTCACATGACGGGCGGGCTGGCGCTTTCAGGGACACATAATTCTTGATAGAAGTGAAGACAGATAACAAGCGCTCCAATCATACTCCGCGCTCCCTCCCGACTCGCCGGGAGTCCCAAGCCCGACACGCGAGCTGATGAACTCCCCCCTGGTAAGCTTAAACTCACGACGGCAGCCCCAGAGAATTTGAGCTTTAACGTCCATCGACTCCAGAAACGCGACCCCATGGCGCGGAGTACAACAGTTCACATGCACATCCAAAATCAACTCTAAACGAGCACGTTTTCGTACGTTTGACTAGGAAGCTCACTTCGACATCATGTTCCTCAGAAGGCCGATACAGTCACTGCACGATCAGCTAGTCACCAAGGAAGAGACTCGCGTGCTCGCATTCACAATCTTCAGTACCAGTGGTGTCCATCGTGGGGTGTCCCCCGGACCCCCCGCTCCGGTAGGGGCAACGCCCGCTAATCCCACCAATCCCCCACCTCCTCCGATATTGCGGTCTCGAATCTTGGCAGAATGGCTGATTTCTCTTTCGCCGGACAGACCGTGGATGGCAGGTTAACGGTCCACTCTGAAGACAACGCCGAGTTTGACTGATTCCCTTGCCTCTTTTTCGAGAACTGCGTGCCTACAATGGGGCTTCTGAGGAGAATGAACCCGAAATTGGCAGGATGATTGCAGCCTGTGGCGTGTCTGATGGGCTCGCTTACACGGGGGACTTGACTGGCACCATACTATGCGATGGTGTCGGAAGATGACTTACACGGCGATGCCCTCCCCTTCCCTTTACGCCCCCATGATGAACGACCTTTGACAAGCGATATAAATCTCCCCATCCACTCCCTCTTTCATCACGTCCTCCCACCGGCTCACCCTCGAACCTCTTCCTTCACAGAACAAGGACTCCAAGTCCACCCCATCACGCCCAAGATGCGTCTCTTCTCAATCCTCACCACCTTCCTCACCCTCGCAGCGGCACCCCTCGTCTCCGCCTTCACAAACCCCATCCGCCGCCCCGGAGGCTCCGACCCCTTCCTAACCTACTCGGGCGACGGCTACTACTACCTCCTCTCCACGACCTGGTCCACCGTCGAAATCGCCCGCTCCACCACGATCGAAGGGCTCAAGACCGCCACTAAAAAGGTCGTCTACTCCTCCGCCGACGCCTCGCGATGCTGCAACGTCTGGGCGCCCGAGGTCCACTGGCTGGGGAACCGGTGGTACATCTACTTCACGGCGGGCGGGAGCGCGAATTTGGATAATCAGAGGATGCATGTTCTGAGGGGTACGTCTTACATCACACACACACTCACCCACTCCTCTCCCTTCTCGTTACTAGTTTGGCAGGATATCATGAGAGAGAGCTTCGTCACTAACATACAACAGGCGGCACGACCCCCTGGGACGCCTACACCTACGTAGGCCGCATCGGCCCCGACGAATGGGCCATCGACGCCTCCGTCCTCCGCACCCCCTCCCTCGGCGAATACCTCGTCTTCTCCTGCTTCCACGGCGCAACCTACCAATCCATCTGCATCCAAAAGCTCAACACGGACTACGTCTCCACCTCGGGCTCCGTCTCCCTCATCTCCCAGCCCACGCAATCCTGGGAACGCGTCTCCCACCCCGTCAACGAAGGGCCCGCGGCGCTCTACTTTGGCGGGAAAACGTACCTCGCCTACTCTGCGTCGTACTGCTGGTCCGCGTCGTACTGTTTGGGATTGTTGACCTGGGACGGGAGCAAGGCGCCGACGGATCCGGCGGCGTGGACAAAGGGGAACGGGTGTGTGTTGAGTAGTGGGAATGGGCATTATGGGACGGGGCACAATAGCTTCTTTGCGAGTCCGAAGGGGGATCAGACGTGGATTGCGTATCATGCTACTGCGAATAGCGCGGGCGCGTGCGATGATAGCCGGTATACCATGGTGCAGATGCTCGGGACGCATAGTAACGGTTCGCCCAACTTTGGGACGCCTGTTGCTTTTAGTTATGCGTACGGTGAGCCGTCCAAGTGAGTTGGCGATGAAGGGGGTGGTGTGAGATGTTGGATGGAAGGAGAGGTGGCGGGTTGACGACTGCGATGTTGAGGATGAAGATATGATGGAATGAGATGATGCTGCAAACGGATGGATGAATGGGGGTATTTGAGAGTTGATGCTCTATTCTCGTAGATATTTTGTTATTGGAATTGGATGTACATAACAATCAAGTTCATCTGAAATTTTCTTATTGATTTTCAAGCCAATCGACGACTCGTTAGGAGACAAAAACATGGATGAAATAGCAGCGCGTCACTGATCCAATGTAGCTATATCAGATGAAATAGATGGAATAAAGAACGTGAGATAATACACTCTGGGTTAAGTAGGTACATGGGGTCAGAACATTGGTGACCTAGCATACACATAACCAACTTTCATGAATCTTAATATTCCATAGTGAGTTGCTCAAGTTATGAGAGGCGGCAGGTGTGAAGAGTATTAATTATTCTGGTCATCCTATCTCCAACTCGACTGCCGGGCGTTAGCCTTGTACCATAGCACTACACTGCATCCGTAAATGCCTTTAGCTTGAGCCGGTTACTCTATACAAGGTATGCCATCATTAAGTTCCTAATTTTCATATTCTACTTCGAGGTATCGTGTGTTCAAAACAATTACGCCGTCGCTGTTGGATGGTATCATTCGGTAATGTCGGCTGCAGTCTTCTCGGCCTTGATCAAGTATGGGTAATTCTGGAGGCCGTGTATCCTATATCTGACCATTGCCGACGAATTCCCGCTGCACTTCAATCTCCCCGCTGTCGGCGGTAAACCGTCGCTCGAGAACCCATCTGGTCTCGCCACTCTCTTCCTCTTTAATGTAAGATATACTGTCTGCGGACCCCTTGTGTTTGTGACCCATGCCGGGCCTCCGCTGAGGTTGAGGCGTCGGGTCGATCCGGGGCACGAGATTCGGATGCATGGCCGTGTCTGGGCTCTTCATCCACAAGCCCGAGTGGGAGATGGTGTTGGAGATTGACAGCTCATCCATCTCGTCAGACTCTGGAACGGGGTCGAATGCCGCGCTGTGCGTGAAGTGAGGAGAGTTCATCACCACCGCAGGACTTTGGTTCAGTGGTGGCAGAGGCGGAGGCGGTGACCCTAAAGTGGGCATGGACATGGTGAGAGTAGGGGAGCCCGATGTGCTGCCTGCATCCGAAGAATCCATGTCGCGGCTGCGAACAGAGAATGCCGAGTTCTTGCGACCATGGCCGTGTATGCCCAGCATATTGTGAGGCCCCGGGCCCCAAGGTGAGCTTCCACCTTCACCCCTCTCCGATCTGGGTGAACCCTCGCGACTCGAGACCAGACTGGCCTGTGATCCACCCCAAGCCCTGGAACGAAGCCGCATCAGCGCTGACAGGCTCATATTATCTTCACCATCAGCCATCATGGCAAGTTGGGCCAGGCCGGGGCTCTGGAGACTTGATGGCCCGGAACCGATACCAGGCGGGACCGCAAGACTCATGATCGAGTTACGATTCGAGTATTCGGATCTCTCTGTGATAGGCGTGAGGTTGGGCTCTCGAGATACTATCCTCCCGGACTTGCTTCGGGATACGCCCGACGGCCCAAAGAAGCCGCCGTTAGCATATTCGAAAGGCTTCTCATCCGATCCGTTGGAGCTGTCCCTACTGTGGCGCCCACCTCCCTCTACAGGAGCAGAGTAAAACCCAAACTCCTGACCATACCAACCGTCGGAGTCGTTGGCAAGGGCACTGGCGTTCGCCTCCGCAATGAAGTCGTCATAGTCCACATCGTAATCATTCAGGTCTTCGCGAAACCCAGTGTCGTCGTAATCATCGTAGTCGTCCATGTTCTCATGCTGTGGAAGGTCATCTAAGGACTCTCCACTGGGCGACATTAGCTCGCTTGGAGGGGGTGATGAGTCTCGTCGAAATCGACCGTTAGCGGCGGCTTCGAACGCTGCTGCCGCCAGAGCAGTTTGATAAGCATCCACCTTGTCCTGGCCCGTCGCTGAGAAGCTTGACGTCATTACGGAGGATTCCTGGCCTTGAGCCAGGCTGTCGCTGGCTCGTTTTGAGTCGTCGACAGAAGGAGCCGGCATACCGACGCTGAGGGAAGTATGGGCCGTCGATTGCGATACATTGGAATGCGCAGACAGACGTGACGTGCTGTCGGAAATTCTCTTGACATTCTCAGGGGCACTGCCGTCTTGGACGCTGGCATCTTGACTTTCGCCTACCTTGACATCGGGTTCTTGCACGTTATTCTCAGGCCGGGTAGCGCCACCAGTCATCGCAGCTCTGGCAGCTTGAGCTCTGGCAAAGGCGCCCGGAATGGGACGGCCATACTTGTCTGTATCGTCCAGATCAAAGATGGACTCGTCAAAGTAAGAGCCGTCCCCCTCTCCAGCGAATTCCAACTCATCGAGAAGGCCGTTGTCAAAATAGAGATCGTCCTTCTTAGGGACTGATAGTGGAGCGGGCGACAAAGACTGGGTTGGCTCGCGCAACGTTTCGTCCTCATCTTGCAGTTCCGTATCGGTAATATTCAAGCCGTCGATCGGAAGTTCGGCAGCCGAATCAGTCGTAGCGGGCGACAGGTTCTGATCGGGAGCAAAGCCGGGACTCAACAGCTGGTTCAGATCTGGCGTATCTCTCGAGATGGCGAATCCAATCACTTTGCCGTCTGCATCTCTCGGCGTCGCTAACAGACCAGCGCTGTGTGGACTGGTCAAGGCGGAGGGAGGGCCTGATCGTTGAAAGACAAAGCCAGCAAAGTTCTCTTGATCGTTGTCGGGGTCGTTTGCAGCATCCTCGTCGAATTCGATTTCAAGTTCTGGCACCGGATCAAGAGCAAAGGGATCGGTTCCAGCCGCATCGAAGTCTTCACCATCGTCCAGACCCAAAGGATCTGTGCCGCCCGCGTCAAAATCCTCCTCGTATCCGTAGTCGTCTCCAAAATCATTACTCATCGGAATCGGCTCTTCGAACCCGTCGTCCTCCATCATCGCATCGTAGTCAAAGTCCTCGTCAAAGTCGTCGAACCTAGAATCACGAGGTCCACTGGGTTCAGGGTCGGAAGTCTTTCTCTCAAGTTCGCGTTGACGATGTCGTTCTTCAAGCAGCTTCTCCTGCTTTGCCGCGCCAACCATGTCGAAGCTGAATCTAGAAGACGTGCTCTTCAATCGGCGGGGCACAGAGGAAAGGACATCTTGCCCAGACACAGAAGCATGTCTCGAAGGGTTTGCTCTTGTGGAGGGTGTTTTCTTAGATAGGATCGAGGACGCACTAATCGAGGGCTTCTTGGAGACGATAGAGGCCGAGCTCGACGATGGTGCGGTATCGTCTTTGGGCGGCACGTCAGGCAAAGGTTTTGACTCCAGGTTCAAGCTGCTTCTTGTCTTCACCGACCCGCTCCCGGATTCAACAGCCGGCTGTGATATGACGCTGACAGAGCCCGAGCGACCGGATTCAGAAGCACTGCTTGTATTCCTTCCATGTTGAAACGCTTGTGTTGGTGCTGCGCTCTCTCTGGACGACGTCTGGCCCAAGTCTGACATCTCTTCAGGTATTGGCGGCTGTGCTTTCGTCCCGGGGGTTAGCACCGCGGCAGGGCTGGGGCCCTCATTATTGGGCAGGCTTCGTCGAGGTCGTGGAGCGCTAAAGTCGTGAATTCTTGTCCCGCGGATGCGAGGATCGTATGACGGGTTTCCTCCCAGCGGGAGAGGCGTCAAGTCTGGTGCATTTTGGCTTGTCTTTCTCCGTGCAAGGAGTGTTGACATTGGATTTTTCAGAAAAGGCAGGCCTTTCCTGCCCTTGGGGGCATCGGAACCATGGTTTGCCATGCGAATTGGCTCGCTCGACAGTCTCGTTCCTGCAGGGCGTCGCCCAGTGGCAGCATAGGACTGAGCTTGGGGTGAGCTCTGGGTATTGCCCTGGTGATGCAACTCGGTTGGGGTCGCAAAGGAGCCGGCATGTTTCGAGGCACTCGTGGGTTGTGGTGGGGGTCTCGTCGGAGGGGCGGTGTTTATCGGCGGGGGTGCGGGTTTCGACCTTGTGAATTGACTTTCGTGGCTGCCTTGAAGAACCGGGGACGCGATCAGTTCTGGTGATTTCGCCGCCATTTGTTGTTTCTTGAGTTGTTGTTGTTGCTCCTGCTGTTCGCGCTGGTATTTGCGCAAGGCGACGCCACCGAGGAAGCCAGAGTCTGCGTTGTACGGCGAGCGCACCGGTGGAGGTACGGGCGGCTGGGGTTTCTGTGTGTTGGACTCTGGCGTCACCCTGATCTTGGTATCGACAGTCGGTCGCTCGAGCGGGGAGGGTGATTCGGAGCTGGAAGAGGTGACGCGGGGAATGGGCGGCAGGGTGGGAGGTAGTGAGGAATTCGTTGTCGAAGCCTGGGGTCGAATGTCTGGGCTTAAGGCGGCATCCTGAATGAAGGGAGAATGCTGCTGGGGAAGCGAGGGATCCCAGGGAGCCGTGGCCGAGGGTTGCTCGGGGTTTGGCGAAGTGGGATTTGACTGTCCCCTCCGGTGGATTCGTAAATGGGAAAACATCGTCGCGGTTTCGGGACGGACGAGCTACTGGATGGATGGGTGATTCAGGCGCGAATGGCGATCCAAACCACCGGCGCAGGGGTGGCGGATGGTCGCAGAGGAGGAAGCAATTACGGAGACAGGTCGGCGGATAACGAGCGAAGGGAAGCTGGATCGAGCTTGCGACTCCAGTCCTCCAAGTCCAATATAGTCCCCAGAACTAGGTACGGGTAGTGTTGGGAGAGGAGACTAGACGACGTTGACGGCGTCAGTCTTCAGCCTCTTGAGTGAGACGCATTCACCTCCTTGCAGACAGAGGCGCAGTCATAGTTCGTCTGTCCTGGCTCGGATGCGATGGTGTATCAGCGTCAGTTTGCGTCGGCGTCGGATGCGTGTGTGCAGGCGCGAGCGTTGTGAGTGGTGTTGGCTGGCGGTGGGAGTGGTGGAGGGATGTCTTGGAGATTCGATGCAAGCTATTGGTAACGGTGCTTGCTGGGCATTAGACGGAGGATGTTGAAAGAAGAAAAACTCGAGTCATACGCCTGCCTGGAAGGAGTAATGAATGGACGAATACCTTGTAATAATGGCAAGGTATGGCGGGGAAGAGAGGTGGGAGGAAAGTAGTGGTGAGAGATGGTAGGATCAGGTTCAGGATGACGAGATGGAGAAAAAAACAGATGAAGGAGAAAAAGGTAGTAGATAACGAATAGAGGTAATTGGAGAGCATCTGTAAGCAGGTTGGGCAGGCACGAAGACTGCTGGATGCCGTTAGCTGTCACCACTTCTTTTTCTGCTCTTGTTGCATGCCTTGCCCGGTTCTTAGTACGTGAGGTGGTATTACTCGCAGCTGCTTTTGGCGGCTGCGTGGGAGAACCTTGTCCATGCCATGCCCATGCCATGCCCACGCCATACCAGTCAGGCCTCTATCTCTGTCTCTCCGTCCGTCTACGGCCTGGTTTGTTTGGACTTTGCATATCCCCTCCTTATCACTACTGCCGTTCAAGAAATTACCATCTTGCCGAGCTTCTCAAGTCACAGAACACCATATTATGGAGCAGCTGAAAACGCTACAGTCGACGATGCAAATGCTCAGACATTCACAGTCCAAGGCCTTGGCTGCTGCTGCCAGGACTCCAGGACTTGGCCTCGTCTGCTGGGCCGTGCGGCTTTTCGCAAGCACTAATCATTGTTACCCAACATCCAGGATCAAGGACTCGGGACCCCAATTTCAAGGATTTCAGCAGGGCGAGAGAGCAGAGAACAGAGAGAGAATAGAATCACCGCTCGGGCTGGCGCGCCCACTGCTGCAGGCTAGCCGTGTCAATGTCATCCGTCGGCATCATGTCATCCTAGACGGATCTTGGAAAAGCGCACCAGGGTTTGCTGCAGGCCATCGGGTAAGGGCAAGAAAGGGTCCAGTCCTCCTCTCCATCGGTACGAATGTCTGCCCGGAAATCAATATTGAGCCAAGGCAACGCAACAGAGATGGTTTCCGACTGCATCAACCCGGCGGCAGCTATTATCTCCCAGTCCTCGGAAGAGACGGCTCATCTTCGACTCCCTGCCTCGTCTTCGTCTTTCGTCGCTACTTTGGTCCTCTCTCCATTCCTCCCTTTCTCTGTCTTGTCTCGTCTCATCTGGACTCTGGGCAACCATCCCACCTATCGACATCCACACGACATCCTTAGCACATCAGAAACCCTCCGAGTGCGTCTGATTGGATCATGGCAGACGCAAGGCGAAATGAAGCACACCCATTCCAGAATCCAGAGATCCATCCGCCTGTGCTAATGGCCCCGTTTTCTCCGACCCCCACCATCCTTCGGGTCTGACGCGGAGCTCGAGACACCAGATTATGTGGTTATGTCATCTCACACAGCGGCTGACCGAGGCTCAAGGCTTACGTAATACCATGTGTGGAAATGAGGATACTCTACTCCGTATGCTTATGTAAGTACAACCAGGTGCATAGCAAAGCACGTGCCATTGAACTCTGCACAACTGACAATGCACACTGCAAAGGAGATGCCATTCTCGTCTCTGGCAATAGAAATCTGAATCTTTTACAACAACCGCAGCTTTCCTAATGCCGCAGTGCCTAGCGCAGATCATCCCGTCATCCCATCCTTTGCGACTGAATCGTCTCGTCCCAACGGGACAAATAGAAGGATGAAAGGAAGACGAAACCAGCCAGGCAGATGGCTGCCCACATCCCTATGATCGCCGTTGGCCCCCGTCACCTGGTCCCTGATGAGACGAGACAACAATTGCTCCGACTCGTTACACAGCGAACTTGACGCGACGACAACGGCAGCGGCAACGACGACATGCGATATGTACATGCCATAACCGGCACGCACGCGGCGGCCCGCATCTGGCGTTGGAGCTTCGGAACCTGGGGCGAGGTGGAATGTGCCAGATCAACGCATTGAGCTAGCTCCCTGAGAACATGAGGCGAGCGGCTCAACGCCGTACGGTTGCGGGATGTTGATCTCTGGCACATGCTTGCTTGTCACGTTATGCCCACAGATTCCATTTATGTCTGCATTTACTCATACTGGCATCCTGAATGATCGTTGACATGCAAAAGGATAGCAAGCAGCCATCACAAACGAAAACCCCCACGGTAAAAGCAAAAGATCGACGTTGGCCTGATTCGAACAGACGCTCCCGAAGGAACAAGATTTCTAGTCTTGCGCATTAGACCACTCTGCCACAACGCCAGTGGAAGAAACTGAACCGAGTCCAGGATCCTTGCTAATCGGCGAGAGCTGAGGGCTGATGTAGCGGCAGCAATTGGGTGGCCCTGAGTCGAGATCCGCTGGCTCCACCGAGCGGGTATGCTGCTGGCGGGGCGCTCCGGTCCAGACCTGGCGCGTTGAAAGGTCCTGTTCAACGAAATCCTAGCGGATAGCCTTGGGCCCGTACCGAGTCTTGCAAGTTTTCGTGATCTCCAGGGACCTATACAGACATGGCTTCTAGTCGTTATAGATTACTCAAGGGCACACAGATCACATCTTCAAACGTCATAGTGAGAATATAATCAACTCGACGCAACATCTCTAAGCACCGTATTATCATCTTGGAGGCAAGCTCCTGTCAAGCTATAGAGGTAGGTTAGTCAATACGCATTCTACTTACACTCACCTCGGAGACATAGGCTTGTTCATACGTACAACCGGACTAGACTCATCGAAGTCTCGCCCCAACTCCTCGTCGCTTTTGAAGTCCCCAATTTCGGCTTTCGCTCTCGAAGCATCAACAGCCGCTTTTCTCTGCAGCTTCCACTCCTGATTGATGTACCCTTCGCTCCTAAACCCACCAGCCTCCAGATCCTGCTGGAAGTCCAAATTCGGCCCCACCAGCGCCGTCGCCATCTCCCTCGTTGATGTCATCACCCGCTCAAGCAACTCCTTCTTTGCAATCTTCAAGTCCTGGATCAGACTTCCCACGACAATCATCTCCATCCCGCTGTCCCCAAAGTGCCGCCTAAGCGCCGTCTCGATTCCATTCCACACCCCATCCGTCGTCTTCGCCATCCCCTGAACATACCCCAGCGCAGCATCCCACATGTCGCGATACACCCGGTTCATAAACTCCATCTGTCCCAGATCCGCGCGCCGCGTCAGGTCCTCGATGATAGTCTTCATACGATCTGAGTACTCGCCCCGACGCTCCGCCTGCGCCTCACTCTCGAGGTAGGTGAGCCGGTGCCGGACGCGGCAGTCCGCGCAGAGCTTGTGGGCGCGCTTGGCGTACTCGTCGCGGTGGAGGGCTTTGGCGCTCCGCTCGTCTTCGAAGCCGGCCCAGACGGCGCGGCAGGTGTGTTGCGGGAGGCCGGGGAGGGCCATGTGGTTGCATTCTCGCTGTTCGAGGTATTCTGCAAAGTAGCTGCCGCAGCCGCCGTTTTCGGGGCTGAGACAGCGTTGGAGGGCGAAGACTTTCATGCACATGGCTGGGTTTTCTGTGGTTTGGGTGAGCTTTTTGGTGGAAGATGGGGTTGGGTACCTTGAACAAGTCTCTATTGGGTCGGTTGTTGATGGTAGGTTTTGAGTTCCTTGTAGTGAATGAGTGGCTTTTTTTGTAATTTGGTGTGAGTGACTTACACCTCCGGATCGGAAGAAGGCAGCAGCTCGCTCCTGATATACACCGAGGAGTCTTACCATAGACTCTTGCTTTCAAGAAAGAACACCAAAGAATCTCGAGACAAGACTTGCTGAGACGAAAGGTCTTTGACCTCGATAATTGGTTTGTTTAACACAATGGCTCTTGTCGAGGCCATAGCAAGACGAGACAACGCTGACAAAGGTGTCCCAGACGGCCGCCCTTTACCGCGAGTAGCGCAGCCTGTCGTTGAATAACAAAGGACAAGGTACATGACATGCCGAGTCGAGATAGCGAAGATGATCTCGGTGCCTGAAGTGGCTGTTGCTTCTTCCACCTGTTCCGTTTCACTGACTTCATTGCAGAATAATACCCTTGTAATCTTTAACGTGATACTATCAAGGTGTTCTGTAATGCTGTTGTCTTGTTTCTCAGATATTCTAGGCAACTCCGAAAGCTGAACCGAGTCAACGAGAGTGAACTCTCCAAGACTTTTGGAAGGGGTAGTTAAGTACGAAGAGAATCGGAGATAGGGTTGAAAAATTGAGCTATAAACAGAATGTTGTCACTCAAAACTCCAGGCTACTTGCCTAACTTGGGCTCGCGATGATCTTCATCACCACCTTCTTCCACAAAGCAACCAGTGAAAGCATACTTTATGGGGTAAATCTTGCTCTATCATTGACACCAAGAATAGCCAATTCAAGGCCTCGCTCTCTACAGGATAAACAATCCCATCAACAAGATCAGCCATGTTCAGAGCATGTCTAGCACCTCTCATCGTCGAATTTCGACTCCGAAGACACCTTTGGCGACGAAAGTGTAAGAATCGGCGCCGGAGAATCTTTCGCAGCTCGTTAGAACGGGTTTGGTTTGAGTCGACATGGGGATAGGCAAACTGTTCCTTTCACTGTATTGAATTTGAAGGTAAACACTTTTGGGAGCACTCTATCCCGGGTCACAAACTTATGGAATCCACTAATCAGAGCACCTAGCATAAAGAGATACGCTTGCATCTAACATACAAGCGGTGGTCAAACTTCCCAGCGCCGCCAAAGTTCCCTTGAAAGACCGATGCTGCGGCTAGAGAGCTCGAGTTCTGATCCGGATACTAGTAGCTAATACTGCACGACTCTTCGCTCCTCGAGTACAGCTCTTACGTACTTGTTTTCTTGTACGCATTTGCCGATTGCTCTGGCGATTCTGAGGTCTCACGTATACCTGGTGGAACATGATCTGACGGCCGGAGTAGACTGTAGGGCGTGCACGAGGGATAAACGGATTACCAGGAGCTTACGAGATCCGGGGTTAAAGAAGCTTGGGTTGGACGTCGTGATAGGGTGACCCTAAAGAATGAGATGGTGACGCGCGTTATTCCACGCCATCGAAGAGAAGATGCTCTAGCAAGACTGTAACATGTAGGGCGACGCCTCCAAAGCCATTTCACAGAGCAATGAGGGTTTCACTTATTGCTGGCTGAGGCAAATCATGCATTCATGCCTGGAGCCGAAATTGATGTGGACATCATGAAGTATGCTGTGATATCACTTCTCTCTTGACGTATGTCAGGGGGTGACTCTCGTTGGCCTCCTCATCACCAAAATGCTTTGTGCGCTTCTTGGCATTTCATCTGACTGCTTGTCTGCAAATTCCTATTGGTCGCTCAAATCTCGACCTTTGCAGCGACTTGCCTATTTCTTTGTGCAAGGTTCATTGTTGGCTTCATGTTGTTCATATAGTTCTCAGGTATAAAAACCCACCCTGTTCCAAGCCTTCTAAGAGGTCGTTCTAGGAAGCTTTATGTCTTTAGGCCCCATATCTGAAGCTAGTTCCTTAGGAGAGGGAGCCATGCAAGGCCTCAGCGACCCAACGGCCTCTGCCTCTGCCTCTGCCAAACAAAACTCGAGCCGTACCATCGAAACTAGAAAGCGGGGCTCTAGCACAGTGGATTCGACATCCTCTCCGTCCACGAAAAGGCAACAAACGGGGTTTCTGGATGACCTACATACATGGACAGATTATTCGGCGGAGGAACACCTGACCGTCAACGCTGCCGAGATGTACAAGAAGCAATACGAGTACGGCGACTGCCCTATAAAGTAGGTAGAGGTTTGCTTAATGTTTCTCAAACCAAATGCACACCACTCTGCTGAAGTTATTGTCCAGCTGAGAGCAGTCTCCATCCAAGAGACCATAGAAAACCCCGAGGTTTGCGGGTACACAGCTCTATCGTCCAATTGGGGGGTTGGGGATGAGAGCGAGATTGTCTTTATTGACGTGGCTCAGGACTATGAACCGCAAGCCGTTTCCAAGTCACATGAAAACGACGTCTCAAAGAACGCTGCACATTCCGTTCTGAGGAGGGATCGAGTGAGTGTCAACCCGAACCCATACGCATTTCTCCAAGAATTTCGACTTCCAGATCGAGAGGTAGCCCTGTGGGTGGATCGCATTTGCATCAACCAGATGGACCACAAGGAGAAACAAAGTCAAGTCGCAATCATGGGACAGATCTACTCGACCGCAGCCAGCGTCACGATTTGGCTAAGACCAGCAGACGAGCACGACAAGACTGATCGAGCCATGGATTTCATCAACCTCATACTCCAAAACAACACGAGGGATGTATTCGGAGATGCTTACGCAAAAGAGTGTTTAGCGTTTCTGCACTTGATGCGTCGTCCGGTCTTCTCGCGTCGATGAATTATCCAAGAGCTGGCCCTTGCAAAGAGCGCCGAAGTGCGATGCGGCTCCAAGACAGTGGGATGGGGGGACTTTTCATATGCGGTCAGCAGTTTTGTTCGCCAATTGGATCATTTTCTCGAGGTGATCGAACGGGATCCAACACAAAAGAGGTCTCCGGAGAGAATCAAGGAAATGAGGTCACTCGGTGCCTGGAATCTGGTTGACGCTCTTTCCAACATGTTTCAACGACATGTTGACGGTAACATCTACGATCCACGGCAGAGGCTTGAAAGTCTAGTCTGCTCACTGTTGACTTTCGAAACGTCCGACCCTAGAGATGTCATATAATCGCTTCTTGATCTGGCTACGGAGACATGCAAACTTTCGCTGAGCAACAACTTACAGTAACGCCAGCGGATTATACAGCGATGGAATCCTGCTCCGGAGCCCGACTATACCATTGACTTGCTTCACGTTCACACCAAATTCACCAAATGGTGCATCAACGAGAGTCATTCTTTGGACATTATTTGTCGTCACTGGGCGCTCCCCGAGCTTAAACAGAAGCCAGATGCGCAATACCCAGAGCTTATGGAGCTGCCGTCATGGATTAAAACGGGAGAGAAATCTGCGTGTCGTTCGCAAAATGAAGGCCTCAGCGGACGGGAAACAGCGGACAGTCTTGTTGGCTTACATGGGAACAACTGCTACAACGCTTCAAATGGAGATTTGCCTAACATTGTATTCAGGAGAGACAAGACACCTCAGCAGACCGAAGACTCTCCGCCACATATCCTCCGCGCGCAATTGGGGGTAATTTCCGACATGAACCTGACGATCACCATCAGAGGACGGTCTATGGGAGTCGTCTCGGAATTTCATCCAATGCACGGCGGTATCATTCCGAGTAAAGTTCTACTTAGTCTGGGCCATGTTCCGAGCACAGAGCCGCAAGATATCCCAGACGCTGTCTGGTGAACACTCGTAGCAGACCGCGATGCAGACGGAAAAGCAGTGCCGGACTGGTATCGACGAGCTTGCATGAAATGTCTATCGCTCGTCACTGATGCTGGGGATATTGACACCAATACAATTCTCCGACGATGCGACACTGCAACGGATCTCAGGGCAGATTATTTGAAGAGGGCACAGGCTGTCTGTTTCAACAGAGACTATATCGTATGCGAGGAAGGGAACGGGAAGATTAGGAAGCTGGCAGGAATAGCTTCTCTGGATTCCAAGGTCGGCGATGTCGTGTGCATTCTTTTCGGGTGCTCCGTCCCTTGCGTTCTCCAGCCTTTCTGGGATGCGAGATGGCGTGAATCGCAGCCTGAATATTACAAGCTCATAGGAGAGGCTTTCGTTCTTGGGAAGATGGACGGCGAAGCACTTGATGGATTGACTGAGAAGGAGTTGGCAGGAGAGGACTTTTCCTTTGAAGTGAAGCGATGTTTCCATATCTCAAGAGTCAAGTTTAATACGCAGTTCACCTTCACAATGACACAGAAACCTAATTCGACAGAACCGGTTTTAGCGACTCGTGGAATGTAATTAGCTCCGTCTTAGCTTTCCTTGGTGCAAGAGCTTGGTGCAAGAGCTTGACGAAGCCGGAAAGTTCGGCTTATGATGTAATAGCCTTCTAAGAGTCAAACATGTCACCACACAGACCCGCCGAGGCAGACCATATCCGTCACACCGCGAACAACCACTTCTCCACGGACATCCGCAACATAAAACACCAATTCGGACTACTACCTCTTTTCCAGTCGTTGCTTCGGACATTGAACAAGTAGATATTCTAGACTTATTCTAGCTCACCTTCCCATCGGAACTCATTACTCTACACGAACCACATCTTCACCAATTCAACGTCATCTCTCTTACAAGCACGAGTCATGTTTCTCTCAAACAGAGCGCCTGAGAAGGCCCTTCCCCGCTTCCAGACAAACACACCACTGGATTCAACTTTCGATGAGGACATTCGGGATACGCATCTCATCTATGACTATGATGCCGAAGACGCAGAGGGCAACCCGGAAAAGTGGAGGTACGAAATGTGGTTCTTCTCCGAGGACCGTGTCGTCTATGCCATCCATGGTGGGCCCATGAACGGCCGCATAAACTACCAGACTGCGACTTATCAATGCATCCGGCCCGGTGAACT